CCCAAAGAATGGAGATTTATTGAACGGTACTTTGTATACGTACACTTGAAGAAACCCCCAGACGTAGTCTGACAAAGATGTCCAAGAACGCAGCGCCGCTTGGCATTTAAAACAAATATCGACTGCATTCAGGGGATCTTTACACAAGATTGCATCTCCGTTGAACACNATATTTCATTTTCTTTAAAAGTGAAGTTATCTGTAATCATGAATCATGAATATATTGTAAATAATGTGCTGATTGTTAAAATGGCATAATGTGCACAAAATTAGTTTAAACCTAAAATCTTTTCTTTTTGAATTTTCTTCTGCTTTTTCTTAGGAGGTTCACGAACTTCGTCATGTGAAGATTCGTTAGGAACCTCAGTCTGTTGTATTAAATTGCAATCGTCATCCAAAGATAATATTTCCTCACTATTATTCATAAGCATTGCTTTTTCATAGTTATAACGTGATAAAAAGAGCAGTTGATCTTTGTGACAAAATTTCTTCAAAATAGTTTTTAATTTTTCATCGGGTATAATATAAAATGTCTGTTCAGTCACGTCAGGATCTGTGTGGAAAGGATGAGGTTGAATGAATGAAAATGTAACTAATTCTAACCTAACATTAAAGAAAAATTTGATGTGATATAAAAAATATAACTACCTGCTTCCAGTTCTTTGTATAGCTCCTGAAATTCTGGATACAGTTGTTTAAACGATTCCATGGTTCATAGTAATTTTCTCGATGATTACAAAAGTTATGAACACAAACTATAACAACGAACACAGCGATTATCGCTTGCCAGTTGCCGCGTGCAAAACAGGGACGACTACACAATTAAACGCGGGACCGTTGTGCGAATCTTTTCGAGTTGTCGCTGTTTCGTATCGAGCAGCGGCTACTCTATAGTTGGTCAGCATCAACGCTGACGCAAGTTTGAGCAGCTCCCTCTCGTATCGAGAAGCTATTCTACTGTACTGAGGAACGGCCCCTCGATACTTCTCTCAGTGTAGCTATTCAATAGTTCAATTCTTCAATTTCTTACAAGATCACAATCCCAATAGTTCAAACAGACTCTTTTCTCACTGCATAAATTCTATACTCACATCAAACTTCTCTATCCAGGCTAGCAATTTTTTCAATCTCTACTCTTTTAATCACCACGATCAGGTTCACTCTATTCCCTTCGACATATCTCTTGGCCGTGAAGTTTCAGACTGCGACAACCTGAACCTCGTGATCGATTCGTTCATCAGTAATAACATCCTCACTGACATATACACCGACGGCAGCAAGGTTTCGGGGGCGCCTAGCGTCGGAAGCGCGTTTTGCTGCCCAGCGACTGGGAGAGAGTGTGCTGCAAGCTACGACCCGCTCACGCCTATCTTTTCCGCTGAATGCCACGCTATCAATGCTGCGCTCGACTACATCCAGAGCGAGGCTGTCGGCAGAAACTACATAATCCTTAGTGACTCCCTTTTTTTTCTTTTTTTTTTTTAATGGGAGCGATGGGCTCAGTTTATTTAATGAAAAATGTTTTACAATAAATTTGCGGGTTTTTGCTACATATGTTATTGTTCGAGAAATCTCCCGAACAGTGTTTATCAACTGCCGTGGGCGGTATCTCTGCGCGCTCAGAGATGGCCGCTCGTGCCTGCCGCAGATCTACTATCCGTGCGTAGTTTGCGACGGACTCGATAGTTTATGCTCATTGTGCATCTCGCGATCCTCGAGTTATTTCGCCCGATTTGCTCGATTCACCCTCGCCTCTCGCGTGTGACTCGTACGCCAAATTGCGACCACCAAAAGAAATTCAGCTCATCCATACGGTTTCTCCATCAACTTCAACTGCTCCACTTGTCCACATCTGCTGCTCTCAAGCGAGGTGGGACAATAAGTAAACACCGGCCACTCATCGACGCCTGCTCACGTGACTCATCGCATCCAGCTCATCTCAACGTACAACACCAGGTAAAGAACCTACACGGGTTGCTGAAGAAGACCAATAATGCCTTCTTCAGGCCCTGTAGAGTCTTCTCATTCACTGGCGCAATTTATGCAAGCACTGGCGCTTGCAAGGTACGCAGTCACTGCGAGGAGAAGTGAGGTTATGCTCACACCATGTACAAGCTCACGAATCACTCAGCACCTCTCACTTCCGGCAGCTCATTCAGCAGACGAGGGGATTAATACAACCTTGTTTTTCTCGTCCTGCTCCAAATGTTCAGTTTCGTGCTCCGCTTACGTTGACTCTCAGTTCTCTCATATGGATGCTCAAACGCGAATCAATGAGAATTAATATAATTCCTTGAACTCTTGTTTTTATCAATTAAATTCATTCAAATCTATGACGCTATTGTGAAGTATTAATAAAATACTAATGTGCTACGACTTCTCACTGTAACTCTCAATTAAACGCAAACAAGTGAACAATTTTAATTAATATTATTAAAGTGATGAAGTGTGAAAATAAAGAAAATTGTGAAATAACAAAATCTTTTGCATTCAAGCAGTCATTGTGTGACCTACCTATGCAACCATCCTTTTAATGAGTAATTGTGACAACTAATTCTCAAACAGTTATGTATGACAGAAGGTGAAGAAAGAAATATATGATGTATAAAACAAAAAATGATGTTTAGTGACTCCCTGAGCGCACTTCAGAGTCTCCAATCGGCCAATCTCGGCGTCAAATCCAACCACGCCCTGTTCGAATTAAAGAGCAAGTATATAGCATGGCACAAAAATAACCGCGGCTTCTCCATAAGGCTTGCTTGGATTCCATCCCACATTGGCATTCGCGGTAATGAAAGAGCCGACGCACTCGCTCGGGCCGCCACCGAAATAGACCCAGGTGTGTACCCGCGAGTAGCCTTCTCCGACCTCGTGGCTTCGTTCAAAAGAACAGCGGCAGAAAACACCACTGCAGCGAGCTTGCGGGAGGCGGAAGTCAAAGGAGTCAGGTTCTTCGCATCGTTTCACAACAGCAGCAGAACCGCCCCATGGTTCAGACACAAAGCTCTGGACCGCTCTCACATAGTAACGGTCAACTGTATGCGTAGCCATCACCACAGTCTTGCCGAATCTCTCTACAGGAAAAATATCGTTGCGGACCCAGGTTGCAGGGGCAGACACGCCACGGAAAGCCTAAACCACGTAATCTGGCGATGCGACCTGTACGACCAGCATCGATGTTCTCTCTGGTGTGCTCTAAGCGGTTTGGGCTTGCGCAGACCTCTAAACATCGAGAGCATTATCGCCGCCCCAAACATCCAGGCATGCGTCGCTGTCTGTGACTTTTTGAGAAAGTGCTCCTTGCGTGTCGAGGGGGCCTCCAAGCCCAATCCGCTATTGTATTTGTTGAATAATTGTATAAATTGTGGTATTTCTTGCGATGAAGTAGCATTGTATTAGTAATTGTAACTTTAACGCCAATTTAAATCGTGATGATGGTTGTAATTTTTGATATGTACTTGTTGTCTTGTACTCGTATTTTTATTTATTTATTTTTTCTCTCTGTAAGAATCAAAGAAGTGGTGCATATACTCCTCGTTGGGATACACGCTCCTAAATATATAAAAAAAAAAAAACCGTCATAGATAAGGTCAACAGTATCAACCAACTAATTTTTTGAGTGATTTTAATGCACACCAACCCTGGCAGGCTAGTGATAAAGTCCGTGCTTATGGCAAAACGATGTTTGATGAAATTGATGTAGATAAAATCGCGGTTTTAAATGATGGCTCTGCCACTCATGTCTCTTTGACAGATGGTATGTATAAAATTTCATGCATACACTCGACTTTTATTTCTGTTAATTTATTATTAGAAACTCAATGGAGAGTTCTAGACGACCGCTGGGGTAGTAACCACTATCCCATTGAAATCTGCTATAATGCTTTCATTCAAACTCAAGCCAAAATCGATTACAGATATGTAATTGTTTTTAGTTGGGTTTTTTTGTTTTTTTAGTTTCTAGTTGGATTTTTTGTGTTTTTAGTTTCTAGTTGGATTTTTTGTTTTTATTATTGATTCATGTTTTTGGATTTTTTTAGTTCTTTTAAATTATTTAATTATCTTTAATTAATTGACAAAGATGTTTCACATCTTCCAGCTGTTCATAAACAGCTGATTTATTTTTAATTTTTTTTTTGATAGGTATTTTTTATTTTTTATTGGAAATCACATTTTCAAAAAATGACTCGTACTTTAATTATTTTCTTCAACTTTCAATTGTAGTTTCGAAAATACATTTTTATTAATTAAATTAGTGCATTGAGCGATTATCGTTCCTTATATGTTAATATAACATGATAAAAATGTCGACTTCCCTTAAGAAGCCCTTAAGAAGACACACTCATAGACACGTATACATACATGCATTGATTAATATCATATTTGAAAACATGCATGATAGTGCGTACAGTCTCGCGATGTATACGCATAGACAGCACATACGTATTCTATGTATTATCGTATATGCATAAGTAAGAGAGAGAAAGATATCTCAACGCAGTCAATCCCGTGAGCTAAGCTGATATGACTGCTGTTGCTTATGTTGTTACGTTGCCTCGTGTGTGTACTTAAACACAGTCATACGCGCGTGCGAGAGCGAGAGAGAAAGAGATACGCGCGTCGAGTCTCGGCAGCGGGCAGCAGCAGCAGTTCTGTAGCTGGCGCGGCAGCCAATCACAGCGCGTAGCGCAAACCGACGCTGTATAGGCAGTTCTACTACCAAAGTTGCGCTCGCTCGGACGGACGGACGCTCGGTTTTTACGGGTTTACCCCTGACACCAAACGCGAATATAGATGTTTCACATCAAAAAGGCATATCAATAAATATGTAATAGCCCAATGTTTTTTTTCTGAAAGTATATACTTTGAAGTGAGCAAACTCATTTGTGGAAAGGTTAGAAAAAATGGATAAGAATATCAAAAAAATTTCTTCACGGAAAAATTGAAGAAGAGCTTCTTTTGGAGGGATCAAAAATTCCAATAAGTTAAGAAGTATCATGTAAAGAATTAAACAAGATCGATTTTATTAGAATTGAATCAGTGATACAGATTGGTTAATTTTCACCATCGTAAAAATAAAATTATTATTCCCTCATGCTCTCCTCTGTAATCTGCGATGGTTGCTGAGATGCGTCGTTTCCACTTGATTTTTTACTGCCGGAAACAATATCATCAATGCGTAATAACAGAATAGCTGTTTCAATAGCAGTTTTATATGTTTGGAGTTTTACTGATAGAGGTTCCCAAATACCATGAACGCTCATATCAACAACTTTTCCAGTTTCTCCTTGAATGCCCCATGAATTACCACTTGATGAATGTTTGGATCTTAATTCGGTTAAAATACGAACAGTGTTGACTCCACAGTTTTGAGCTAGAGTTCTCGGTATAATTTCTAATGATTCAGCAATTGCTTTATATGGCCACTGTTCGACTCCAGCCAGAGTGGTAGCTTTTTCGTTAAGAGCTCGAGATAAAGATATTTCAATTGCTCCTCCACCTAAAATCATATAAAAATATGTAAAAACGCTACGTATAGTTTATGATACTTGGTTTGAGCTAGTAAAAGTATTATTAAGGGACTTTAACCGATTGAGAAAACATGATATTTCTTATTCAAAACACTTCTTTTTATTTTTTCTTCTTATTTTTCGGAGCCCGCATTCAAAGTGATTTTTCAATGGCAGACAGTTGATCTCAAAATCTACTAGGTCATTCTTTACTACATTCTACACACTTCTTTATTAGTGTTTGATACAGAGTAATATACCAGAAAAAATGAACATTTGATTTGAATAACGAAATGTCAGTGGTCGGAAATTTTTTTTAAAAAAACTTTTTAGGTGCTTTATCGTTTTAAACTTTATATGTTTTTCTCTTTTCTATAATTTCATAGTATATTTCACTTTTGTATGTTAATTAAAAAGTGTGTAAAATTTCTTAAAGATCGGCCGAGTGGATCCGCAGCTTAACTGTCTGCCATACAAGAAAAACCTCATCTCGAGATAAATGCGTTGAAATTTTTTCAATTACCATTGAATGCCGTGTATATGCTTGTACTTAATCCTAATTTTGACTGACTTGAAATCCTAATTCCAGTATTGAATTTTAAGAGATAGTTCTCAGAATTATAAGTAATCCGAAAATGCAATAAAAAAAAGATGTTTCAAAAAATTATACCGGTAATAGTCCTTTGACCGCCCAAAGACAGTTGAAAAAAATCATCACATCTCAAGCCTTTTTTGAGCTTGTGAATAGGTATTCACAGGGAATAAGTGAATAAAATCTCTATTGAGATTAGTGTCACGGTGATATAAATGACGAGGCGGAAAAAGATTATATTTTAATTCCAGGCATCGACCTTATGTTATTTGTTACCACTTTTCAAATTTTGGTTTTGTGCACTTTTTCTCTAAACTCAATAGTTTTCGAGTACCAAATGAGTCATGTTTTATATGAATATGAGTTATTTTCTGAGATACTTTGATAGTCGTGATCACCTCTGATCATGTTTATATCGTAATTCCTTAGCGGTAACATGGCGAAAAAAAATCGAAACTTGAATTTTTGCTAAAATTTTTACTTTTTTTTTATAAGTAGCTATCACTTTTTTATTACGCAAAAAATCAAAATTTCGAGCTCAGTTTCTAAAAGAGCACTGAATTTTACATCGAAAGAGGTACGTGCGAAATTTTGTTAAGGCCTAAAACTACACAAAAATCGTTGCGAAAACCAATATAAAAATCAAGCATTTTGGTCGTTAATGGGTTAATCTAGAGAGCTTTATTATTATGTACTAGGAAACCCCAATAGTTATTTACGTAACAAGTGCCCAAAAACGCTTTTTTTCCTATTTACATATTATTAAGTGGAAAAAATGTCTTTTTTCGCACATTTTTTAGTGCGCGAAAAGCGTTTTTGGGCACGAGTTTGCGGAAAAAGACGCGAGTGTCGGCCATGTCGGCACGAGTACACTGTGCGCAAAAAGCTGAGCACGTGTTTCATACAAAATTTTATGCAATATTAGGCGAAAAATACGTTCATTTAAATGAGGCGTTTTACCGCACACCCGTGTCCAAAATGGGGCATTTTACCGCACACAAGTGTCCAAAAACGCTTTTCGCGCACTAAAAAATGTGCGAAAAAAGACATTTTTCGTCATACTATTGCATAAACGCTTTTTTAACACTGCGTGCGCGAAACACGGGTTTTCTAACCTTAAAGCGTCAGAAAACCCTAGTTTCTCGCAAGCAGAGTTAAAAAATATCGTTTGCAACTAGTCCGCGAGGAAGTTGACTCACCCAGGAGTCTTTGCACCCTCGCTACGCTCGGGTGAAAACAACTCCTGGGTGAGTCAATTGCTTCGCGCACTTGTTACAAAATATACTATTTGCGCACTAAGACATTTTTCGTCGTACTATTGCATAAAATATTTTTGGGAAAGATTTCTCACTAAGAGCTTAACTGCTCTCTTTGATAGAATTTTACTATAACAATAATACATTTTCCAATGAAAAAAAAATTTAACGTTTAAAAAGTTTAAAGTTTCATTTGACATTTTTTAGGAATATGCAATTAATAGGAAATCAATTATGATCAAGCTTTTTCAAGGAGGCCGAATTCGGTCAATCTCCCCGAATGTCATCACGGTGTGCGTACCTCACTTTCAGTACTTATCTCGTGTTCATTAGGAAAGGACAAAAGTAAACTTAATTATCGGATGATACACGGGTCGAGAGCGCTTTTTGGTAAGGTCTGGAAACCTTTGCTATGTTCAAGCCCTACATTATGAAAATTATTATAAAATAAATATATGGATACTACTGAAAATTTAAATTTACCTGGTACCAACTTGGGCTCGAGAATCAAGTTTTTAGCTACATGAAGAGCATCCTGTATATTTCTTTCTGCTTCGTTCAAAACATCTTTACTGGCACCTCTGAGAACTATGGTGCAAGCTTTGGGCTCAATGCATTCAGATACAAAACAAAAATATTCATCATTAATTTTCTTAATCTCAAATAATCCGGCTCCAGTTCCAACATGATTTTCTTTGAGTTCATCTGTGCGATTAACTATCGTGGCATTACAAGCTCTTGCTATTCTATTCATATCACTTTTGCGGAGTCTGCGTATAGCTGTAATATTGGCTTTCAGTAAATAATGCTGTGCAAGATCAGAAACTCCCTTTTCAGTGAAGATAACATCAGGTTTAACGGCAATTATCTCATCGCACAATTTTTTTACGTATTCCTCTTCAAGTTCCAGAATCCTAGTGAAGTCAGTTTCTTTGAGAATTTCAATGTTTGTCTGAGATTCACCTTTTTTGTATTCCAATGGACAATCCAGCAGGACGATACGGGGGTTTTTGATGTATCTTTTCATTTTAGGGTGGGTAACATCTTTATTGATCATGATACCTGATACAACATGACTTTCTTCAATAGAACCGCCAGGAAGTTTTTCAACCTTAAAACCATGAAAAATGAAAAGTTAAATAAAAATAATTTATCGATACTAACTCGTGACTACAATTTTATTTATTTATGTGACAGCATAATTATGTATTTTTGGGCATTCTTTATTAGACCCCGATACTTGAATGCGGCATTGTGAATTTCTGATGCATTTAATAGTAATTAATATTACATGATATAGAGAATTTCGTCATACAACTCCGAACCTTTCAAAATTCGTAAAAAGGGAAATAGTCTACATTTTCTAGTAGCACAAAGTTCCAACAAGTTTATGATGAAATGTAACGTAGATAGCTGCATAACTCTTTAAGAATTTAACAGTTAGAATCACTGCTTTTTAGGCGGCAAAGAAAGTTAAAACTGTAAACGCGTTTTTAAAAGCAGTTTTTTTACATAAAATAATTGTATTTAAAACCACCTTGATGTTGATCATCTGTGAAAATTTAATATTCAACTTTTCTTTAAAAGGATAAACTAAAGCTCACATAATTGGCAAATGTAAATAAAATATATTTGTTAATGGTGTAACAAATTAATGAAAGAAAAAATAAATTTTACCTTTATGTAACGCTTAATGTCGATCTCTTGATGATCAACCTGTTTACTTGAAATCATTCGAACTGCTTTGAGAGCAATTTCACAGACTAATTTGGACCATCTTCCTATGAACTTGGTACCTACGCACGATTTTATAACTTCAGCTAATTTTTCGTGGTCGTTGATATCTAATGTTACACTCAACTCGTCTTTTGCAATAGCTATCATATCTTCGAGGGCCAACTTATAGGCTTTTATAATAGTCGTAGGGTGTAATCCTTGATCTAAAAATGGTTCCGCCTTAGTAAGGATTTCTCCAGTTAGAATAACAACAGATGTAGTTCCATCTCCTACTTCTTCATCTTGAGTACGAGCTATTTCAATGATTGATTTTCCAGCAGGATGTTGTACAGTTATTTCCCGCAAGATAGCATTTCCATCATTAGTCATGACAATACCACCCATTGGGTCCATCAACATTTTCAACATAGCTTGAGGTCCCAAACATGTTCTAATTACATCGGCTATTGCCTAGAAAATTAATTAGTTACTTTTATGATTTATAATTGTATTCATAGAATTTTTATATGGAAAAAATTTATTTGAGTTGAAATACGAAAAGAACTCTTTGAAAAAACAATTAAGTGAGCGACTGCGACAATCTTTTGATCGCTTTTTTTCAAAATTATAGGTTCGCACAGCTTGTACTCTTCTCTTTTTTTTCTCGCCTTAAGATTTCTCTTTAGTGATCACCGTTCTGATTACATTATATACTTGATTATTGTGTTATAATTAGACGTCCCTACAGTTATATGTGCATACCACAAATGGTTCTAAAGTTTAAAGTGGAATCGGAACCACTTCTGACCTGAGCACCCTACAAAGCAAAAATTCATCGAAAGTGCCTTTGCGTTCGACCGAATTCAAGTCCGAGCTCTCGGTACTTCCTTGTCTCAGAAGGCAAGACCTCAATGAAAAATTACCTTTATTATATTTTAAAAAATACAATGGAAAAGGGAAGAGAATTACATTCAAAAAATTGAATAAAATTTTTGTCGATTTTAAGCGCCCTTTGAGCCTTAAGTACTATACAAGATGACACAAAAAGTATGGAAAACTGGAAATCCCGCGAATTAAACGTAATAAAAAAATTTTCTCTACATAACGCCGTTTTTTTTTTTTTTTTTTTAATCAATCACAACTTTTGACTATTTAAAAAGTATAAAAAATGTGAAAATGTAAAAGTCTTAGATTGTAAAAATATAAATAATGCGTCCGTCCCAAATTTAATGGGTCATTGTTCAAGTTAACTTGACATTCGTGATTTTAACTTAAAAAGAATACATTTTAGAATTGATACAATGTACTGGTTTGTACTTTGAGCTTGCAAACAACGTAATCATTCCACAGAAGTGAGTATCTATTTATAAATTAACTATAATTTGTTATAATAATCATGGAAAATATTTAATGAAAACTTATGGCAGATTTATTTAAAAATCTGTCAAGATCTCTGAAATGGCTAGTCTGATATAACTCCATGATACATTTATTTGTTTTCAAATGGGTATTATTTTCTAAATGCAACCAAGCAAGCAACTACCCTATGACAGAAGATTCGTTCCATTATACAACTTTAGGAATAATTTCATTTTTCATTAAAATCATTCTTGTATATCACATATGCTTGAAAAACAGTGACAATTAGCTCAACATATCATTGATGTAATAAGGTACTCATAATGACTTATATGCTTTGTGAAATGGTTAATAGCTTAAAGTATATAAAAAAGTAGAAAAGGAATGAAATGGAAGTCATTTGCATGAATGCATACCCACATGAGATTCTAAAAAATTAAGCATGATGCGTCATACAAGTAATATGATATTCTTGTTTAATATTCTTCTTCACTCAATTGATATAAGTACACCTATAACTATGCAGTGGATGTTGTCAAAATATTGTTTAAATTAAACATTTAATGATTCTAAAAAACAATAATTCTGCACAACATTCAGAATTATGCATGTGAACTATAAGAAAATGTATAAACCTCATGAATTTATAAATCTCTCAGAAAAATCTGCCAGATTATAAACCTTGCTATTGTAGAAATAAAGGACTGTAAAATTGAAATTCACCCCTTGCAAGCATATCAAATAATTTATGAAAGTAGATTAGAGAGTTATAAATTAGATTAAAATTATCTTATTTGGAATTAAAGATTCGTTAGAAAAATTAGGAAAAAAGAACTTGTAAATTTTCAAGGTATATTGAAAAAATTAATCATCATAATTCTTGACAGTTTTATGAATTTTCAAATTTTGTGAAAAAAACCTTAATAATCTTTGGCATTAATATCAGCAGAATGTTATGGATCTTATGTAATTTTGAGGGCTAATTCTATAACTTTTGTTAAAAACATACAAATATTAATATAATTTATATTTTGAAAAAAAAAATGGGATGCAGATACGACCATACTTAAATTAATTATCGCTACAATTTTTAAGCACAAAAACTCAAAATACAAATGTAACATATCAACAGTAAGATTGTGAAATCGCTTACACTAAAAACCAATTATTTTAATGAGGTAAAGTTGATGTCATTTTATATTCTTTGGTTGAAATTTGATAAATAATAGGTGGGCTATTCAGTACAGTTGGTTTTTTCAAGATAATTGAATGAAAATTCTATTACACCTCAAAATCCTACTATCGTGATATTATTTTCAACCTTAAAACTCAGTACTCAATATGTCAGTATTGACACTTACAGATTACTAAAGTTTCCGTATTACATTACATGGAATTCTAATATGTAGAAACTGGAAGGTAGTATACCAATGTTAAAATCATCAATAAAAATAAAATTATATTTACTGCAAACAAAAAGGTTTGGTAGAACTCTTGAGAAAAACTTTGAGGATAGAACAAATAAAAGAATCAATTAATGTTATTACATTTATTATCATCATGATGAGCTAATATTAATAAAAGAAAATTTTTGAGATCTTATTGGAAATGATTACTACAATTCATAATGTGTCTCAACTTGATTGATGAAGGAGAATAAAAATAACCTTCATTGTTAATGCGTGTTTCTATGAAAAATGAATCATATATAGGAAATTAACCTTTATTTTAACTAATTTAAGAATTATTTTAAATGAGAAAAAAAATTTCAAGGCGACAACCTAAACTTTTTTAAAAATAATACAATAGATCATACACCTTTCATTTTTATCATGTCCCACAAAACATTGTACTTAACTAAAAACAGATAGGAAACAATAATGTATGTTAAATCCTCGATATAATTCTTTATAGATATTAAAGAAAGTAAAAAATGTAAATATAAATCAAAATTAAAAAATTCAAAACCTTGCTTTTATAAACCAGTATGAATAAAGTATTTATCGTTTTGATATTATAGCATTGTCAATATTGAGAGAAAACAATTTTACTATGTAAATACATGTAATTTGAACCTTAGATAATTTTGTGAGCTTTCAACATACCCAAATATTACAGAAATAATAGGTTATAAATTGGTAAAATCAACGTAAGTAAAATTTTTGGGGAGAATTAATTAAGAAAACTATACATCACTGATAATATCATGACTTACTAGCCATGACAAAAATAGAATTATGTAAAAATAGAGCAGTAATTTGCTTCATCATTGTGTTAGAAAATTGGTGAGATATTCTATATTTCTAGATCAAATGACAATTGAAGCATACCTTTCCAGCTTGAATATTTTCTTTTTGAACTTTTTTACCAGAGTCACGTTTAGTATTTTGACCTGCAAAAATATATGGTACAATAATAATTGATTTAAATATCTAAAAATATTTCCGAAAAATTTACATACTAAGCACTACAATAGGAGCTGAACCTGGTCCAAACATTTTGAATATTGAGTCTGAAAAATTTACAAAATTTTGTCAGTAATTAATTGAATGCAAAAACGTATTCTTGAGAACTTAACATCAGGTAAATACTTTTTTTTTACGTGATTCACTAGAAAAAGTGTTGGCTTACAATCTTTCGAGCTCCAAAATTGGTAATACACGAATAGTAGTATCAGATCAGCAAAAAGTTATTTGCACGTCCACATGGATACGAACGCTAAAAATTAAGGTCTTGCAATGGTTTCAGTTTAGATACATAAGTACCGTTCTACAATAACACGATCAACACAATAAGGATGTTTCGGAGGAATGCAAAATTGCTATCTGAACTTGCTGATTAATAATTGTTATTATTACTAGATCATTTACAGCTTTAGCCTAGACTGTTATAATAAACAAAATATATGAACATTATCAATGAAATAATTTGAATTTGAAGTAACGTAAATGTGGGTAAATAGGGTTCTGAGATTTGTATTGAATCGGAAAAAGCGTTTCTGATTTATATTATGATCCTTTTAAATTTTATTTTTATCTTTATTCTAAATTTTTTTTCGAGGCAAATTGCAAGATATTATATTTTTGACGAGCTTTTACCAGGTCATAGTAATTTTTTAAAGCACTCTATAGAATTAATTTGTTCTGAAAATTTAAAAATTTTGGGTGCAAGAAATTAAAATGACAGTTTTTCGACCCTTTATAACACTTTAAATAATGATCAGCATTAAAAGAAATGTTTGTCTTGACGCTACTGGGAATTGATAAAAAAATATTGTAAATTTCATAATATATAAAATCAATGAATAAACAAGTCCCATTATTCGATCCGAATTGAAGTTAATGCGGTCATATTACGTGCTAACGCGTCAAAAGATGCTCAAAATTTATCCACCCACGTAGATTTCGTGTGGATTCGCATCGAAAGTTATTCTCGCGCTGCGCTCGGGCCCTAAACTACGCTGTGCCAAAAAGTGTTACTTATGGCACTTGTATCGTAAATTACTATTTTTGCATGCTCGACACGGCGTTCCGTGTCCAGCCACGGGATCCGAATAATAAAATCAAAATTTTTGTAAAATAAAAAATAGATGTACGCAAATTACTTATAATAACGAACTATAATATGTCAAATTTTTGGTTTCCGATGATCTTGTCAGGAAATATTCTGTGTATTGTAGTATAGATATGACATAAGATTTTGGTTTTTGAAATATAATTTTTTTAAAAAAAGTAATAACTTCTATCATACAAAGCAATGTCACTCCTACGGCTATTCTTAAAGCTATTTTCACTGTTATGTTATTTAAATTTTTTTTACGACAAACTGGAATTACTTGCCAAATTTTATAATAAATTTCATAATTCCGATCTTATTTTAAATTCACCTCAGAAAAGCAGAATAAAATTTTGTAGGGAGTCATGAGGGATAGATCTAAATCCTTGAAAAAATTTCCTGTAGAATCCGGCGAAATTTTTTTAAGGAAGAGCTAAAATTTCGTAGATTCTCAATTTTCAATGTAATTGTCCATATACTTTTGTAAACGTTTATCAATATTTAGAAACTCTCATAAATACTTATACATTTTTATAAAGTTTTATAAACTTTTATATAGCATAAAGTATTAGTTTAGGAGCCACACAGGTTCCCGCTTCAAAATGAATCCCGTAAGCGAAACGAAAGTGTTTTCCTCGTATTTTTTCCCGCTGAACACGAATTTCGGAGGTGGACATCGATCCGAGTGGTCAATTTTTTGTTATAAACAATTTAATTGTTTAAACGGCCATAACTCGAACACTATTGAAGATAAATTAAAACAATTTTCCGTCATTCTATTCTAAATGAAAAAACGAAGAAATTGAATTTTTAAACGTCAAAATCGGTTCATTAGAAAAAAGTTATGGCCAATTTTGTGTTTTTTTATCAAGTCGAGCCATTACATATTATTACACGTATCTAACTTTTTACATTTACAAAAATTTGAGCACAGAATACATGTAATAATATTTAATTTTTATACTGTTTTTAGTAATTAATAAATGAAAAGTTTGTTATTTTTTATTTTTCCTCAATTGAATTTTTCATAAATTGTTAATAACAACTGAACGGCGACTCAGATCGATTGCCAACCTCTTAACTCGTGTCCAGCAGAAAAAAATACGAGGAAAAGATTATTTTTTTACATAAACAAAATAAACAAATAATTGTTATTGAGAAAAAACTGTTTTTTTTGCAAAATAAAAATATTTTTCGACTCCATGGACAATTCTAAACAAAAAGTTTCTCTTGTCATTTTTTCGTCCGATGCATATGTAACGAATTAAAAATCGTTGAAAACTCGAATGTAGCAGATTTGGCTCGACTTGATAAAAAAACACAAAATTGGCCATAACTTTTTTTCTAATGAACCGATTTTTACGTTTAAAAATTCAATTTCTTCGTTTTTTCATTTAGAATAGAATGACGGAAAATTGTTTTAATTAATTATCTTCAATAGTTTTCGAGTTATGGCCGTTTAAACAATTAAATTGTTTATAACAAAAAATTGACCACTCGGATCGATGTCCACCTCCGAAATTTGTGTTCAGCGGGAAAAAATACGAGGAAAACACTTTCGTTTCGGTTTCGGGATTCATTTTGAAGCGGGAACCTGTGTAGCTCCTAGACTATATCCAGTAATGATTGACCGTGAAGCAAAATTCTGACTTAGCTCACTCACGGCGCTAGCGTACTGAGTTATAACATTTTTGACAAATATCTTCTGCTAGAGTATCCTTTCTAAATTGATAAATTTTTGTATTGTTCTTTATATTCATATTCATATAAAATTAATTAGTTGTTCCATTAATTATCATTATCATGCATTGATGATAACATTCAACATTTATGATAAGTTTGAAACCAATTATGAATAGCGTTCACTCGAGCGGCGTGTGCTCACTGTAAACTTACAGTCATATACTTGTTCGTTTTTGTCATCTTTCAGTGAGGAATGAATAACTTACTCGCAGGCCGCAGCGCACTAGGCAATTGTACCCGCACATTACTATTTCGTAGCATTAGTTTTCTCATTAATTTTTTCGGGTGACTTGTTGATTGTTCTCAAGAATTATCAGCGAATAAACGTTTTACTATAATTGTGAGTAATATAAACTAAGTTCGAGTACGTGTATTTACGTATTTAAGTAAAAAAAATGATACAAACCGAAGGGAAAACGCGGTCGGAATTAAGGGCTGAGAGGAGGTTAAAACAAGAAGCACAGCGTGCTGCAAAAAAACAAATTAATGAAAATAAAAAAGTGTTGAAATCTCAAGATGATAAAGTGTCAACTGCTCCAGCTAATCCTGTGCGTGTCCGTCCCCAATGTAAAAAAACAAACAATACTAAAGATAGTGTCTGTGAAGTGAAATTATTCAAACATTTATACTCTTATAGCAAAAACTCGTCAATTATTTTGAATCCAAAAAATTTTAACGTTCATCCTTCAATATTAAAATTAGGAATTAAGTATGCTAATAAAATTATAGTTGGAACCAATTCCAGATGTCTTGCTTATTTAAATGCTATCAAAGACTTGATTAATGATTATACAAAACCAACGAATGTTGATTTTACCAGAGGGCTTAAGAATAGTATTCAAGAAGCACTAAGTTATCTGGATGCATGTCGTCCAAGTTCAGCAAACATGTTGTTAGCTTCTACAGCACATCTTGAAGGTCGAATATCTCAACTTCCACTCACTATGACTGATGATGAAGTAAGTATTTTTCAAATAAAATAAAATGAATTCTAAATTTAATAATCTGCAATCATTATTAAAAAAAAATACGCGCAATTTAAAAGTTATTAAATTAAACTATATTATTGTTACATATACAAAAATTAACATACAATATAGTTATGATTGTTATGACGTTGTAGTTATAGTAATGTTATAATTGTAATTATAATTGTAATTATAAATTTGTGAGCTTGAAGAAGAAAAGTACAATTTAATTTGAAAATTCTATCATTACGATAATAGTGACACATTTAATTAATAAGCAGTATTGACAAGATTAATAATTTTCAACAGCATTTTAGCAAAATATTAATTGAGTAATGAGAAAATGTGATAAAGTATTTTCTTGTATAGGTTTTTTTATTATTTAAAATTAAAGCATTATTTATATAATTCTAGTTATTATTTGATATTTTTTATAAATAATTCAAACAAAATTTTTTTTTCTGTAAAACATGATTGATTTTACTGTTAACAATTGAATTTAAGTAAACTGAAAATTAAATCAACTATTTTACATTGAAAATACATGAATATGGTACTTTGTATAAGCTAATTTTTTTCTTCAGTCTATTAACACACTTGGATAGTAACGCATGCCGCTGACCATTGATCACACATGACTGATGTGTTCCCCTACGCTAACTCTAGTATAAATATGTTGATTATAATGAACTACATTTTTTTATGTTATTTTGCTTTTTATTCTGCTTTTCCGGGGTAAATGTAAAGATGATAAAATAGCATATAATACCATGAAAGTCCAAAAAACATTTAGTTGTCTCGTTCAATTAGGCCAAAATTGATGATTCTTTTGGTGATGTAACTTTTGCTCAATTTTTAGTCATCAGCAGACTAACGGAGACAATTTGTACAAATCGAAAACATGGTTTTTCTTTTTATTTTTATGAATTTTCCACGTTCACGTTGTACAGACAAATATCAAGAAGAATAAATGTTTTTATGTAAACCTATACTCAATTCATCCCCTTCATGCGTATTTTCATCATAATTCTTCAAAAGTCATATTTAAAGTACATGGGAAAATTCAAAATTTTATTCTACCACCTATTTCTTGATATTGCTTTCATTCTAAATTAGATTCTCAATACCAAGTAGACCCAGAAGTAAAACTTTATTTTTAATTTTATAATCAGAAAAATGTTAGGTATTTGATTTCAGTCATGTATGCTTGAGGGACTTTAATTTAGAAATAACTTAAAAATTTTAATATAACAACCCAAGAGGTCATTTTACTAAAATTCGTGATAATAATAGTACATGAATTGGCATAGCCAAACTCCAACTTCACTAGATTTACTTTTTCTGCTTGTTACCAAATTAGTGTCACTCAAGTGTACATAATTCTTACAAAGTAGCAAATCGTGTCATGTGAAAATATTATACATTAAGTTCAATTGAAAAATAAAATTTTTCAGAATTCACTGGTATTCAAATTTAACCCATTCATGACGAAAAGGCTTGATTTTTTTTTGGCTCTCGAGGCGATTTGTTTCGTAGTTTTAGGCCTCAAAAACATTTTGCACGCACCTGTTGTAATGTAAAATTTAATGCCCTTTTATAAACTGAGCTCAAAATTTCGAATTTTTGCATAATAAAAAAGTTATAGGTATTTAAACAAAAAAAAATGTTAAAATGTTTGCAAAAAATCAAGTTTTCGATTTTTTTAGCCAAGTTGCCATTAAGGAATCACGATAATGACTTATGTTTTATATGAATACAATGTTATGTTTAGTTTGTACGACTCCCGTAGATATTTCACGGGATCCTACAGGAATTTTTTCAAGGGAGACCTTTGAAATGCAATCGATTTAAGGGTCCTCTATACACGATGTGAAATGCTCAGTCGGTAACACCAGCTACCTAGTTATATTTATGTTCAGTCTGAAAAATTGGAAATGTTATTCGCAAATAATCGAGTTGACGCACATTTCTAATACACTCATTAACATCGTGGTCAAGTTTTATCCAATTCCATGCATTATTCAAGGAGAAAAACGAAAACTACGAATAATCATAACCTATAAATAACATTGATCATGATTATTCGTAGTTTTCGTTTTTCTCCTTGAATAATGCATGGAATTGGATAAAACTCGACCACAATGTTAATAAGTGTATTAGAAATGTGCGTCAACTCGATTATTTGCGAATAACATTTACAATTTTTCAGACTGAACATAAATATAACTAGGTAGCTGGTGTTACCGACTGAGCATTTCACATCGTGTAAAGAGGACCCTTAAGTGTAATCTTTATATTTTTCTTAAGGTGATGCCTTAACCACAATTGCACAGAAGCAGCACAGAGCACAGAAAATGTATATTTTCGTAACTTTTTTTCCAGGCTGATATTCGAAAAACGGCTCTGTGGAGCCCTCCGTATTGTTGCTGCGAACAACTGCGACAAATTTCAGCCAATTTCATCGGATAGTTTTCCCGGAAAACAGGATCAAAATTTTTTATGCTGCAAACAGTAATCAAAATTTTCGATCCTGTTTTCCGGGAAAAATATCCGATGAAATTGGCTGAAATTTGGTGCAGTTATTCACAGCTACAGTACGGAGGGCTCCACAAAGCCGTTTTTCGAAAATCGGTCTAGTAAAAAAGTTGTTTCAATTTACATTTTCCGTGCTCGGTCGGTAAAAATTGTGGCCAAGGCATCACCTTAATGGTTTAATTTAAAAAAAAACCACTGTAATTTTTCATCATAAATTGATTTTGAAAGTCTGTACTAATAATTTTAATCATTTTGCAATTAGGTAAAAAGGAAATTAACCAACATTATTGACGATTACATGGAAGAACAAATATTATTGGCAGATAGAGCAATATCTAATTCCATTAATAAAAAAATCATGTATCAAGATACTCTGGTAGTGTATGGATTGTAAGTATAAATTTTATTTGTAAAATTTATTACGTTAATCGGGAAAAAATTTTAAATATAACACAAATTAAATAAGTATAATCTTACAGAGTGTACGTAAATATCCGAAAAGTGATTTACATAAGTTGGAAGTTATACTTATAATTTTCTATTGCTATTTTAAAATTTTAAGGTCATTAGGAAATAAATCATTTAAAAACTGATTCAAGTTTATTTTAAGGGCACTTGAGATTCAAATAAATCCTTTATTTTATATCAAATTTATCAAACAAAAGGAAAAATGTGCTATTAAAGTACAACTTTTCTCATCCTTTCAACACATTTATTATTGATCTTCTACTAAGATCTTACTTTAAAATATTAAACAAAACTTTAATTTTTTCAAAAAGTTTCATCTAATATTGGTATAATAAGAGTCTATGTGAATCTGTAAGCGCTCTTAAAATTGTCAGTCTCTTAATCTTTGTGTCGATTATCGTAGGCAAGATCTTGCTTAAGATTTATTTTTGTAGGATCTGGTATAAGAAAACATGTTAAGATACAAATTTAATCCATGCAACAAATCTTGACCAGTTCCAAAACCGTTCTTATTTGCTTCATGTACAAGTTTCTATAATTAAATGTTTTATGATGTTTTCAGTTCGTCGCTGATCTATTCAATTTTACTTGATGCTCACAAAACAGGAAAAAATTTGAAAATTATAGTTGTTGACGGACATCCTTGGTTAGAAGGTAGAGAACTTTTAAGACGTTTGTCTAAGCATGGCATTGACTGTTCCTACATGATGATGAATGCTTTGAGTTTTGTTATGCCACAGGTAATTACTGATAAGTTAATAAATTACGTTTTCTTTAAAATTAAGTATTTAATAGCATATTTCTCAACGGGTGCAGCTATGGGTTTTTAGCGAAACGAGGGATCACGAGCCGAAGGCGAGTGCTGTCACGAGTTTTGTTAAAAAACCATATCTGCACTAGTTGATGATATTATTTTTTCCTACAAGAGCCTGAAATTAGCGGCAAAGTTGCGTATTTGAGGTTAGAGTGGGAAAAAATAGTTTTTTTTACTGCTTTAAGCTTTTCTTTACTTTCTTAGGCCTGTATATGCTTTTGCAATAGCTGTATATAACTCATTTTGCAGAAAAAGCATATACGTAATTGGAGTGGCACTGGTTTATAGTACTGTGGGGCATAAGTTCACGTTTATGACACGCTTTCTGGTGGCATAAGTCGCACATTCTGGCATCAAAAAGTGCGACTTATGCATCAGAAAGGGCGCATAAATTTGAACTTATGCCACGCAGTGCTATAAAGTACTATTTTATACCTAGCATCATTAAGTACCAAAAAGACGTTTTTTGCCCTTATTTCGCCCACAAAACTTTTGGTAAGAATGTAGTTTAAAGGATATGTGATTAACATTTTTTTATGTATCATTTAATGCCCTTTCAGAATCTGACCTCAGATTTACAAAAATAAAGGAGCAGATCAAAAGTTATTCTTGAATTTATCTAAAAAAAGTGATTTTCAAAAAACATTTCTTTCGGTTTTTTGATTTTCCAAATGAAAATCATTTAAAATTGTATGGTTTACGTGTAAATATCGTGTCCTCGATACCTTAACTAAAAGTTAGGTTCGATTTAGATTGGAGACGATAAAATCTAACCACGTAAAATTGTGATCTGAACACGAAAATATAAAAAAAATTTTGGAATATTTAATTTGAAAACGAAGCACTTAGTAAAAAGTATTATAGATCCATAAGTGCTTAGGATTGACCAAAAACACGTGTGCACTTTTCAAGAATTTTCGAAGCAATTTTTTTATATGACTGTTTTTTAGAAAACTTCAAAACTTGCTCAAAAACTTCTAAAAAAAATTCATGTTTTTTAATCAGTTTTAATCACTTTTTGTTCTTTCATATTGGTGGCTTAATTGGTGTAAAGTGTTCTACAATATGTGCTTTCTGTAACTGCGCATCATGTAATACGCAACGTGAAATAGTAACAATCAATAAAACTCGTTTAAAATGAAATGCTGTTAAGCTAAATACTTCTTCGGTGTTTAGAAACCCATATTATAATTTGTATCGCTGAAAAGCTTATAATTTCTGCAAGGCAAAATAACTTTCATTCGAGTCTCCCGTTTTCTAAGAGTTACAGGAGCCTTTTAAAAATTCCAAAATTTTTGCTTCGTTACTGTTAAATCTTGTGTCAGTTTGGTCCTGATTACATATTCGAAGGGGCAAAAAAACGTCCGTGGGACTTAATGGGCTAACTTACGTACAACATAATGCCACTACCTCTGTTTAGCACGATGCTACTTCTACGCTTTGTTTAAACTTCTAAGAACTCAACTTGTCCCTTCATAGATGAATATTTGCAAAACTCATTCCAATGAAACGCTAGGATTGAAGTTCCGAACGCAGATTATTCTTTTTCGAAATGAGTAATCGAAATTAATCATTTTTATTGCTGTTTGGTATTTTTCTAAAAAAGATTACCTCCGTTTGCAATCTTTTTAAAAAATGTAATGCTTACAGATAACTTCTTTGGATACTGGCACTTTATTAAAAGAAGTTTTATGCTAAAATTTCTTGCCAAAAAATTTTAGAGGTAGAGAATTAAAAGGACAAAAGGGGCTTAAAATAGAAAAAAAAAATATTTTCGAGTGTAATTGTTTGTCCTATTTCCATTGCATTTTTCAAAACTTCAAAATCTTTATTATTCTCTAAAATACAAATGTTACTGTGAGCTTTTTTTGTACACTTTGCGTATTCAATTTTTTCTACTTTTTTTTAGCGTTTTTGCAAAATACAGCTCCCTTGTCGTAATATTCAGAGCGAACCGTTGAAGCTACAGTACCAGGGTCGCGTACACTTCTTCAGAACATTAATGGTCACAAGTAAAACCTCGGGCGAGATGATCCGACCCATTGACCACCCTGCACAAACACTTAAGCATAATTTATTTTTCATTTTGTTATTTTTCCTACCGTAAATCTTTCAGCTACTCATTAAGAGCAAGCACCTAAGAGTCGAATCGTCTCTCCCGAGGTTGTATTTTTGACTATTAATTTTCTGAAGAAGCTTATACGCTGTAACTCAATCGGTACGCTCTGAAAGTGATGGATATGCTGCTCATGATCATTTATCTTTATAAAACTTCATTTTTCAGGTTAATAAAGTCTTGTTAGGAGCCCATGCAATTTTGGCTAATGGTTCTGTAATGGCCAGAGTCGGAACATCTCAAATTGCTTTGACAGCAAAGGCTTTTAGTGTCCCTGTTCTCGTTGTCTGTGGAGCTCATAAATCATGTGAAAGGGTTCAAACGGATTCTTTCGTTTATAATGAAATAGGTAAGTTTTAAATTTTCTTTCAAAAAAATGATAATAAATGTTAAGGTATGATCATACCAAACCTCGCATAGTACATGTCTCATTCACGTGAACACTCTTTTCTAAGCTTGTTTCTAATACTATTATAAAAATAATGATCATCATCATCATAATTACGGCCAGACGGGATCTCAACCCAAGGTCGGTTAATAAATTGTAAATAATAATAATAATAATAATCATAACGAAATAAAAAAATCAGGCAATGATCGATAGTTGACACAACTGACTTCGGCTGCTTGTGTTATGTTATACTTGCAAAAAATGCAGGGTCTTTTTCTAAAAATATAAGTAAACATTTTGAACACAATGTTGAAGATTGAAGGCTATATATTAAAGTATTTTAATAATAATGTTTAATTATATAGTTCTGAAACTAGAGCTCGCTTGAAGGAGTGCTTCAAAGTAAAATCTTGTTTCGAGATTTTAGGTGGACTGTCAGAACAAGACGGATTCATGCTGTATGCAGAGAATCATTATAAAGTATACAGGGTGTCACAAAAGCATAGAAACCTCCTGAAAGCAGGCTAAATATGCGGAGAAAAAAATCAAAAACCCCATATCTAACGTATTTTTCACGGGGAATCCAACGGTGATCTTGGATTTTACCTTTAACCTCAAAGCTACAGCGACCCAAAAATCAATTTTTCAAATGGAAAGCCCTAATTTTTATTTCAAATTTGAAAAGAGCGGAAAATTTTACGAATGAACAAACAAAATATCCCCCATAGCAACGCGAGATAACGACTCTCTTTTTCTCTCTCCTTCTTGTCTGTACAGTAGATAATATTGACTGCTCAAACAGTTGATATTGTAAACAAATTGTAAATAATAAATCAGAGATAAAAAGTAATCATCCTGTCTTATACATTAGCAATAAAATAAGCAAAATTTGGTAAATATCGGCCGGGTAGATTTGGAATCAACTGTCCGACATTAAAAAACTATTTTTATAAAAAAATTCCCCGAAAAGTATAAGGAAAATATTTTGGAATACTTATTTCTAACTGGCTACATTGGCTAAGAAATCGCATGTACTACCCAGAAAAAAATTGATGAAAATTTTTATTTGGTTTTTATTCTAGCTAATAATAGTCCCTGAAACGACAGAATTAAAGCTAGTTAACATTTTAATTACCTTGAATGACGTACATTTTTTGGGAAAATTCTAATTTTACCTTATTTACTTTTTGCACCAATAATCATTCTTGAAATTATGCATACTTTTTACCTAATACTCATACTTTTTCATTTTCAGGAGATCCCGATTTCTTACTTGAAAATTCTTTATTTTGCATAAGAAAGAGAGGCATTGTCAATTGGAAATCGAAAAAATCTCTCAGTTTATTGAATATAACATACGATGTTACACCAGCCAATCTAGTCAATGCTGTTATAACAGAATTGGCGGTATTACATGGTACTAGTATACCAGTTATTCTCCGATTAAAGCCATCTGAAATATAATTTTTTATTATTAGAAAGTATTGTTAATTTTTGATTGAAAATAAAGAAATGATTATGATCAAAAAATTCAAGCTTATGACTACTATTACAAAATATACCTTCTACATCTATTTTTTTAGTTACGTACAGTGCAACCTCTCTATAGCGGTCATTAAAGCTGATTGAGTGTAGTCCTGAAAAGTACCAGTGGTCTCTACTTTGCTTCAGGTTACCGACATAATCTCCGCGCGACACAATCTCTAGAAACAAAATTTCCGGTGAAAAAATCTAAACACACTAAATATCACAAAATAACCCAAAATAACCCATTAAAGTAATAAAACCGCTGCCAATTTATTGGGAAAGAGCTTCCTCATAAAAATAGTACTAATAAAATGCATCGGTTATTCACGTGAATATTGTTATTTTTAAATTTTGATTCACTGTCTAGTACTGTCTAGTAGTGTAGTAGAAAAAAAACTCATACAGACATTTGTAGGTAATTCGATGTAATCTCCAAATATGTAAACCAAATTGTCTTACGACGTCTAGTTCCGAATCTCGATTTCAAGCCTATCGCAAGACTTCCTCTATAAGGAAGCAAAAAAACAACTTCGAGTCATTAATTTTAAAAATATTCGGTGAATCTCTACTTTTTTTGAAGTTAACTATAATACAGCACTAGAAATCTGTAGGATATACTATCCTGGCGTGAAATGAACTGTAACTATTAAAAAAATTGAAAAAACCTTTAATTACCGCCAAAAAATATTGCGATTTGGCCTAAAACGGTCAATGCGCATGCGCGGGTCAGTGCATGCGCACGCGCAGGCCTTATGAACCGGAAATGGAATATTTTGAATTTGGAAAATTGTGTTATTTCGCGATAACTTTGTCAATTTTTATCCGATCTTCGTGAAATTTTCATTGAGTACGTAACAAAGCACTAGAAATCTGTAGGCTATACTATCCAGGCGTGAAAGGAACTGTAACTATTAAAAAAACCGCTGCAATTTCATTGGCAAAGAGCTTCCTCATTAAAATAAAATACCAATTAAATTTTTTTTTAAATAATGATCAAAGTTTTTTTATAAAAATTTAAATATTTATTTTAAAATCACCATAACATTTCCTGTAATCATATAAAGTAAAGTTAATATGGTGTGTTGTATTAGTGTAACAAAATTTTAAAACCTATACCTGTTTCTTATCACCAATGTTCTTAACGGATATTTCAAATCGCAGTGACTTTGTCGTCACCGAAACTTTCAAAAAATCTACTTTTTTCGTGATTGCGCACTACAGAATTACGCCTTCTTCGTCTAGGCGTCAACTTCAACCGTGTAATGAATTTCGTTAAAAAAAATTTTTTTCTGCAAATTATGCATACAACACAAAAACCTTTTTTTCATTACTTCTGCATTTTATAATTTTCTTAAAATACTTTCCTTGTTCCTTATAAATGCGCGTAACTGGTAATTTTTAGTATTAAGTTTTGGATTATTTATTATAAAACAATAAAAAAAATATCGTTTTCGAGCCTATCACAGAGCTTCCTCTATGAGGAAGCAATTAATGTTTATACGTACCTAAAAAACATGAAAATATTTTAAAAATGTGGCGGAGATTTAGTCCCAGAAATGTTGTCAGGATCTACTTTGCTTCTCTCCTCTCTGCATGCTTCTTGGCTAGATAGCGCCGTAGCCGTTCGCGGTCGGTTATGTCGGAATCAATACACTCGCTCTCAATTTCAACAACTATGTCAGCATACGAATTATTTGAAGATTCAAAACAAAAGACATTCCCTTGGAGCTTTCTTATGTCTGTGTCAGTTTCACAATCTATTTCATTTTTTTGCTGTAATGGAAAACCACTCACCTAAAAGCAATAAGAAACAATTTTATGTTTTTATACATATAATTGTCGTTTTATACCTACGATCGCGTATAGTATGGTCAGTTTTTTTGCTAGATCATATTCCAAATCTGTAATGAGATAATTTAAAAAATGTGTGCCAATTCATTTGATTGACAAAAAGACTCTTCATAAAAAAGTAATCGTTACTTTTTCTTTTAAAAATGCTCATAAAGCAATTTTCCAAACTTAAACTCTGTTAAAACATAGAGTATTACACAACAAGGGGGCAAGAGTAATGAATGTCTCAGATCACATGCAATTGTCACGCGAGGCTTTGTCTCTACGCGACCGCGCAGTGGGAGGGAAATTTTACTTAAAATTAAAGGTATGAAGAAAATGAAATTTCCAAATAATGTAGATGGTACAATTTTTCTTTACGATGTGCGACGGTGCAAGTCCCCGCTTACCGATGCTTCGTCCGGCCGACTTTTCTACTCACAGATAGAGCGCACGGTAATCTGAAGTTTAAAAAAGCACGATACCAAGGTTCCGCGTGTCGGCGCGTCGCCGAGAAGGAAAAGTCGACACGGCCCACCGGTGAAACTGCGATACGCAACTGGAGTGGAGGATATGAGAAAAAAATTATAACAAAATTTGATGCAGTTAATCTATTGTTTATTAAAGTATTACAGTTAATCTGGTGCTTCGCGAATTGATATGCTCAATAACAGTGCTCGTGGTTGTATACCATAGAAGATGATTTCCCGAATATCGAAAGGAAATTGTCTGTCTCTCTTGAACCTATCATCTCCTTTATTCGCGCAGCTACGCTAACTCAAAGCTGAAAGCACTGCAGACCCGAACGCCGCATATCACAACCAATGTAGCTACATGTACTACATGGACATGATGTCTGGTTTCTGCCTTAGCTTTTGCCCTGGGCTCATGTTGAGCTGCGCTACAAGCACTCCTTTTTCACTCTAATCACTACATCTCTTTTCAAACTTATGTCAATGCGCGCTACGGTTGCAGCAGATTTACCTTCAAGTGTACCAATGATTGCTTTTCTCCTTTTCTTGTTTCCGCAAGGGTCACATGGAGGGGTCAAAGTCGCATACTCACTCACCTTTCTACCTTTCCAAGCTCTGGCTTTTTCTTAGCTCGTTGAGTCCTTCGCACATCTGCTGTTACTTTTGATCAATATTTATGAGAAGTTCATGATACCCCGTCAAGATACAGTAAAATAATAAAAAAACAGCAAGCTATTAAAACTGCAAAAAACTCAATTCCAAATTTCGATTTTTCAAGCAAAAGTATATACAATGAGTGCGGTATCACCCCCCCCCCCCAGTAAAAAGGTTTGGTAAGATCTCACTTGTTTAAGACGGTTGGTAAGAACTTACGTAAATTCTTACGTTCCATCAGTAAATTTTCTTACGTAAGAACTAACGTAAGTTTTAACTTGGAATTTAAAAAAAAATGAGGAATTGTCAGTTATTTTCGAAATTATTTACGTAATAATTAAGAGTATATTTATTTTTAAACTTTCGAGAAGTGAAAAAGTTTCTCGGGACCTAGGATTGAACCGATGATCAGTCGCTTAAAAATCCACCACTTGAGCCATTCATTGGATATAGAAGGGTTAACAAAAAAGTTATATTAATGATTTGTGTGTATACAATTTTTCCAAGTGCTTTTATCTAACTACATTTATATTAACATAAAATAAAAACTAGTTAAACAATATAATTATTATTTAAAAATCTTGCTTGCGCTCTCACTTTGGATGGGTACTAGGTTAGGATCCGGACTCGGCGATGAATTTCTTCAGATAGTCATGACTTTTTGGTGATAATGACGACCCAAGTGGTCTACTCTGGTTCACCCAGGCTCTCCCACAACAAGTTAAACTTTCTGAAGAAAGTCATCGCCGTGTTCAATTTGAACCTGGTTTACGTAAAAAAATTGACTGATAATCGAACGTAAGAATCGTGAGGTTAAATTGGGTGAAATAAATAAATATGGATGCAAATGATTAATATTTGAATAGTAATAACAATCATATTGGATATGGAAATAATATTGAATTGATAAATACAAAAGTTCCTCGGAGCGCCACTGCATGTAGAGCATGCAAACTCTCGAATTTACTATCTCAGGGGCGCGAATCCCTATAATTATTATTATTTAAGCGATTCGCGATGGCTCAAGGACGGTGTATGTGTGTGTCGTGTACTTAATATAATCGCAGGCCAGCCTCTTCGGCGTCGACGTCTCCGTGGCCCCTCTCAATGATGGATGGCATCAGCGTGGCTGAGGTGGCAGGCGGCACGTCTGGATGGATCGATCCAATTGTCCAGTGACGGGTTGGACTCGCACTATTCACAATTGCGATTTAACGTAGTCGGGTGATACTATCGACTTATATCACACGGCAAGATAACGAGATGATTTCTCGGTTCGCGGCAAATATCGGAGGTGCGATTATTGCCTTTCTCAATGACAAGTTAGAGAATTTTTACCGGCGTCTCAGCGACGTAGTTACGAGTTGCACTCCGAACGACTTTTACTATGCTGGACCGAGGTTTACTAGTCGAGCGTGAAACAGAGAGTGTTTTTCGTCAGTCGCACTTTCAAGTACTCCGGCCTGATCGATGATCGTACGCGCAAGCGTAGCAAGGCGATATCGATAAGCTCCAGCTTTTCGTCTTTCGGCCAAGCTTCGTTAGTGCGACCAACTTGTCGTTCACATTCCTTGCCATGCGAGTCCTGTGCCTGTGTTGCCATTGTTGCCATTGCTACTGCCGACTTGTCGTATCGTCTTCTTGCTACATGTGCGTATGTGTTTTTTTTTTCTACTCCACCCCATTTGGACACTCACCGGTATCCGCCGTTAGGCATTGCTTCGGTGAGGCCCGGGTTAGTTGAGCATTTTTGCTACTTCTGTTAGTCGTTTTTTTTTCATACATCCCCCATCCGTCGCATAGTGATATGCGACGATAAGGGGTTCAGGGACTCATCTTCTTTCTGCTTGGTGAACCTCCGATCCTGCCTGATGCCATCGTCGATTGTTGTATCCCTTTTTTCAGAGCCGTCTGCTGCGTGGTCACACATTGCTAGTATCTCCTCCTGAGTTGGACATCTTCTTTAGAACTCGCTGTCTAGTGCCATCTTGTGAGTGTGGTTCTCGCTTCTGCAGCCGATGGCAAGCCCATCCCTTTGCACTGTCAGCTACATCTTGTGAGTGTGGTTCTCGCTTCCGGCGCTACCCTATGAGTCGTCGTGAGTTTTTGATACTCCTCCTTTTCTGTTGTCGTCTTGTGAGTATGGTTCTCGCTTCTGACATCATCATGGGAGTGTTGTGTTCCTTGCCAGCCTTGTGAGTTATCGCTTCCAGCTCGCACAGTGATCGGGGTTTTTTACCACTTCGGAGGGTGATGAGATAGCCCGGGTCTTTTTTTTGAGTGGTACCCGCTCCACCTCGGGCACGGGCTCGACCACACCAGGCGAAAAAACGAACCTCGCAAATTCGCCAAGTGGGGATCGAATCCACGCCCTACGGCACACCTTGTATCAGCAGGCAAGAACTATACCCACTGAGCCAAGGAGGCCGATGTGTGTATGTGTTTGTGAGTGTGTGTTTGTGTGTGTGTGTGTGTGTGTGTGTATGTCGCGCGTGGTTGAGCCTATGTGTCGAACGATCATCGTTGTGCCGTGAGAATCGTATCTCCCGTCACAGAATTTACGTAAGAAATTACGTAAGAACTTACGTAAGTTCTGATCTACCGTCTTAATCAAGTTCCTACGTAAGATCTTACCAAACCATTTTACTGGGGCCTAGTCGGCAAAGTATAAAAAAAAATTATAAGAAAATTATTTCAAAAAGAAAATTTCTTATTATTCATACATTGTAAATCAAAGCAAAAATGAACAAATTTCTGAATCATTTTTGAAGTACGCTAAATTTTGAATAAAGAAAGGCCATTTATTGTTTGGAATTAATTAAAAGACATTTTCGCAAGATATTTTGCGATAAATTTGCAATAAGAAAAATGTTGTAATTAGATAACACTATTCAGAAACATATAGCAAATCAATTTTTCTTCATAGATCCTATTTTATTGTGTTGATTAAATTATTTTATATCACACAATAACGCTACGCCACGAAGAGTCCAAAAGTCCGGCACTTTGTCCGTTTGCAAGAAAAGAGAAGTTATAAAATTTCGGTCCGTTCGAGCTGGCTTTTTGTACACTGGACACTAAAAAATGAAATGTCCTATTATTGAAGTGAAACAGAATATTAAAAAAGAATAATAATTGAATCTTACAACATAAAGTTTTGTATTCTTTTCAGTTTTGTTGTACAAAGCATAAATGTGAATTACTGGAATGGATGTATAGAGGATCTTATTAATTGCTTCAGTCAGCTTACAATTTTTCCGATCCCAACCTGCTCCTTCTAAGAATAAGCCGTATACATACACACCTTCCTGTAATAAATGAAAGAACATCATAAAGACACATACATTTTTGACACATAAAATGTATTATAATCTTTTTAAAAATGGAGATAAAGTACAGAGAACATCTCTATTGGCTTAAATTGAAAATCCTCATTATTATAATAATTAAACGCAGGCAGCGAAGTGGTAATATTGTATCTTATAGTACTTGTCATGAGTTGCGTTATCTTACAATAAGTTAGAATCTTTACACATGCTCACTTTCTAATTTTAAGTCATTTTCGAATAGAAACGGTACCATCTATTAATTATTTTTATGCATTTTTATGTAATTTTATGCACTCTATTGAGGAATGAATGATACCGTCACGTCGCGTTGCGACGAAATTCTGTACTAACGCACTAGGGCAATTTTGCGAAATAGCATGGAAAATTCGATAAATGTATAAAATAATAAATGTCGCACAATGAGTTTTGTACATTTATCATTTTTAATTGAAAGTACATACTTAAATATGAATTTAGCAAATTTAATCTTATTAAAAAGTTGATAAATAAGTGTTGATAAACAATATTTAATGTTGAATATCCGAGCGCCGCACAGCGCGGCATTATTTAGTCGAATTGTTAAATTTGTAACTCGCTGTAAAAGTACCTAAATGCACTTAAAAGAAAAAAGTAAAGTATCATTTCGATGGGAAATTGCCTCAGCTTTCCGTTGGTGAGCTGAATCGTTCAGTCCTCAATAGACTTTGTGTAAAATATACATGGAAAATTCATATTTTCAGAGTTAATCATACAAGAGCATATTTATGTTTTTGCGTTAAATCATTAAAATTTGTCTCTAAATGCATTTTCATTCATTTTTCGACAGGAGCTAAGCTTGAAGATCTACTACCAATCATGTGGCGGCACAGACTCCCAAACAGTTTTAAAATTTTTAGATACCAATCGAGTTACGGGATTCTGAAAACCAAAATACTAGTAATACTAGTGGAGCACAGATTTTGTCACAGAGAAGACGACAACCACCATAGTTCGGTCATCTTCACAAATACGCGATCAAACTATAATCGTACGGTCGATGGTTCCCCTACAAAATTCACGCACGGAATCACCGCATCACAAAAACAAAAGCCAACATAATGCGGCTACTCAAAAAAAAAGCACAAAGCATCGGACTGTTTCAAAAAAAAGAAAAGCCTACTAGAGTCGAAAGGTGATAATCTGTGTTTCTTTACCGGTGCAACAATGAGCACTGGATAGTGCTTGGATAACGGGAGCATATCCTACGTACGCAGCAATACGGGCTTTTTTCAAAACACATCTTATACTAAAAGCCACTTACAGCTTGCCAGTAATACTGCAGCAGACATGTGTGCTAAAGGTAATGTAAACTTTAAAATGAACGAGATCTGTTAAGACATAAGCATAAAGGATACACTATACGTGCTTAATCTCCGAACCACCGCAGTCTCGGTCGTAAAAATTTAATTTTGTAAACTACGATCGCTGATTTTTATGTGAACTACGATAAAAATCGTGCCGTGGTTCTTAATTCCAACGATGAGATTGAAGCTCAGGCTTATTGAATAGGCGATTTATTTTTCTCAAACAATGCTGAAGAATCACGCAGCATTACCACATTTTCAAAAATCAAAGTTTTGATAAACGAATGGCACTCGTGACTCGGTAATTTGAACTCCAAAGTTCTCAAAACTACGTTCGCAAGGAGACATGCAGAACGCATTGAAGACATACAGATCGAAAACATCGATTAATGTAAACTTGCGCATTAGCAAAAATGATCTGAGAACCCTTTCAGCTTTGGATTAAGTATGCAACATAACTAATCCCGAAGTCATACATACCGATGTAAGCGGTCCGATGCAGACTCGCTGGGTACTCCAACTTTGCGATAGCATCATCATTCTAATAATGTTACAATTAAAAAGTTACCTATCTTTTCATTTACTTACTCAAAAGAGATTATAGCTAAAATATCTAAAAAGTAATTTATAAACTTTTTGTGACTTGAATATGTTTCTAATTTTGTTACATGCTCTTGGAAACCCCAAGAACTGCAGATTCTGTCAAATTAAAACTATTTATATCTGTGAAGTTAGTGTTTGTTGTAGATTGACAATGCGCAAGTTTGCTTGTTGTGTTGAAAATCTAAAGACAAACAAAAGTCTGGCAACCAGAAAAAGAATGTTTTCTAAACACATATTTCAGTTATTTGATTGGGACTTTTATTATAAAAAACGTGAAAAAAACGGTATCTACCCTGAAAGGCATCCAATTCCCTGCGATACCAATCTGATTTGAGGAATATGATTAAAAATTAATAATAATCAATAAGATTTTTACTTACAGGTGGCGAACTTTTGATATCATCTGGAGAATATTTCGTTACATCATTGTGAAGTACTACACCATCGAGAGCCCATCCCTTATGCATTCGAGTAACTTCTTGTTTCATGGCAGTCAGAAATCCTGTAATTATAAGAGGTACTTCCTTAGTAGGGCGCCACAGAAACAAATAAAATGTTTATTCAACTAACATCAACTTAAAATGAAGAATTTATTTCTAATCCTAGTATCCTTAAAATGATCTTGAAAAAAAGAAAATAGAAATTCTACCGCAAAATTTTCCGCTTTTTTTAAAACCTCAATAAAGATTAGGCGCTCCCATTCGAAAAATAAATATTTGGTCTGCTGTAGCATTGTGGTTATATTCAATATCAAATTCAAACTTGCTTCGAAAAATTTTCAGGGGTTTCTAACGTTTAATGTGATTTTCAATGCTGTAATGAAATTATTTTGTATATAGCGCACAAACGAGTACACAGGTGAACCTTCGTATTCGCGGGGGTTCGGTTCCAAAAAGTACCATGAATGTAAAAACCGTTAATACGGAAACATTGTTCTTCTGAGAAAAGGAAGGTTTGGTCATCCAAAATTTTTATTCATGCATAAGTTAAAAATTTTGTTTCTTTGAAAATCAAATTCACGATGAAAATTTATTTATAATTTGAAAAAATATTGAGTTAAGCTTTGTTGCTTTGCTCTACTTAATAGATCTTTGTACAAATTATTATAGCTCTATAATGATTTTTTAATATCTTCTTTAAACTGAATGCTGTGAGTAATGGGATCATAACTTAATGCTTTTTCAATGAGACATTCGGCATCTCCCAAAATATTCTTCATAATTTTGAAAGTAAGTGTGGGTTCTAGCTCACGTATTACGTTCTCATTGCTTTGAGTTTCTGAAACTTGATTTTTTTACACAATTTCTGGCAAAAGTTTATTTTAACCATTAATTAAGGTATCAATAGGTTCACGTTTCGCTATAGGGACATTTTGAAACATTTTTTTTTAATTTTCCGAAAAAATTACACACTAAAAAAATATTAATCATCAAAAACTGCGAATACTGAACTTGGATGACAAACGAGTGAACAGCGAATACCAACATTTGCCCGTATAAACAAAAACACCATCAAAATTTGCCATGTTCATGCATTTTTTTATGTTTCTAAGACCCCAAAAAACACTTTCTTTCGACCCTTACACGGTTATTATGAAAACATGTTCGGTGTCGATTTGAACCTTTGAGAAATGGAAAAAAAACTTGCTTAAATATACATACAGTGTGTCACAAAATTATGGTAACCTTTGAATATCAAGCAGAATTAGCGAGGAAATAATTAAAAACCCCGTATCCAACGTATTTTATGACGTAGAATCTATGGGTGACCTTGAATTTGACATTGAACACAGCCTCAAAGCTATAGCAAACCGAAAATCGATTTCTTTCACGGTGATCCCTACTTTTTATAGCTGATTTAAATGAGTGGAAAAATTAGGTCTGGAATACTTGAGAAATAATACAATTTTTCATATTATAAATCTCTGTAATCTGAAGTATTCGTATAATTAATTTTAATACGTTTAAAACCTCTACGAATAAGGAGAAAATTGATTCCACAAACAAGTTAAAAATGAAAAATTGAAATGAATCTGTTTTAATAAATAAAATTTTCAGTCGTAGCCAACTTACATAGCTCAGTTTTGCGCAATGAACGTTGCCACTAGTAGTTCTATCGAAGTATCGAAGTATAATTATTATGGAGTGCAAATATATGGGTAAAAACCTAATAATGCCCCAGGGCCACGCGCGGGCAGCAAAACGTCCCGATTGCTCAGTTTTCAACTCGCTCGCAAAGGGTGAAACAAAATTCAGAAAAGTAAACCAATATAAGTTTTCAATAGTTTTTAACCTCATATTTCTACTGGTAAGGTCAAAAATGCAAAAATGTGCCCCATAACTTCAAAAAATGGACTTGAAGCTAAAATACGTTGTATCTTCTGGAGTTCAACTCCGATTTACTTTTCAAGTAGCTTTACAAAAATGCACAAATACCATGTATTTGTTTATTTTTATGGTGAAAACCTAACGCGTGAAAGATAAAGAAACGTTAAGTTTAGCGAAAAAAGAGGCCATTGCGCTCGAAAACGGCCGACCACGCGCTCTTTCCTTTTTCACCACTCGAGAAAATCGAAAAAGTCCCTTTTATTTAGAGTCATTTCTGATGTGAAATTGCAAGATTTTTCGATGTAACTACTTAAAAAGTTAATCAGAGTTGAAATCTAGGAGTTACAACGTGTTTTAGCTTCAAGTCCATTTTTTGAGGTTATGGAGGCATATTTTTACATTTTTGACCAGTAGAAGGCTGAGGTTAAAAACTATTAAAAACTTATGTCGGTTTATTTTTCTGAATTTTATTTAACCCTTTGCGAGCAAGTTAAAAACTGAGCAATCGGGCCTTTTTCGCTCCCCGCGCGTAGCGCTGGAGTATTATTGGAGTTTTTACTTGTATTCATATAATACATTATTGACAAATTACGTTACAGCTGACAACACTAATTTAAATGTATATACCTAACATCGATATAACACTATAAGAAAGACGGAGATTTTGTCATGCTCTCGTATATTAAACTAAAAGAGTGAAACGAATCAGATAAACTCATTCCTGTAAAATTTAAATACTTGTTATGAATCTTTAAAATAAAAGTAGTTACCTTGAGGATTGAAAAATCCTGTCATCCAAAATTTGTTAGGTCTTCCAAAAAAAAGCCACTGAGAAAACTGTTGATTTCGGTCTGTTAACTCAGTAAACCAAAATCCAAGGGTACTTGACTCCCATGATTTTGATTTCCATGAATCTGGAATCTTAGCATCGAAAATAGAGTCAAGTGCGTTCCTTAAATTCTGCAAAAATATTTTATCAAGTTGTTATTTGACCTTCATAACAATAATTAAAATTTATAAAGAAATTTACCTCGTTCATGATTATCACCCCTTCAATAGCGAGAATTAAATTAGATAATGTAGCTTTTACGAGACTAATAACTATTTGAATCCGATCAATTTCCTGTTTGAGAAATATAACCATTGGAGTTGTATGACCCAAAATTCGTAATCTGAAGCAAATGATAAAGCAAATGAGCAACTGTCAGCCTTTAAAAAAAATTTATTAGAGTATGCAAGAGTTATGAAGTAATTATAAAAAATTTTGTCTGAGATAAATAAGAAAAAAGTGCTAAAAATGAACGTCACAAACATAATTTTTTTATAACAATTTTAGAGATGTTGGTATGTACAAGATCTCATTTAAGGGCCCTCTATACACACTCAGTCGGTAACACCAAGATATCAAGCAATTTATGTTAAATCAGAAAAGTTGAGAGTGTCATTCGCCAATTCTCGAGTGGACGCACATTTCTAATACACTTATTAACATTGTGGTCAAGTTTCATCCAATTTCATGCCCTATTGAAGGAGAAAAACGAAAACTACGAATAATCATATTTTATAAATATTCATAGGTTAACGAGATACGTAGTTTTTATTTTTCTTTTTCAATAATGCATGAAATTGGAGGAAACTCGACCACAATGGTTAATAAGTGTATTAGAAATGTGCGTCCACTCGAGAATTGGTGAATGACACTCTCAATTTTTCAGATTAAACATAAATTGCTTGATATCCTGGTGTTACCGACTGAGTGTGTATAGAAGGCCCTTAAGATCACAATTGAATTTTCAATTGAGTTATCCTTAAAGATTTATGAGCAAGATCGTGAAAATACTATATATTTGTAGGGAAAAGACAACTATTTAAGTTTAATTTTTGTGCTTTCAAGAAAAGTATATTTTAAGTTACATTTGAGAGTTTAACTGAACGTGGATAACTTAAAGTCTAGCTTTATGATATTATAGTACTATAAGATTGCTTTTAATCTATTTACTCACCAAATTAAAGCGTGCGTTATGAAACAGAAAATATAGACTTAAGGAATAAAAGGGGGCTTAAAATAAAAAAAAATCAATTCAATTTCGAGTATGACTTTTGGCTCCTTTTCAATGCATTTTTCAAAATTTCAAAATTTTAATTATTCACTGAGATACAGCTTTTTCCGTAGTATATACTTTGTGTGTTTCATATTTTTACAAATGCACTTCATTTGTCGTAACATACAGAGCAAACCATTGAAGCTATAACGCCAGGGTTGCGTACACGTCTTTAGAAAAATTTTAAAACTTTTTTCGTTCAAGTACTTCTATATCGATACAGAAAACAACAAAGATTTTTTTATAATGTAGAAAGTCCTCTAAAAAATGGGTCCTAAGGCCCATGAGATCAAACTGAGCACAGGGAGTTTCAGTATTGGGTACCAGGAGACCCAAAAAAATTTTGGAGCAAATCCATGACCCGGAGCTGGGGTGGTCTCCTTGTAAGTAATCAAAAACACAACTCGCCAAAAAACACAAAAAAAGGAAACATTTAACCCGCTATGTATTTGAGAAAGGCTCTAGAAAAATTTTGTATCTTAGTGTAACGTACTACTTTAGCTACTATTCTAACGCACGTGCACTACATAACCATATGCGCAAAAATATCTGTTAACGACTGCAGCAATAAATCTGACCAACATTCGTCGTCAAAGTATATTTTACATTTTATTATAAAGTTAAGAAAATCTTTTAATATCAAGCATTAATTCTATTATATGTAAACAATGCTTACCTTTCACGTGTTTCAAAAGGATCATACGAAGGTGGTAATTTATCCAACATGTCACGCGCTTGCTTTGCAACAACAGATTCTCTGGATAGTCCTTTTTCTGCAATTGAATCTTTTGGTTGAATAGATAAAATTGTATCTAATATCTGTTGTGCTGTATTTGTTTGGTATCTATAATAAAAATGGAATATATTTAACTTTTATTTTACTTCGTGATATTAAAAGTGTTGCCTTATAGCAACCAATCTAGCCTACTCAATTGTACATTATAGAAGAAATAATACCGCTATGAAGGCGGTATTAAAGTCAAACTTTTTATTAAAATAGTATGGTATATGGATGTGAACAAATACCCTAACGTACATCGACCAAAGTAGTTTGTGAATAAACAGTTTCTAGGAAAAGTACACTACCTATCAATCACTTTTGCCGTACCTGAACCTTAAATTATCAATCTTAAGGTGACTCTTTACTGACTCGGCTAGTCAATACGAGTGTAGTTAGTTTCTTTTGACTCTTGTGGTACCCGAGGGCCCTATGCTGTAGTTATATAAGCGTCTCCTCTTCTCTTCAGCAGACGACAAAACCTCAATCGGACCATACAAATTCACTTTCTCGGGCAACTATTACAATAATTAGCACGGAAACATGTACTTTTTAATATAACAATCGGAAGCTTATACTTTCAACTCTATATTATCAGTTTTTGGAAGAGCTGTATGATATATTTTGCGAGATATTCAATAAGAAGAGTCCAAAAGTAAATGTGTGCCTATACACGCCGTGTTAAAATATCAATTTTCGATGGCCTTTTCCTCGAAAATTAGCATGACAACAGGGTCTGAAATTTTGCAGGGAGATAAATAGATCACTAATTAACGTTGTCCCAAAATTTCAAGACCTTGTATGAAAAAATGTCTAAGTAAAGAGTCACCTTTAAAGTTACGTAGTTCAGTCAAAAATGTACCTATCGAAATTTTAAAATAATCTTTCGAAATATCTTTACAAGTACTTTATTTTCGTATAATTTTTTAGGTTTATTTATAAGAAAATTTATTGATGTTTTTTAGCACATATCGAATAATAAAACTGATATAAAGGTCTAAATCAAAATTCCAACAAAACTCAGCCCATAAAGGGTACTTTTCTGAAGATTTTGATCATTATCAGGAACCCCTAACTGAAATACTCTCATCTGAACCTTGCGCACAGTGCCGAGAGGCTAAAATGGAAAAAATAAGCTATTTTTAGATGCAAAGGTCTATTCTGCAATTTTTTCCGCATTTTTTAGGGCTCAAAGATGCCAATTTTATGTTGAAGGTGTAGATTGATATTAAACTTTGATTTATATCACAAAAATGCCAAAGAGGACTTAATTGGTGTATGACTCCCCTTAAGAAAATTTTTTTTTGCAAATTGAATATTTTCTTAATTAATTCTTATAAGAACATTTATGTTTGAAGACGCCACTGGCCGTGTAAGGTGAGCTACTTTAAAATTGATTTGATTTGATTTAGTTTATTTGATATGGATCTCGAGATAGACCCCTATGTGGTTTACATAGCAATATTATGACGGTCCTGTTAAGTCATCACAGCTCTCTCGCCACCTCAGCCACACTAATGTATAATATACCATTTTGACTATGTTTTTCCACGCAACAGTAACAGCGAGACGCATGTGTATCAGTATGTGTGAGTCGGCACACTGCGTGTCGCGAAACGCATGATGCCATCGAATATTTTGGAGTAGGGGAGACGAGTTGGTCACGTGACCAACTCGCTCCTGTCAGCCGCGTGAGTGAAAGTCGCGCGGCAAAATTGTTTTCGGACGCTGATACGACCACATCGACGTGGTTCCGAAATCGTGAGAAGTCGCGTCGTGCGTAAGTTTTACCGCCCTGTACGTCGCAATTGCGTGTACTCTGATGCAAGACCCGGACTAGCGTGAACGCGTAGCACCGAATGTCGCGGGTGCGTGCGGTACGACTTGGACTCGCGTGTACGCCTTCGGCTGATTGTCTGTCAGCTTGATTGTCGGGACACGTAAACGGTGCCTCGTGCCGGATCTCCACGTGTTCATTTGTACGCGGCAACGGATTGCCGTACGATTCTGCGTATCGCGTGCGTGAGTGCAGCAGCACGGACGGAGCGAGAGGGCCGAACTGACCAAGGCGACGACGAAGTACGCAACGAACTGTAAGTACCACTTGAGCACCCAGCCCTCTCTAAACATGTGCAATCGCGATTCCAAAGTTTGAGGAATGTATGTCCGCGATTGCGCTGCTGCGTGCGCTGTAACTATCGATCCAGAACTTGAAACTTAATAATAATTCATTCCTTAATCTCCATGTTAAGATATTAATTCGCGAATTATTATTTCGGCAAGACCTTTCCCGTTATTTCATCCTACTATCACTTTACGAATAGGGTAGCGGTCACGGGAACCGTTACAATATATACAATATATTTACAACAATTGTTTACAATATTACAAGTATAATATATTCAATAGAAATAGTATAGACTAACTAAAAATACAGTAGAAAAAATGTATGCATAAAGCGTAGAAAGACTAAACAAGCTCAAGCTTTCTCTCTGTGGAAAGGATCAGCCTTCCCTCCGGGGCAGGAAAGATGAGAGTAATGTTCTCCGTCATTCAACGATCGAACCAGTCTGTCTTGTCCAGTGTAAGAAAATGATTGAAAAGCAAGGTACTATGGTCAATGGTGATGTTCTCGAAATCAATCTGTAAAGGCAGTGAGTTCAGAATCTAAGACGCATTTATCAAAAATGAGTTGTTCAGCGAGAATGTCCTAGGGGCAGAGTAATACAAAGGCAGTGGCTGACGTCGAGCAAAGCTACGAAGGTTGCGAGGATTAGTCGAGAGGATGCCAGCTCCAAACGACCTGCAAGACTGACAGGTGCACGATTCCGAATAATAATTATCACAAGCATTGCATAACGATAAAAACCAAATTGTTCGAACATACAGTTGTTCCTCGTTATACGCGGTTTTGCTATACGCGGATGTTCTGTAAAAATTCTATAAAAATGATTCGGAACAGCAGATTCACTTGAGCCAATTGAAGATTATAATAAATTGAATGCAGAGTGCAATCAACGAAGCCATAGCACACGATTTGATTATGATTAGATCTTAATGTTTTAAACATAACTGTGACTAAGATCTAAAAGGTTATGAAGATTTGCATAAAACTACTTACGTGCCAATTAAACACACCATAATTATTGAATTTGCAAAAAATAAAAATTAATTCATATAAAAAATAACTAAATTTTCTTAAATTGGAACCTATTTCCCATCAGCCATGGGTCGCTATACGTAGTACCCATTAGAAACCTATTCCCCGCGTGCATAGCGAGGTACGACTGTACTGGAAAAAGTTTTAAATTCTAAATTCGATTCGAATTTTACGAGACTTATGGAAAGAGAGGTATCTTCTTATGTATTAATTTCTAGTTAGAGAAAAATTTGGTCTAAAATTCAGCAAAATAAAACACCAGAATTAAATCATACTGAAAAGATTATTTAGGGCCTCTTCGCCATGCACACTGCGCTGAATGTACATGCAAAAACCACGAAAAATCCCGTTTTTTTCCTTCTCCCGCTATATCTCTCTAAAATCAAAAACCCGTCCTTAAAAAGTGTCCATATGGATAGAAAATTTCCTGATCTTTTGATATAAACTTTTTAAAAAAATCTCAAAAATAAAGCTTTTGAGATCATTGACTTCAACGTTTTCCCATCAAATTTCCCTGATGAAAAGGAAAATTTCAGAAAATCTAACTTCGCTATTAGAAAGTTGAGGCTGTTTACCATCGAAATCACAAATTAAATTTCACTTAATCGGATTCAGTTACTTTTACAGCAAGTTGCAAATTTAGTGATTCGACAAAATAATGTCATGCAGAACAGTGCTTGATAAATTGACGAGAATTTCCACGCATCCAAAAGTCAAGAGTAAACAAAAAAATCGATGTTCAGGTCAAAAGTGTTGTAATACTACCTTAACACTTGAAAATGGGCATTTAGTGCTGTTTTTGTATTAGTATTAAAACTGTTATCTACCTAAAATTTGTCGATGACAAAAAAATATATTCAAAACTATGAAATTTGTTTCTGCTCAACAATATCAAAATAAATTATTCTTTTCGTTAACTTACGAGATATCAGCATTGGAATGTAACCCATAGGCTTGAGGTGGATCTATAGATCGCATTTCTTTTATTTTAGCAGTGTAATCAGTGACTTGTTTTAGTACAACAACCTTATATCCAGTGTAAAATGCAAAGTCATTCTCTAAAATACTATCCGATAACCAAACTTTGGTAAAAGTATTTAGCAATCTTTTATCATAGTCATCAGTCACGCGCCCACCATATAGTACTTCACTTATCATATATCTGGAAACAAATGCAACATATTTTGAGATTTTAATTATTATATTTTAATTATTTTGAAATCTAATTTTCTCTGAATTCCAATACAATTATCGGAATTTCTTAATTTTTTTTCTCACCTTAAAGTTGGCCAGCTTATTTCTTTATCAGAGCTATTATCATTAAGGTAATTACTTATGTACAAGCATGATGCCAACCAATCTGAAGAATTAAACTCATAAGGAATGTTCCATCCTAAAGGACAAAATTTTCTGCGTTCTTGAAAGATGGTGTGTAGAAATGATACAGTATATATTAATGGAATATACTGTTTAGCATCGCATTGATCCAACATAGACTGATCCATGCTATTATATGTAGCAAATAATCCAGCTTTAATGCCTTGAAAGATAAGAACAGTAAAAAATCATTAATTTACAAACATTAATTAATATCCATTTGTAAAAATGAGGCTGAAATTGCACTTTCAAAGAGATCTTTTTATCTCCGGATCACAGATCAATTCTAGTATGCATCACTACTACCGACGAGTAAAGTTGACTTTTTGGTTTAATAACCATATTATTTAGTGGTGTAGTCTGATGGTGCTAACCAAATAGGAGCGACTAGAGTGTAAGCTGGACTAAATTCTCTGTTACGGATTACAAGTACGGCCGCTTCGGAAAGATAGTTAATTGCAAATTCGGCTAAGTCCCGATAAATGATTTTTTGTTTGACAACCGGTATAGTGTCGCCCTACTTGAAGCTACGAATTGATGTGCCACAAGGCTGGTATTCGGCCTAGTATATATACTAGACTTTGCGGCGGATCTTCCACATCTCCTGGCCCAGCGAACTGTTTGCATATGTTCAGCAGGTTGTAACCTACTATCTTACCCCCGACGTACCTCGTCGGTTACGTGTGTCCCTTGGCTCTGTGGATCCGTTCTGCACGTCCGGGGTGTACCTGTAAGCTTCATGCAATATCGGAAAGGAAAACTCTTTACACTCATACATCCATCAAGAATCAAACACTCCATATAACAATAACAACTACCAGGTTTATTCGTATTAAATAAACAATATACACGGCCTCAGAGAGTACCCGAATTCCCGGTCGACGGCAGACGCGACGATCGTAGCCCTGGTGGGCGCGTCGGCGCGTACGACTCACAAATACAACGACTAAGATCTGGGCCGCCCGACTCACCACACGATGTCGAGATCTTCTCCTGGTCCAGATCCACCCTTGGTTGTCCTTGCGATCTGCTCGGCCGTTGGATCCGCTGGTTCTCTCTCGCGCACTCGGATCGACTCGTACCGGCCCTCGCACTCTTTACTCGGGCGACGTAGGATCTTACTAGCCTGCGCGGTACTCGTCAATCCGACCTAGACATCCCCCAGGATGTCGCGCTCAACTCTCACACTCGAGCTCCATTCGCTCTCAAAGCAAATCTTCGACTCCTTTCTCTTGTTCATATGTACGCTCTCGTATCTCAACGTATACGCGTGTTTACGTTCTATTCTTTCACACTTGGCGCTCACATGAAATCATATTCAAAATACAATTATTAATAACGATTCTTATAACTAACTATACACTCGGCAAGTCGATGATGGTTCGTCAGGGCGGCCCAACAGATAATGCCATTTCCGGCATTACAAGGTGACACCTCACTCTTCACCTTGCTTGAGAAGCGCGCTGGATCCCGCATTTTGCGTTGAGTTGGCTAGCGTTGACTTTGTCCTTAATCAATGCCAAAAAAGCCGGCGAGGCACTTAAGGTATATCGGTTTATAGATTTACTTACTCGTGCTTGCAATCGCTTGGCTCTATAGGGCCTACGATCTTTGTCGACGAGATACTTCTTGCATTTGTCTCAATTTTTAGTCTGCGTGCACATTCGTTGTTGCTTCGATCGTAGCTTGCCTGCAGTGTCCGTACTCAAGCTGTTGTAGGTGATATTTCCCTTTGTTATAGTGTTACTTATGTATTATTGAGGCTTCCGCACTTCTGCTCGCGCGCGCGTCTTCTTATACGCATAATGTTCAGCTGTGCAGAGTTATGGCACACAGGCGTAGGCTGGCCTGTCCTTGAGTCACTGTACGTAAATGCGTGCCAGATTATATGTGTGCTATTGTACAATAACACCGTGGATCTGATTATGTATATGTCATCGCTCGAATGCGGGCTAGCCAGCTTGTGTTTTTATTTCTACTCCACCCCATTCATTTCTGCTACTTGTATGTTAGTCGTTGTTTCCATACATCCCCCATCCGTCGCATAGTGATATGTGAAGATTAGGGGTTCAGGGACTCATCTTTTTTCTACTTGGTGAACCTCCGATCCTGTGCCATGCTATCTCTCGATTGTTGTATCCCTTTTTTCAGAGCCGTCTACTGCGTGGTCACACATTGCTGGTATCTCCTCCTGAGTTAAGTATTCTTTAGAACTCGCTGTCTAGTGCCATCTTGTGAGTGTGGTTCTCGCTTCTGACTTCATCATGGGAAAATTGTGCTCCATCTATTGCCAGTCTTGTGAGTCCTCGCCTCGGGCTCCTACTTATGGTTATCCTTTTCGCTTCCAGCTCGCACAGTGATCGGGGTTTTTTACCGCTTCGGAGGCTGATGACATTGCCCGGGTTTTTTTTTTGAGTGGTACCCGCTCCACCTTGGGCACGGGCTCGACCACACCAGGCGAAAAAACGCCATCGAATATTCGTCCAGTGGGGATCGAACCCACGCCCTACGGCACACCTTGTATCAGCACGCAAGAACTATACCCACTGAGCCAACGAGGCCCTTAGTACGTGATATCGTCACAAAGTGTATAACTGATCGTTTCAAAATTGGTCCGTTATAGGCTGGACGTAACACGTGCTGCAGCAGAAGCGAGCCAACAGTCACTTGACACTACTTAGCATCGACCAATCACAGCTCAAGAAGAAAATAGATTCTACTGAGACTAAAAACTTACGATTATTGCGCTCGTTTACTCGTTTTTTACGGATTCACTCCTTTACCATAAAGAGTCAAAAGTCATTACACCTCACTACGTTTTTCAATCTTTAAGATTTTTCAACTTGAAAAAAAGGGCTTGAATACTGATTTTTAAACATTTGACACATTTAAGGTGTATGTCACCGAATTCGTCGTTGGATCGAACCGACAGTACTGCCCCCTTGACGCATACGCGTCTGTGCGGTCTTAAATACTGATTTTCTTACGAACTCACAGTTATAAAAGATGAACATAGTACTTGAAATACGATTATTGGATTTTCTCTTAACTTTTTATCAGATTATTAGAGAAATAGTATATTACTGCCTTAGTCCGCGAAAAACAGAAAACTACCAGAATACGTGTCATTACTAATGAACACGTGCTCTTGAGGTTTCTTTTTTTGTAGCTTAGAAAGGCATGCTCTTTTTTATACCCAGTATTTCGAAAATCGTTTTTGGTGCTTTGCGAAGCGGCAGGAAAGAAGTCACTTTTTGGCCACTATATTTCAAAATCACACTTCAGGATTTGCCGATGTTAAGAATAAATTAATTTTTACAATAACTTTTAAAAATGAATCAATAATTAATCAATTATATTACCTTGAGGAGGTTCACAAGTAAACTTCAATGATATTTGTAGAAGAGCAATAGGAAAATTTTCATGTGGTTCAGTAGTAATCCATATGCGAAAATCTTCATGTGGATCAATCAACTCTAAAATATAGTTGAATAGTTCTAACATATACTCCAGACCCAAGTGACAGTTTTGGAATAAAACCCAAAATCCCTGGAAAAAAAGGTATATAAGTGTCTAGTTTGCAATGTAATTTGTAAGATTAAATCAAATTATCTTTAATGTATATAGGCTATTCCACATGAAACGTAATATTTCCCAAAAAATGACTTCTAGGCCAAGTATGTATTCTTAAAGAGTACGTTGAAAAATAAAAATCTTTAAAATTTTAGCCCTCTAGATCTATCCTTATTAACATTCAACGTTGTCTAAACGTTTTTTTAAACGTTTAATTTGCAACCTTTAAACGTTTAAGAGAAGGGTTGAATAAACGTTGAAGCAACCTTGTATAAACGTTTAAATGTCCGCTTCCTAAAATCTTCTTAATTTTGCAATTTTCTGAACGCGTAGTTGATTGATTAACAGTTTTAATTAAGGTTTACTCAACGTTGTTATAACGTTGATACATCGTTTAGAAAATTTTAGGAAGCGGACATTTAAACGTTTATATAATGTTGCTTCAACGTTTATTTAACCCTTTTTTTAAACGTTTAAAGGTTTCAAATTAAACGGTTACAGGTTGCAAATTAAACGTTTAGACAACGTTGAATGTTAATAGGAATCGCTTGTGGATCTATATGGGCTCAAAGTTGGATTTTAATTTTCTGATGCAATTCTGCTGACTATTCTGCTTTTCTGGGGTGAATATACAAAAGTTGTTAAATCATGTTTTTTTACGTAAAATTTGATGTAGAATTCAAATTTGTACTTCAAAATCATATTCATAACCTCTAAGCCCTTTAAAAATTATCAAATAGCATAAAGTAGCATAAAATCGCAAAAAAAGTTGTTTGTATACCTCAAATTGGCCATTATTGAAATATTTTAATCGATACTTCAAAGTACAACTTTTTACCAAGTGGCATAATGGGGAAATAAGTAGACTCAATTCTACAGCATTCTGCAATTTTATGCTACTTCATGCTATTTGATCATTTTTAAAGGGTTTAGAGGTTATGAATATGATTTTTGAGTACAAGTTGGAATTCTACATCAAATTTTGCTTGAAAAAACATTATTTAACAACTTTTGTATATTCACCCCAGAAAAGCCTAATAATAAGCAAAAATGCATCAGAAAATTAAAATCCAACTTTGAGCCCACATAGACCTACAGGGCTAAAATTATAAGGATTTTTATTTTTTAATGTACACTTTATAAAGAATACATACTCACAAGGAGACCTTTTCACCTTGGGTCATGGATTGGCCCAAACTTTTTCTGGTGATTCAGGACAGTTAGAAAACATGCCCTGTTATGGTAGGTTGTGTGAATATGCCCTATAAGCCTTAGGTAAAAAATAAATGTTAAAATGATAAAAAGAAACATATTAAGAGCAATAAATGTTTATTTTCTATCCTCAAACTGTTTTGGTTACTTATTTTAGACACCTGGTTCTTGAAAACATTACAATTCATTGTTAAGAAGTTGTTGGATCTCACTCGTGACCCAAAACATTGCAATATTGCTCAAAGGCATGGCTTGAGATCATGGCAAATAGTCGCCTTATGTGCAAATATTATTCACCTCATCACATCATTGATAAAATTCAACTCTGCGTTGATACTTGAAGTGTTGAATTAGTCAGTGAAAAGTGTTTTGATAAGAACTTGTCGGATCTCCAGTGCTTGTATTAAAATAATAATTATTTGAAGCGTTTTTAAGGCCATAAGTATTGAAATTCAACGCTTTATAATGTCATAATTTGGCAATATTGCAATGTTTTTGGTCATGAGTGAGATCTACCAACTTCTTAACAATGAATTGTAATGTTTTCAAGAACCAGGTGTCTAAAATGAGTAACCAAAATAGTTTGAGGGTAGTAAATAAATATTTATTGCGCTTTATATGCTTATTTTTATTATTTTAATGTTTCTTTTGTATCTAACGCTTCTGGCATATTCACACAACCTAACATAACAGGGCATGTTTTCTAACTGTCCTGAATCACCAGAAAAAGTTTGGTCCAAATCCATGACCCGAAGATGAGAAGGTCTTGTTGTTCGTGAAATACCACTTTTTGAAAACTTGCATATTGATAGGAAATTTCCTCAGCTTTCGATTGAGATTATTTAGAAATATCTTAAAAATACCCTTTTTGAGATATTCAACTTTAAAGGTTTTCCGGCAATTTTCTCGGAGAAAATTGAAATTTTTTGGAAATCTGACCTCACCATCGGAAAGCTGAGGTAACTTTCCATCGAAATCATGCACCTCATATTTTTTCTAGGTGCATTTAGATGCTTTTCTGACGAGTTACAAATTGAGCAATTTGGCTTAATAAGGCCGCTCGCGCGCACCGTTGGAGACTTGATGTGAAATGACCCATATACGATATAAACATGGGCTTTGCCTGCGCCAATTCGCATTTCTTATGAAAAAATCTATTAGATCCACAATGTAGGTTTCTGAAAATCATTGGACACGCATTTTTTCGTTTTTCAATTAATTAATTATTAATGGAGATATAGCATTTGAAACAACAAGCGTGACGTCACAATCATAATAAATATAAAGGGAGGAGTACTATTATTGAGACGTCGCGCTCATTTTTAACTGATCATACCTATGTTAATAATTGATCAATTGAAAAACAAAACATACATGTCTAATGATTTTCAGAAATCTACATTGCGGACTTAATTGAAGGCCCTCTTCCGAATTTAATAGGCACTAATTTTTGTAGGTTTCTGAATCATATGCAAGTCCCCAAAAAAAAAATTTTTTTAGTCGCAAAATATTAAAATTTTACAAGATTTACTGACTTACGTTACCGTCAAAACCCGATTTTAGGCAAAACCTGAATTGCTTTCTAATTTATTGGAATTTCCTAAAATTTTTAGGTGAAACCCGAATTGTCTGGCCAATTAGTCACCATTATATTTAATGGATTCAATTATTATGTAAAAAGAATATGTCTATACGTACTTCGCTGACAGCAGAGTTTATTAATTTTCGAGCATGAATCTCTTGTCCTTGACCCATTGAGATGCTTTTACATGGAATTTCCATTTTTTTCGAAAGTTGCTTAATATTATTAGTTGGATCTGATCCCATACTCAGTAGACAAATAATAGGCGTTTCTGGTCGTGATTCTTGGTAAAGGTCAGAAACAAGAGCTACGACTGGATCAACGTACTTGTCACCCATTGAACTGCTTATGTATTTTTCAGATTGAAAAAGCATTCGGTCTAAGCACCAAGCTCTGAAATGTAGGTTTTAAAAATTTCAAAATTTATATACACTCTTTTTCTTATTGAAAATAAGAGTCTACATTTCTTATGGAGAAAAGTTAATTCCATGGATTTTTATTTAAATATTTATAATGATCTCTAGATCGATGCAAAAGCTGCTTTTAGGCAAAAGTAGGGCGGAACGAAAAAACACTTTTGACGCCGATCGCTTTGTAATAGTATTTTATCGAAAGTTTAAGATAAAAAAAGAGAAAAGCCGCGAGCTGGGCGCGAACAAATGATGTCTTCAGGTGGCGCATGAAGCCTGAAGTTTGAAATTCGTAAAAACAATATCTTTATGCTTCAGTATGAAATCATTGACAAATTTCTCTGCACTAGATTGGCCGATTGGGCTGAAAATTTCAGGGCTTGTTTTACATGTTGAAAGGAGTTTCTCTGTAAAATTTTAGCCCTCTAGGTGCCTTAGAAGCAAAGATATAGTCATAGGAAGGTTGAAAAATTACGTTACATTAATTTTTTTTGGTTCTTTTTCCATCTTCACACAGCTGTACGTTGCGTAATTTTGCTGCTATTAAAACGAACGAGCAACCAATTTCTTCTTCTTTTAAAGGCCTTTTCAATCATATAAATTTGTATAGTGTTTTTTGAATTTTTACTGAAGTTACAGTATAAAACGTCCAACATTTTGTGTCGCGCTCGAAACTACATTTGTTATTTTTTTCTCTGTTTCTTAAAAGTTACACATTCTAGACAAACTTGAACCCCAATGATAGTTATATGGTCTTAAAGAGCATAAAATTTCCTTTAATTTGGTGTATTTAAAAACTCTCCAGGTCCTCTAGAACCAAAGATACAGCTGTTTGAAGTTTTACTGAAAATGTAAGATTCGATTGTGTGATGATCATACTATATCTGGCCTATGATAGATTCACAGATTAAGTACTTTCATTTTTGGTCAAACTTTAAACAGCTGTATCTTCGGTTCTAGAGGACTTAGAAACTTTTTACATACACCAAATTAGAGGTAATTTTATGCTCTTTAAGACCATATAACTATCATTGGGGTTCAAGTTTGTCTAGAATGTGTAACTTTTAAGAAACAGAAAAAAAATAACAAATGTAGTTTCGAGCGCGACACAAAATGTTGGACGTTTTATACTGTAACTTCAGTAAAAATTTAAAAAACACTATACAAATTCATATGGTTGAAAAGGCCTTTAAAAGACGAAGAAGTTGGTTACTCGTTCCTTTTAATAGCAGCAAAATTACGCAACGTACAGCTGTGTGAAGATGAAAAAAGGACAAAAAAAATTTAATGTAACGTAATTTTTCAACCTTCCTATGACTATATCTTTGCTTCTAAGGCACCTAGAGGGCTAAAATTTTACAGAGAAACTCCTTTCAACATGTAAAACAAGCCCTAAAACTTTCAGCCCAATCGGCCATTCCAGTGCAGAGAAATTTGGCAACGATTTCATACTGAAGCATAAAGATATTGTTTTTACGAATTTCAAACTTCAGGCTTCATGCGCCACCTGAAGACATCATTTGTTCGCGCCCAGCTCGCGGCTTTTCTCTTTTTTTATCTTAAACTTTCGATAAAATACTATTACAAAGCGATCGGTGTCAAAAGTGTTTTTTTGGTCCGCCCCAGGCAAAAGTCGCTTTTGTCTTGGCAAAAAAAGGAGGGACAAAGATTTCAGGATAAAACCGAAATGTCAAAAATTCCTAAACAATTTAGGCAATACCCGCAATGACTTAAAAATTTTAGGCAAAACAAGCAATGCCTAGCTGATTTTAGGCATTTTCGTGTAGCCCCTCAGAGATTTTGGCATAAAAATAAAAAAATTATCTTTTTTTTATTCTGAGTTTTACGACAGGTGTGTGAAAACATGATTTAGTACAAATAAAGGAAAAATTACAGGCAGAAAGTATATAAATAGGCTTACTAAAATAGTTGAAATATAAGAAAATTTTTGAGCTTTAAGAAATTAAAAAAAGAAAAAAATGAATCTATTCTAAAATATTCCCTAATATTTTACACGTGGTTATGTACATATTTGACTTTTGTATACATTTTTTCATTAGTATTTTTAATAAAATGTGATTTTTTCGGATATTACCTTATAAGTAAAAGCTGCCTGAAAGCATCTAAATCATTGAAATTGTCAGGAAAAGGATTTTCTTCTGGAGCATCACTTTCAAACCAGACCCTCCAATTCTTTTCAGAAATTTCAACTTGTGGCAAAATATCGTGGAATGATTTAAGAGAGGATAATGCTACTAAATTTAACCATACCACTTCAGTGATCCAATTGCAACTTACGGGTTTTTTTGGAGCATCTTTTAAATCTAGAGCGGCTCCTCCTTTAAGAAAGAAGAAAAACTCTTCTTGGCCAATTAATTTACGTTGCAAATCTATTTTAAGTACCATTAATAGGCGAAACATGGCTTTATGTATTTCATATAAACAACGAGCTTTGTACTTAAAAATCTCAAAAGTCATATATTCAATTATATTTTGTATTCTTTTTTGATTGACTGGACTGCTTTCTGATCTGAAAAAAATTAAGTAAACTATTATAAAAACTATCAAGGTAATATGTATAAATTTACTTTAGCGTGATTGAATTTGCAACAATCTCAAAAAGATGATAATTTTTAAGTATAAAAAATGAGAACTTAGCCAACGTTAACCCATATTTTATTTCCTGTGCTTACGAAATAATACTATATGTCCGCAATTTTTTTAGTTTGCACTGCCACGAAACAGTTGAGGCTTAAAAAAATTGCCAAGCCACTGGTTCAGGACAGACAAATGCAGAAGCAGGAGGTTCTAAAACTAGCGTCAAAGTTGCGATTTTTAGGTTAGAGTGCCATAAATGAACTTACTTATCAACTGAAGAATCGAAACGTTCTAAAAATTGTACTAAAGAAGTTTGATACATGCAATTTACTAATGCCATATCGCAAATCAAAAAATATAGTACGCTTCCTCTTGTGGCAACAGGTCTGAATTCTTCTCTAGCTTTATCAATTTTTTCTTCTGTTTCTTTTGAACTTAACAATTTTTCATTTACTTCAGCAGCTGTTTGCTTTGTTTTATTGAGAACATACATCAGTTCTAAATCTTCTATTAACGGCCCCTAAAATAACAAATAATTCATTTTTCGTCATCGTTACTTCAAATTCACTAATTCATATTAAATAAAATAAAAATGTGTTAAATAAAATCAAATTTTTCAATTTTTTTTTCAAAGATTGAGGTATACGCCCCTATTTTCGATCAGTTAGGCCCTAATTTCGATCAAATTTAAATCAATTTTTTATATAGGATTGAAACTTGATATCTGATTTTGAATAATGTATTTCTGTTGAAGATGTTCGATTCATTGAGCCAATTATTAAAAAAAATGTTCTTACGTACAATTAAGTTGTTAATATTAATTATTGATCGAATATAGGGACATGATCGAAAATAGAGGCATATACCTTACTCGTAAGTATTTTCCAGGACATTTATTCAATAACCGTCAAAAACTACTCCCTATTCTTTAACCAAGAGTTTTCTACTATTTTTTTGTATTAATCACTACCTCGGGCAGAGTCTCAGGCCCTCACTGCATTGACCCCGTGAAAAATACACTCATAACGGAGAAATACGTGGCTACCGAATCCGATTTAGTCAAAAATGACTTGCTGGCACCTAGTCAAGTAAAGAGTAAAATAAAGCGAAATTCGTGAAAAAATCGCCTATAATACGCCCCCTGGCCTATAATTAGACACCTGACCCATACAATCTTTTTATTGAACATATTTTTCAGCCCTTGCAACGCTGTAAACCGTGCGACCGCGCTGAAAACAGCTCGGGAACAGGAAACAGCGAACATCGTAAAAGAAATTCACTTGTATAACATTGTAATTCGACTACTCAAAATAACAAAGCCAGCACTACGATTACAACCTTAACGCGCTGTGCCCAGTATGCGCCCCTGATATCGAAAACGCGGAGCATGTCGACGGTCCCGACGAAGAGTAACACGTTTGTGTGTTAATTTAAATGGAAACGTGTTACTCTTCGTGGGGACCATCGATAAAGAAAAATTATGATTAAAGATTATCCTCCACGAAAATGTTACCTCTATTAAGCTCTAAGAATGAGCACACTGCTCCAACTCGTTTCTCGCGAAGTAATTCCCAACGGCAGTTCCACAAGGATAAAACATCAAAACATCAGAACAAAAAAAGGAGAGTATGGATTCTTAAATATTCTATGTATAATTTACATCCATGTTACATTGTTACAATTAACCATGTAACGCCCATTATTTAATGCCCATACAAAACTGATTATTTCTGGACAACATTTTTAGCGATGTATTACAAAAACTTAAAATTGTTAAAAAAACTTTTGGTTTGTCATTTCATGTTTTTACTTAAGAAATTATATACTAAAAGTTTTTTAATCAATTTTAAGTTGATGTAAGCCACTGAAGAAAAATAAATTGGTTCAGCTTAAAAAAAACACACGCATTTGTTGAATATGTTATTTATGAATATGTGAATCAAATTGTCCTACGACATCCGGTTAAAAAATGTTGAATTGTATTTATAAACTCAATTGCTTACCTGAACGGTCGTCAATTTTTGTAAAAGATTATATTCCAAATCAATTACTTTCTTTTTATTCAGCATAACATCGGTCAATAATTTTGTTCTTTCAGTCTCTAATTCTTTTTTTTCAGTCATAATCACCCTTCCAAGAAGTTGGTCTTCTAATCCTTTTATGGTTACAGTAAAATCAATAACACACGCGCGAGCAAAAATTTCTGGGGAATACGATGGATTTGGAAGATTGGTTGTAATGTATAGATTAAAGTCATCATGAAAATCTACTTCTTTATCTCCTAGTTTTACCTTGAAGTAATAATACGATAATTATTAATAAAATATTTGAAGATAGAATATTTATTTATTATAAAGCATGTACATTAGCATTCATGTGTCATTTCGGATACTCGCACTTATCCCGCTGAAGCCAACGAATATAACTTTTTTATTGTTAACATGCTTTTCTTATAAGGTATATGACACTATTTTCGGTCAATAATTAATATTAACAACTTAATTGTACGTAAGAAAATTATTTTTAATAATTGGCTGAATGAATCCGAACATCTTCAACAGAAATGTATTATTCAAATTCTGATACCAAATTTCAATCCTATATAGAAGATAAATTCAAACTTAACCGAAAATAGGGGCATATGCCTTACATAAGATTAAACATTTTTATTTTATTTTAGTGCTATATAACAATTGTTCCTCGACTTCTAGCGCTTGATTTTGCATCAAGAACTCCCTTTTTCTTGTTGCACTTTTTTCTTTCGACCCGAGTGAATTACGTCGGATCTACTCTATGAAACGAGTTATGTCAATTTTTTTTGTCAATTCGAAGCTTTATGAGCCATTTTAAATCTCCGTGCGATATTTTTAACTGATTCAACGAAGCGATATAGAAATTTTTATTCTTATCTCCTACGGAGGATCTTGGCTTAAAGAAGTTATTTGTTTTACTTGACATGAAATGGTTAATATGGTTAATAGCATCTCTTCAAATACATCAAAGATCTGCAATTCAACGAGAAAAGAATTACTCCATTAATCTTTCGAAAGAGAATGGACATCATTAGATATCAGCCTGATCGAATTTGAGGATTTCGGGACGGATTCGACAATTTCGACGTTCAAAAGTTTTCCGAGACTGAAATCAGAGATGCTCTGTTTGAAACAGTAGTTCACGCTCTACCTGATGTCAGAGATACGCAGTTCTTTGAAATATTCGACAGGAAACTTTTTGACTATAAATCAACTAAAAGATTATCAAGTCCATACGTCCTCCACCTTTAGCTACATAAGCTCAAAAAGTTTATTCATTCAAACGCCGAGATAATGAATCAAAGTTATATGCTTAAGATAGAAGATGTGAGATAAAAGCGTAAAACAGAAGAAACTTTCAAAATCATGGATCAATTCACCTACCTAAAGATCGAAATTTAGTACCTTTGAAACTGCAACAAAAAGCATTATAAAAAAGACCACTGAAATAAATTGATCTGCTTAAGGGGACACATACACCTTAAACTCGTAAATCGTCTCATCCGAGGTAGTGACCGTAACCATTGATGTTCTGAAGAAGTGTACGCGACCCTGGTGCTGAAGCTCAATTGGTACCCTCTGAAAGTTACGATAGATGACCAAAAACACTACTCGCCAGAAAACGCAAAAGAAGAAAAAATTTAACACGTAAAGTATAGGAAAAGGGTTCACGGAAACAGCTGTATCTCAGGGCAAAATCTAAATTTTGGAATTTCGAAAAAAGCAATGGAAAGGGACGGAAAAATCCTACTCAATAAAGCAATAAAAAAATTTTCGAGTTTAAGGTGTATGTGTCCCCTTAAGTGAATAGACTGTTAGGTATGACAATAGTACAGTTTGTTTTGATACTGGATAGCATAGGTAAAATCAACCTTCTTCGAAACTCTAGACAAACTAAACTTTAGTAAAATCGCGATAGAAGCCCCAATAGTGCGTCGAGTATTAAAGAATGAGGAGCGTGGAGTGATGCTGTTCTCGTCTGCCATACTTGTCATTCGGAGCGCGATACGCACTCCTCGATAGCTGCAACGCATAGTTTTCGACTTACTGTGCGAACTTTATGTTTAATTTTGGAATGAATAATGATAAGTAATTTTTTTCTTAGTTTTCCCGTGGTGAGGTCAAACTTGCAAAAATTAGCCTACATAAAAAAGCGAGCTGAAGATAAAACACGCTTTATCTTCTCTGTATGCAGGTTTAATTCTTTTCTGAACATATTTATTTTTACGAGAATCAATTATGAAAGAGACTTTTTCAAAATTGGCCAGTGTCGAAAAAACAAAGAGCGAGAGGTCGGCCGTTACGTGCGTCGTTATTTCTTTTTAATGAAAATTTACCGGCATCTTATTTGTTATTTTTATGTATATTGGCTAAAATAGGAGATTCGCGAGTGGAACGGGCAGAAATGGCAGATCCCCTAGTACATTGTAAATTCGATACCAATTTGAAGGGAGCGATGATTTTTGCATGAATTTGTGCATTTTTCAAGTTGAAATTTTAATTATTTTACTAAAAAATATGCAGTTAAAATATTATGATTTTGCAACGGGTGCAGTTTTGTTAAAAAATCATAACCATACCAAAAGTTATTTTTTCGCTCAAAAACCTAAAATTAGCAAAAAAGTTGCGTATTTCAGGTAAGGGTAAGAAAAAAGAATTATTTCTTATTAGAAAAATGATGTTATTAAAAATTTGATTGAATATTTCGATTAAAGTTTATTTATTAGATTAAATTACTTTTCTTTCTTACTTTTAATGAAGAGCCGACTCTAATTAGATTTTTCTCCAATAAATTGTCTAATACTGGATCCAATTCTTCCTCGACATCTTGTATAAGTAATGGTCGGCCCGTTGATACACAATCTTCCAAATGATTCAAAAAATATTTTTGATCTAACGCCGTAAGCTAATGAAATAAATATTTTCATCAATAAGTAAATATTTTCAAAACCTGTACAGAGTAGAGAAAATTATAGACACATTTTGGTCAAATTTTAGCCATAAAAAGTGTATTAATGTAGTCCATTGAATTAAAGTACTTTTAAACAATAGACGGGTAGTAAATTTTCAGAATAAACTTTCATAGAAAATAATTTTACACAAGATATTCTATATGATAACCATAAAAATTCATGTGAGAAATTGTCATATAATTGAATTGGTACTACAAGGGATATATCGACGATGTTATGTTGAGAGTGTGACTTGCTATGGAAGAGAATACCATCAACTGTACCCCTTCACATCACTACACCGAGCGTTCCCACTCAGACGACGTGAACAGCTGCACGCGTCCCTACCTTTCACCGACGGCCAATCAGCGCGCTCTGGCTTGCTATATAAGCGAGGCACCCCGGGCCATGCAAGTGAAGTCGTTTTTTGGCAGCCAGCCAGCGCACATCGACTCTCGCCCTCGCACTCGTGTCGACGAACTCTTGAGAGTTTTGACCTAGGAAAATATTTCAATAACGAACTTGGTCAAACTACTATAATACTCACCTCGTCATTTCACCACCTTTCCCCACTTTTGACTTTTCAAACTTCTCTTCAAAAAAAAGTCGAGTTCAGAGTACTAGTATAAGTGCCTCTCGACCTAAATCAATCAGCTTTTGATTGTTCGACTTGTTACAAATGAGATTAGAAAAGTGATTGGACTTTGTTATGGGTGAGTTGCATACAGAAAGGGTTTTGTCCGAAGAGATATGATGTGAAGCTGATGGCTAGAATGGCCTTGAGAGATTGACTTTGCCGAGATTCAGCTGGTTTGACCAGCGGCTCGGAGAGCCAAGACTTTGAGCTCTTGAGAGCTGAATGATGGTCTTGAGGAGGACCGGGGGAATTGAATATTAAACTATTTAATTAGGAGCTCGGTAAAATGCCGAGTGTTGTTTGAAAGAAGCGAGTAAAACTCGAAGAGTTGGGAGCCAGAAAGGGGCTCCTTTGAAGAAAGTAAATAATCAAGCGACCGGGTTCAAGGCCGTTGACGTTTAACCGACGTTTCGTGACGGAACGTGGTCAGTAGGATACGGGTAATTTTTTTTATGTTTTGAAGTGTGACCCTTCAAAGGGCCGATTGTTTTACTACTTGTCACCTACTTCCACCTCTCTGCGTTCTTCTTTTTATAGAACTCCTTGTGACGCAGCTTGACGCTTTCTTTACGTGTCAGTGGGACCGGTGGTGTGGGCTCAGGTTGAACTGCTGACTCTCGTTCGCCTCTACCACTCAAAACTACGTCGAAGCCAGTCTCAGAAGCTGTCGCTGCCACATTAAACTCGTGATTTCACATCACCACACAGACGCAGTCCTTGAAATAAACGCTACCTAACGAGACTTTTCTCGTAATTGTTATCCCACAATAAAAAACTTTCTCTACTCGCCATCAAGATGACCTTCAGCTAGAAGAGAAGCGGAGCTAAGAAGGTTGCAAGGAAAACGCTTCTAGGTGACTATTAAAACAATCAGTCCTTTGCAGGACCCACCTAAGTTTTAAACGTAGTCTCTCTTAGATCCTTGGTCACCGGAACGTGTGTTCGCGGACGATAACAACTTGACTAACGCACTCCGACCACCAGCCTCTTTAGGCATCCTTCCTTTTCAGGACTACTCATATGTCAAAAGTCAGCACAACGTAACATTGTACATCAGAATGTTAAATTTGCTTAAATTGTACAATACAATAAATAGTATATTTTGCACCTAGGGAGTGAAAAACTGGAAAGTCTCAGAGCACGTGTAATTTATTATCCGAGGCGAAGCTGAGGCTAACCAAATAACGAAATAACCAATGACGCCAAATTCGGATTCTAAATAGAGCGGTCGTTGGCTCAGTGGTTAGCGTGCTAGCTACAGAAACAAAGGCCACTCGAGGAGCCTTGGGTTCAAATCCTAGTGAGGGCTTTCGAATTTTTCCGATTGCCATTCGGTGGGATAAGAACCCAATGTGCTCCGGCTGTCTCGGGGCCGGTTTTTCCTGGAGGATGGACGAGGTTGGTGTAGTGCATAAACAATTGCGTATACCCCCAGGTTTTCCTTACTCCACAGGTCCTCGGGCCTGGGCAAATGCGAGACAGTAGGGGGAGGAGGGTTAGTAAAAATCTTACCTGCGCACGGGCTGCCATTTCTTACGGCCCAGCCGTGCGTTTTTTAATATATCGCGCAGGAAATGTATGCGTTGACCTTGAAATCAGGGTGACGGAGGAGTCATGATCAAGCAGTAAACTTGGTTGTTGGAGAGGTCCGACGTTGCCTCGACCTTTGCAAGGAGGACTTACGTTGGGAGAGGTCACGCCGACGAAGTACAGCGAACTCGCCGATACTGGTCGCTGTACGTGCTCTAATCGTTCGAATGGCAAAGCGGAGCTTGCAAGTCGAGTCGTTGACTTATAGGTCGTGAGACTCGGAAGCGCGACTCTTTCCTACTATCCGCTAGTCCTACTAGCGTGTGAGCGAGCGCGCATATACCAGCGCCGCCCCGAGCACGTCAAGGAGGAAGAGAGCAGAGAGACACTGAACAAGTGAAGTGGCAGGACCGGTGGGACCGGGCCTCAAAGGGCCAATGGACACACCGGCTAATCCCGAACATCACAGAATGGGTAGAGAGGGGACATGGAGAAGTGGACTACTATCTCACGCAACTCCTGTCCGAGCATGGCTACTTCAAAATCCATAGCCAGCGCTACGATAACACCCTTAGCGCACTCTGCCCAGCCTGCTTTATCACAATAGAAGACGCGGAGCATATTTTCTTTCGCTGCCCGCGATTCCACGAAGAGAGGGAGGGACTTCAACAAATCCTCCAAGAAGAAATCGAACCGGAAAACATCGTCAGGCTCATGCTCGAGACCGCAGGCAATCGTCACCAGACTGAGGCAAGAGGCGCAAGAGATGTAAAAATAATCCGGACAATGCTGTAAGAAGAAGAGGACGCTTCTGGTTCCCGAACCCCTAATCGCCGTAAGGTGGACGGGGGATGTACGCAAAAGACACAAATGTAGCAGAGAAGCTCTAGAGTCCCCACTGAAGTAATTTTTAACAACGGTTTCCAGTGGAATACTCGTTTTGAAGGGCCACTGGCTGCAGAGTTCACTTTGCCCACGTCAAAAAAAAAAAAAAAAATACACACACTTTTGGGTGTAATAAAGGATTACGTGAATTAAATACGATGTCTGGTTTAAAAGGTTTCTCTGGAGCTTATCACAAAGCTTCATGTAATAGTTCTTCTATTCAAAATTAAGTATATCTCCCTCCCATTTCTTAAGCTAGTCATCGCTACACCAGTTTTATTAAAAAAATTATTATTTAAAATCATGAAAAGTTGAAACAGTTTGGATACCTGCAAATTGAAATCTTTCTCTTTGTTAAGAATCCACATCTTTCCTTGTAACTGTGGGTCAATCAGCAATGGATATCTTAAGGCTTTTGTAACAATTATTCCATTTTGAACTGAAAGGTCATCATTTGGTAACCCTTGCAAATGCCACTCCCCAATCTGCAATGTTTCAATCATCATAAGAATGATAAATTGATAATATTTTTATAAATGTGACTGTATGTGTGACAAAGTACTAAAAATACCGAAACAAAATAATAATCTAAAGACCAATTTTTGTATGATTCACAAAAAACAGTGGCCTCGGGGCTCAATATCAAAATTTACAGATCCCTCTTTTTTTATAAGCGAACTGCTTTTCCCTATTTTTGTACATTAAATTGTGTATGAAAACCTCAAAACCAAACTTTGATGTTTGAAACTTTTAAATAGTTGACCTTCAGTCTGGCATACGTAGATTATATCATAAGGGGAGGTTTTCATCAAGCTCGACCAAAAACTTAATTTTTTTTAAGTTATAGTCAAAAAACTGAATTCGTCTTTTTAAGCGAAAATGGAATTTCGCATTAATAATTTGCATACTCAAACTTTAAACGCGTATTTCTCTAAACTATGTTTTCTAAGACAGGTAGCAAAATATCTCAAAAATTTCTATAGATTGTAATATGACGGATAACAATCACGAGAAAAGTCTCGTTAGGTAGCGGTGATTTAAGTAAGTACGCACCGCGTACAATAAGAAGCTCAAAATTAGTAGAAAAGCAAAGCTGACCAAGCTTTGTACTATGAAGTAAGCAGTGAGCTAGCTACTTCCGTTCAAGAGGTCTCCGTAAAGTAGTGATATTTAAATGAGTACTGTTCTTTAAGAATTAAATCTGTTCATTTCATAGATGGTTCAATAAATAGTTATATAACGACTTTAAATTAAACTGATATTCACTGTTAATTTGCATTAAATCACATATCCCGTGACGAATTCTCAATACAAAGAAATCACCCTCGCTTCGGTATAAATTTATTGGGTCGGAGTAGAGGGACGCGCGAAGACATAAATCATTCACCTCTACACTTTGGAACGCGTATGCTCACGCACGCTCGCCTAGAAAGCTCGTGACGCGATAAAAGTGCATCCCAATATGTATGCGTTTTGGTAAATGATCAATGGAGCATTACATATCGTAAAAATAAGAATGTTTTGTTTACTAAAATCAAATTATATATTTTATACAGTTTCAATGGTTTTTGGAAAATAAGAGTTGTAATTTTGAAAGAGGAGCAGCAAAAATTAGTTTTTTCATAGCATTTATAAATGAAAGTAGCGTAATAATTTTTTTTGAAGAAGCTCTTTGCCAATGTATTGGCAACGGTTTTTTTTTTATTTCAAAGATAATTAATTTATTTGGATTTTAAAGAACAAGATTAATAAGGCAAGATTAAACCAATTGAACTTACTGTTGCAGAATTCGTTAATGATTCAATGATATTAATGTGTGGTGACATCGGAATAAATCTTAATTGGATGCAATTGAACCATTTTTTTTGTAAAATGCTACGGAATTCTTGATTGAAGGATCCACAGTATGAGAGAAATCCCGTTAAAATGATAGCGTCTCCGACCAAATTTTCTGTTTCTGATTTGAAAACCGTTAACTTATGAACCCACCGTGAACGTTCACCAGACAAGCCATTTATCATTGATCGTGCCGCATCCATTTTCGCTTGACATAGCTGAGCTTGATCAATAATACCCTAAAAAAATAAACCAATCAAGTTTGTGTAATTTGTTTATCATTGAATATAATAGTTCGTTTTTGCAAAAGCGTTTAAAAGAGATCTTAAAACCAACAGAATCTAATAATTTAATTCTTCAAAGTAGAAAACACCATCAAAATTGTCAGAAAAGCAACCGCAGTAGATATCAATAATAAGTTGAATTTAAGAAATTAATGATCAATGAAACTCAATTCATAGATTAGCAATTCGATAACAATTGAAGATATTGTTGCAAACGTCCTTTTATCTGATGCTCTTTATTAATCTTTTAAATTGCATTGTTTGATCAGTTTTAAGATTATTTGAAGTTCAAAATATAAAAAAAAATGATAAAAAAATCAAAAAATATTTCTTAATAAAAAATCGGGGTATGAAGAATCGATTTTCGGTTTGCTGTAGCTTAGAGGTTGTATTCAAGATCAAATGCAAGATCAACATTGCAGTTGATAGAGGCTGTGACGACCACGTATGTGGCCGCACAAACACTCGTCTGCTACGCGATCAGCTGAGCGAGCCGCGGAGCAGACGAGCGCGCCGCTTTAGGCCCCACTCATATACTCGCGTTGGTAGGCAACGCACGGCCCCCACCGCTGGCGCCCGCATATAAGCCGGCAACTCGCAGCGGTAAGGCAGATTCAGCTGTGGCCAAAGCGAGCGACCCGGGGCTGTTTATGTGTGACATTTATACCGTGGATAGAGACTTATACGAACCGACACTCACTTTGTTACAGGTACCTATCCAACCAAAAGTTAACTCGACGCACCCGTGTCCGCTTTGCCCGTCACCTTCTTGCTTGGCTACCGCTAACTGTTTTTGCTAGATGGCTAATACTAATTGCAAATAATAATCTTTTGTTGCATACTTGTTGTTAATTGCCTAAACAAAGTTATTGCTTTTCTTTATTTTCTATTCTTTTTGCTCTACACAAATCATTTTGTTTGCTACAACATTTATTTGCTTTTTTTGTAAATAATTAATTCTGAGTTTATCAATAAATCGATAAATACTTGTTACCGAATTTTTACGACTTATCATTATAAGCCACTACCTAATCTCACCTTTACAAGAGAGTGAAACTAAGGATTATGAAAATCGAAGTGAAAATATTAAATCAAATGAATCACCAGTGGAGTGTCTTTACTTTGAGAATGAAGTGAATATGGTACAAGAAGTTCATGAAATAGGTTGCCGTACAAAAGTATGAATCCATAAGGCCCACGCCGAAAGTCTAACTTTTATTAAGCACCACTATCCAAAAAGTTCTAATGCTATTAAGTACCAAAAGAAAAAAAATCTTTTGATATACACACATATTCATGCTTACATATGGCCGATTCTCTGTGAAGTCGAATGGCCAAAAAATTTTTTTTCTGCAAATATGAAAAACTTGTTGCATTTGATGTCCGATTTGTCCCAAAAAATTTTATAAAAATTGGGACCTTCTATGACACTTTTTCAGAGGCCGAAAGTTGGCCATTTTAGCGTTTTTTCGAAATTCATGAAAAATCACAAATATTCAAATAATTCCTAAATTAAAGTAGAATGATTCAAAAATAAAAGTGCCCATAAGCTTTTTTTTGTCAATTGTCCAAATTTTCAGAAAAAAAGTATGCCAAAGTGATTGGAGCTACCTAGAAGAGTGGAAATTGCAAAAAACTTGAAAAAAAAACAAGAAATCTAATCGAGTTCGAACCGGACTTTCATTTCCAAAGCTATGTAAAAAGCTTCCTAAAGATGTTAACTACTGCCCGATAAAGTTTCGTAATGCGTCTTAAAGTTTAACTCAATGTAGACAACAATGTATGTCGAAAAACGTGCAAAAAAGGTATATAATGGGCCCAAAATGCCTAAAATCACCAAAAACATCCATTTTTAGACCTTTTTTGCACGTTACTATGCAGTCTAATCCGCGAGTGCTTGAAGATCTACATGATGTTCCGGGAAAATTTGACAAAAGCAGGAGCGATGTTTTTACTCTACGATTCATTCTCTGACGATGATCGTGATCCACAGTGCAACAGAATCATTGTTTTTGGTTCGAGGGAAAACTTGAGATTGCTGTTTCGTTCCGCTACCTACTTTGTCGATGGAACTCTTAAGGGGACACACCTGTGTTTATACCTATAAATGCAAAAACATGAAAATTAAGGATTAATATTAAAATTTTTTGTTTCTGATGTAAAAATATGTTTTTACAGGTCCTTTTACAACAAAAAATATGTCTGTAGTTCCTTTTATTATTAAAATTCATCCAGGATTCATATATATTGACTTGTGATTTTTAAGTCTTTGACCACATGATTTTGAATGCAACAGTTATTCAATTATATTTCTTTAGATCTCAAAAGTTTTGTAATTAAATTCTTTTCCACTTAAGTGTAGCAGATTTTTTATTTAGTTATTTATTTAATCTACTTAACTCCAAACATAACAATAAGCGTTATTAAAATAGTTATTTTTGTCATTTTCTTTGTACTTTTATATGAAAAAAAAATTCCAAGCCATTTCTTGAAATTCTGCTACACTTAAGGGCCGGACATACACGCAGACAAATACCGGTGTGACCCGTGGTATTTTCATTACCGGCATGTAAAAAAATTAAATTAAAAATTTCTCACAGATGGCGCTGTGATCATATGTAAAACATAGAAACAAAATTGGGTTATAATTTCCCTTTTATAATGTACGTTAGCATAGGCTAGATACTTTGGTAATAAGTTGACCCATTAAGAAAAATGAGAATTTTAAGATTAATTGATTTGACTTATCAACCTCTTTACTTATTTTGTAAGTTAAATAAACAAAAAGTATAGCATCGCATAATATGTTTGTATAATCCTCTAAGTTGTTAAAGATTGTTTATACTTCTGATTATGGATTCTTCGACATTTTGTTTTACAATCAGTAAGTCTTCTCATATGATCTTTGAGATTATCCTTACAATTTAACGCTTTACTGCAAACCTATAACTTTTTTCTTTTAAGACAGTTCTTTATGACATCCTGATTATTGCATTGCATATACAAGTGATATCCTCTTGAAAAATAAGTGTCACATATGTAACGTATAACTTTTGAATTGGCATGAGCTATGAAATGAACTTTATCCATAGTTTTACAGATCACAAAAGTTTTCACCATAGTCTTGACATAAAAAAGAATAAGATTTCTTATAAATTACAATGCAGTCTCTCACTGATGACGATGCTTTTTTAAATGAATCACTATTTTTACACTAATGAAAACCACCTGAATGCTGCTTCTTTATGTTTGGTAAAACGAAAAAATTGAGTTTGTGGCACTGGCTTTATAAAAGGTTTTTTGTTGTTCTTTTTCATCTACCTTCACAACTCTGACATAGTAAACTTAACCAAACTTTCGTGAAGCAGAAGCAATGTAAATGTCAAATACCTAATATTATTCTTTCGCTGCGCCATCTATGAGCCTCACGTGTGAAACGACTGTCGAGTTTTTCTGACATTTTCATGCCACCGAAACCTAATAATTATTAACAATTGTGTTGCATTATCGCAAAAATATGAGTAGAGGCCTATTTTGAGAACAGTAATAAACATTCTGGTAAATTTTCACTCGATTCCGTTCATTATTGAAGGAGAAAAACGGGGACGAAATAGGGCTGTTTTTTGTATAGTAAAAGTACTATAAACCTTAAAATCAATAGTTACGTTATGTTTTTCGCGAAAACCCGAGTAGAGGCATATTTCTAGAGCCCTTATAAACATTCTGGTCAATTTTCACTCGATTTCATTCATTTTTGAGGGAGAAAAACGAGGACAAAAATTTTCCAGTCTTGATTTTTTTTTTTCATTGATCGAAAAAACAAGACCAGAGGCATAATTGTATTGACCTCTTGAATGTTGTGAGAAAATTTCAAGATGATTGATTCATTATTCGCTGAGTAAAACGAGGACAAAATATTTCAGTATCGAAGCGCGGTCGTTACCGACAGAGTGTGTATGCCTGGCCCTTAAGTGGAAAAGAATTTAAGTACAAAACTTTTGAGATCTAAAGGAATATAATTGAATAACTGTTGCATTCAAAATCATGCGGTCAAGGACTTAAAAATCACAAGTCAATATATATGAATCCTGGATGAATTTTAATAATAAAAGGAACTACAGACATATTTTTTGTTGTAAAAGGACCTGTAAAAACATATTTTTACATCAGAAACAAAAAATTTTAATAGTAATCCTTAATTTTCATGTTTTTCATTTATAGGTATAAACGAGGATGTGTCCTCTTAAATCAGCGCCGTCGATTTTCTTCCAGCTCTTCGCAATTGCGTCTCCAGTTAACATTTTTTATGTAAAAAAACTCAAGTGTGCCCTATACTCCAATGTAAATTTCCTCGGTTAGGGCAGACATATTGGATTTGCTGCCCCCTGCAGGCGCTAACATTATTTTCCAATATAATTGAGTATGATACTCACGTAACAGGGTATACTTTCCGGTACTTTTATCGGAAAATACTATAATTAAATTGAAGAATTACATGATTATTGAATATTTGAAATAAGTTTTTGTCGAACTTATAGCGCTTTTATTTAAAAATGTCGACTGTTGTGAGATAAAAATTCAATGAAAGATACGTACTTGCCGTTCATCCATAACTACATCATATTCTTTCTTTACATTTTTTAAATCTTCATCTTTAGCTTTCAGCAATTTTTCTGCAATTTGTAAATTTCTATTGGCTCTGTCATGCTTGTTCTGCAGAGATGCTAACTTCGCCTATTGTAAATAAATAAAATTTCACGTTAATGAGCATTACTTAATATCATACAAATTGAAAAATTTCACATATGCTTATATTTTCCAAAATTAAAACGAAATAAAGTTCCTTTTCAAAGAAAGCTCAAAAAGGTTTTAGAGGTATATTTTTAAATTAAACGTAACAGAAATAAATTCCACGAATTTTTTCGAGAAGGTTGTAACAATTTTGTCCTGTGCAAGCTGCTTGTCTATGAATAAACGAATGAGTTATGTATATGGGTGTTATATATCGGGAGTTATATATCGCGTCAACTGCCGCCCTCCCCTCCTTCCGATAAAGATTGGTCGGCAGACCTGAGAACACCTCGCAGTCGTCTCTCATGTAAGACTGAACGTGTATCTGCGATGTAGGACACCCGTCCTGAAAATCTGTTCCGTAATAGCATTTAGCAACTCGAGTGTATTATTGATAGGAGTGCTCATGATGGTGTTAATTGAAGGAAGCAAAGATGAGTTGTGAAACTGCGATGAAGAACTATGACAAGGTTGGTAAAAAGTAGGAGAGCTAAAGGAGCAGTGGGAACATCAATATGAGAAAGGGAGTAGATCTAGTTCACTTGCTTGAGGAGCTCCGGATATAGTGCGATAGGGTTGAGAGTGAGATTCATCAGCATTACCTACAGCCAAACTGCTCAGATAGTCCGCCAACAAATTGATATATCATCACAACCCAATCTATCGTAGCTGTAAAAGCAATCTACAATGCGGAATAGTATCGAACGCTTTTGATGAATCAAATAACACTAAACTGACACAATTCACTCGTCAATAGCTAATCTGACGCTTTCTTTTAGCTCAAAAATGACTGGTTCGGTGAAATGGCATCCAAGCAACAGCTTGGAGCAATTCATATTTGAGATATAACAATAAAGAAATCTTAGCATACAAGAAATAATCGTAGGCATGATTCAGGTGAAAACTCTTCCATTAAAGATTTTTTTTGGGTACCGTGTCCTAAGCTTGTTCAAAGTGCATTTAGTACGCTGGATAACTTGATTGTACTGATGCAGTAAGAAGAAGACTCAAAGATAAAATGATATGGGAAAAATCACATCAAGTTTAAAAACACAAAAAAGCTCTAATCTCTCTCTCTCCCTCTCATCAAAGTATGCCTAACAATGTCCCCCTCCTCCTTCGGGGCAAAACAGAGACAAAAAAGGTAGGTTTTGGTAAGAGTACTATAAATTATTTAATTCACATCGATTCTATAATATTTTTAAAATAAATATATACTTACTTTCAAAGGTAAAACATCTCTGTTAATACTGTAAAAAGATACCATAGATATTGTCCATTGTATTAGCCCAGCAACGTTGCCACAAGCTGTTTTAGCTGCTTCATAAGAATAAGAAGGGTATGAGAAATACGGGATTAGTAAGTCTATGATTTCTGCATTTATATCATCTTTTGGAAAATTTTGTAAGTTATACAGAAATCTTGTATCAGACATGACCTAGAATAAATATTATTATTGTAGTATTTTTAAATTAGCAAAAATAAAACATTTAAATGTTAGTTTTATTAAGATTTAGTCATCTCCATAATAATAAAAATGATTGATGTCTGAGAACTATCAAAGAACAAAAAAAACTGCACTTAACAGCTACGCTCGCAATCGAAGCTGTAGGAGATTGTACGTCTAGACTACGGGGGTGTATTGAAGTATTGACAGGTCATATCATTGAATGTTTAGTTCGCATATAATATAATTATGATACCTCATGATTCTACTGTTAAATTCATAATTGATTCTGACAAAATGCATATAAACGAGGGCAGCGATTTAAAAGGTTTGGAAGTCTACGGGCGCGAAACAGTAGAATGCTATTACTAATAAATAATTATTTTATTTTGGAGTGTTTTCACAATGTTATTTGACTCCAGATTCGAAAAGGGTATTAAATTTTACATAAAAATAGGTATGCGCGAAGTCTTTTCAGGGTCCAAAACATAGAGAAAAAAATCGCATCGATCGTGAACGAAAAATTTCGTTTGTTTGGGAGTTATTGGGTTCAGAAACGCTATTCATTGGCATAATTAATACATTTTGGATAACGCGTCGCTCCTATCACACTCGCTGCACTCGTGCGATAACCTCTCTCCGCATTACCAGAAAGAGTAACATAACTCAGAAAAGGAGGTATACACTGATAGACCTTTTAGTTCGAGGCAAGAATTCTATAATCAAGCCGCACTCCTGTGTATTGATGCGCCGCGTTTCCACGTAAATAAGAGGTGAGCATTTACAAGCGCTCGGCTCATCGACGTAATCAAGCGTCGCACTGACTGTGTGCGCGCGTAGCGCCCACAGCTAAGCTGACTGATACTTATCTGCTATAGTTAACACTGGCGTGGTCGCTGCGTAATATTGTTTAGTCTAATCGCTCAATTTCCAACTCGCTACAAAAATACTCAAATGCATTCAGAAAAAATAAGTGACACGAGTTTTCGATGGAAATCCCTTGCTCTTTCGATCTAGATTGCTTAAAAAAATCTTGAAAATAAAGTTTTAAAGAAAATCGACTTTGAAGGTTTCCTAATGATTATCTCGAGTAAAATAATAAATATCGAGAAATAAGACCTCACTAACGAAAAGTTGAGAAAATTTGCTATCGAAAACTCATACCACATATTTTTATTAGGTGCATTTAGATACTTGTACAGAAAATTAAAAATTGAGCGATTGGGCTACAGTAGATACATGTATGTACAGTAGATACATGCGTCTGCAGACGCAGGCTCGTACGTGTCGGCGACAAGACGCTGTGGGCGCTATGTTCACCCGCGGCATCCGCAAACGTTGGCTACCGTCCGAAACGCTTTTTGGGCTGCAGCGGCTTCAGCTAGAGTAGCAGCTAGCTAAAAGGTCTATCAGTGTAAATATGAACTTAGCACAATGCTATAAAATATAGTACGATCCTAAGGCCACAGGAGATAATTTTCTGCACGACTATCAGGATTCTCGCTGTGCTCGAGCCCAAAACCACGTCATGCCGTAAAGTGTTACTTATAGCCCTTGGATCGCGAAGTACTATTATAATTCAATTTTCCACATGTACACGGAGAGAAATACTATATTAAATATCAACATATTCGCAAGCAAAAATAACTATATTCGCTAGTACAATTGCCTCAGAGTCAGATTATGGGCATTTTCTACTATGTACAAGCTAAATATTACTATAATATCGGGTTATTTTTGTAACTTTGTAATTAAAAAATATTTATAAGATATTCTAAAAATTGCTTTAATAACATAATAAAAACACAGGCACACAAAAAAAAAAAAATGCTCAGTTCCAGAGACCGGACCCAGTAGACTTTATGTTTTTGGGGTCGCTGAATCCGAATCCGTCGTCGGTTTCTCGCCATCAGATCGATTTAAGGTCATTTGAAGGTCATTCAAAGGTCAAATCATGTAAAATAGGTTTTGAAATCTGAAACTATTCCTACATAGGTTTTTGATTATGCTGAATTCAAATCTGAAGTCAGATGACCTCTACGACCTTACCTTCAAGGTCATTTGAAGGTCAAACTTAGAAAATGCGATATAAAAATCCGAAAAATATATTTTTTTATGTTTTGAGAGTCGCTGAATTCAAATTCAAGGTCATTTTGACTCAATGTTGATATCTAAAGGTCATTTAGAGGTCATTTGAAGGTCAAATCATAAAAAACAGGTTAAAAAATTGGAAAAAAACTCCTCTATGGGTTTTTGAGGATGCTGAATTCAAATTTAAAGTCAGATGACCTTTCAGACCTCACCTTCGAGGTCATTTGAAGGTCAAACATAATAAATTCGATATAAAAGTCCGAAAAACATATTTTTTATGTTTCAAGGGTCGGTGAATTTGAATCAAAGTTCATTTCCACTATACTGACTAATTTTAAGCTTATTTCAAGATTAAATCAATGAAAAGAGGGCAAAACTTGATAAAATATTGTTAATTTTGCATGCCTGTTTACCTTTTTCTTTTATAACGCACCTTTTTTTCTTCAAACGATCGGCGTAAAGGTTGCCGTTTGCGTTTAGTTCCTCTACGTTGGCTCTCTCTCTTCAACATCCAGCAGTAATCAGCCATCATTGCAACATCCCATCTACCTTGATATCGCTGCTCCATATGTTTAATATCTTGATGGAATCGTTCTCCTTGTTCGTCGCTAAAATCACCGCAGTTTTTCGGGAACTCATCTGAATGGTTATGCAAGAAATGCAGTTTGTAAGACATATTACATTTCATTTCACCGAAATTGTTTATCATTGTTGATATTAAAACTTTGTAATCATCGCTTCTGCGATTACCTAGAAAATTTTCCACAACATTTTTGAAGCTATGCCATGCAGCTTTCTGAACCTCAGTCATCTTAGTTGGAAAATTGTCATCTTTCAGCATTTTTCTTATTTCTGGTCCATCGAATATTCCTTCTTTTAATTTGGCATCAGATTTATAGGAAAATTTAGATTCTAAATATTTGTAACATTCATCGCTCTCGCTCAAAGCTTTTACAAATTGTTTCATAATGCCCAATTTAATATGTAAAGGAGGTAGTAAAACTTTTTTAGGGTCTACTAATGGACTGTTAATAACATTATGATGTCCAGCTTCTAAAGAATTTCTCTCAGTCCACTTATGGTCGGTGTAATGGTTTTTACGATCTCTGCTATCCCACAAGCACTTGAAACATGGGTACTTTGTAAATCCAGATTGCTGTCCCATCAGCATACCTAAAACTTTCAAGTCCCCACATATTAGCCATTTATTTTCTTGGTAGTTGATGCTCTCTAATAGTATCTTCATACTTCCATATGTTTCTTTCATAGTTGTACTGTGAGCAATAGGAATAGACGCAAACTTATTAGTATTATGCAACAATACAGCTTTTAAGCTCCTTTTCGAAGAATCAATAAAAAGTCTCCATTCGTCGGTTTTATAAATATTACATTTAATTTCTGTCATTAGACCTTCAACATTATTGCAATAAGGGCTTGAAAGTTTTTGGTATGCTGATGGGACAGCAATCTGGATTTACAAAGTACCCATGTTTCAAGTGCTTGTGGGACAGCAGAGATCGTAAAAACCATTACACCGACCACAAGTGGACTGAGAGAAATTCTTTAGAAGCTGGACATCATAATGTTATTAACAGTTCGTTAGTAGACCCTAGAAAAGTTTTACTACCTCCTTTACATATTAAATTGGACATTATGAAACAATTTGTAAAAGCTTTGAGTGAGAGTGATGAATGGTTACAAATATTTAGAATCTAAATTTTCCTTTAAATCTGATGCCAAATTAAAAGAAGGAATATTCGATGGACCAGAAATAAGAAAAATGCTGAAAGATGACAATTTTCCAACTAAGATGACTGAGGTTCAGAAAGCTGCATGGCATAGCTTCAAAAATGTTGTGGAAAATTTTCTAGGTAATCGCAGAAGCGATGATTACAAAGTTTTAATATCAACAATGATAAACAATTTCGGTGAAATGAAATGTAATATGTCTTACAAACTGCATTTCTTGCATAACCATTCAGATGAGTTCCCGAAAAACTGCGGTGATTTTAGCGACGAACAAGGAGAACGATTCCATCAAGATATTAAACATATGGAGCAGCGATATCAAGGTAGATGGGATGTTGCAATGATGGCTGATTACTGCTGGATGTTGAAGAGAGAGAGCCAACGTAGAGGAACTAAACGCAAACGGCAACCTTTACGCCGATCGTTTGAAGAAAAAAAGGTGCGTTATAAAAGAAAAAGGTAAACAGGCATGCAAAATTAACAATATTTTATCAAGTTTTGCCCTCTTTTCATTAATTCAATCTTGAAATAAGCTTAAAATTAGTCAGTATAGTGGAAATGAACTTTGATTCAAATTCACCGACCCTTGAAACATAAAAAATAGGTTTTTCGGACTTTTATATCGAATTTATTATGTTTGACCTTCAAATGACCTCGAAGGTGAGGTCTGAGAGGTCATCTGACTTTAGATTTGAATTCAGCATCCTCAAAAACCCATATAGGAGTTTTTTTCCAATTTTTTAACCTGTTTTTTATGATTTGACCTTCAAATGACCTCTAAATGACCTTTAGATGTCAACATTGAGTCAAAATGACCTTGAATTTGAATTCAGCGACTCTCAAAACATAAAAAAATATATTTTTCGGATTTTTATATCGCATTTTCTAAGTTTGACCTTCAAATGACCTTGAAGGTAAGGTCGTAGAGGTCATCTGACTTCAGATTTGAATTCAGCATCCTCAAAAACCTATGTAGGAATAGTTTCAGATTTTAAAACCTATTTTACATGATTTGACCTTTGAATGACCTTCAAATGACCTTAAATCGATCTGATGGCGAAAAACCGACGACGGATTCGGATTCAGCGACCCCAAAAACATAAAGTCTACTGGGTCCGGTCTCTGGAACTGAGCATTTTTTTTTTTTGTGTGCCTGTGAAATTGGTATGTAGCAAATTTTACTATAGATAATTGGAAAATGTGAGGATGAATATTTCAAAAATTATTTTATATTGTAACAATTTTTATCATAATCAAAGCTTCTAGATTTCATCAAAAGATGGATTATGGTCAATTCTCGCAAGTGGCAGAAAAACTGTCCGATAGGTATATATACAAAAAATTTCGAACAGATAATATATGCCCGATATGTGTAGATAACTAACATAAGGTTAGAATACGAACTGCGCTAATATAAATACAGAAGTGTTAAATAGGTTAGTTTTTTAAAGGCAGGCAAATATTTGTGTGTGTAAAAATCGACGAGTAAAATAATTCCATGATAGTAGAAAGCAGGGTTAGGTCGAATACGTGGGGCTCTCAAAAAATCGAAAAGTCATCTTGGGAAGCCAGAAAATTATTATTTTAAAGTAGTTGTACCAATCTAAAAAATTCTTCATACCACACTAAAAATTACTATGTTACATAACGAAAGCTAATATATATCGACTCTGGGGCTCTTTCCCCAGAGAACATAGCAATATTTGCTAGCGAATGTGTTGATATTTAGTAGTATTTCTCTTCGTGTACATAAAAGCATTTTTCAAGATATTTACGCATATTTCAGTATAAAAAATCGGGATTCTTCATAACAAAAAAACCGGCCTCGAAGATTTCCTCCACTGAAAGCTCCGAGCAAGCTTCGTATCAGGACATCGCCACTGCTCCAATTTAGTTTTTGGTGTAGAAACGTAGGTCATATAACTGCTTATCGGCTTCAATCGACACCGCATCAAAGTCACACTATGGTTTAAAAGTGGAACGATCAACCTCTTCACAGCGCCAGAATTGACTGAACTTGATGACGCAAGCGTCGTCGCAACCAGTGCAACGACAAGAGGCTCTTGGACCGAGGGCGAATATAACGAAGTCGAAACTTTTCGACGCTTACTTGTGCTAGGAGTGGAGGTACTAGCAGAAACAACAATTGCACGTTCGTTTGCATTTAAATCAGGTGCAGCGACCGAAACAGTAATTTTTAAGTCAGCAGCTGCACTAAGAGTACGCTTGAACACAGTGACACTTTTCACTATTTCACTCCCTGACAGAACTTTTGACAGGTTCTGCCGTAGAAGTTTGGACAACTCAGGACTTCTTCTTTTGTTTTCTTTCTTCTAGAAGTTCTGCCTAGCGTACAGATCACCTTTTTTACGATTGTAGTCTTAGAATCCGACCACAAGTGTACTTTTGCATTCGTAAAATCCTCAGTAGCGGCGAAAGAAGCCACGAGCTCTGCCAACAGATTAACACCGCAAAGCTTTAGTCAAGGTATAGATTGAACCTTCAATGGAGCCACTTTAGTTTTCGCCGTAAGTAAGCTGACTCTGACTCGCCTTCGATAAATAACTCGAACATAGGGTACGGCGACGTAAGCGAATTTTGAAGCATCTGCAAAGCCGTGTAATTCAATGTATGCTTCGCTCATAATAACGTTCCATCGAGGTACGACGAGAGAAGGTAATCACTTTAAGTCTTCCTCAAAAGCTCTCCAATTCTCAAACTCAGCGGCGGGCAATGAAACATCCCACTTATTTGTCAAGAGTCACAAAGACTACATAAATATCTTCAGAGAGATTAAAACAGGCTCAATCCACCCTGAAGGTCAAACACGCCCGCAATGCATAATGCCTAAAGGTTCCTATGAGCCCTTAAAGAACATTTTTTCTATCATATAATATTATTTTATTTTCTTTTCAAAAAGTTGACAATTGAAAATGCTTCTCATAAATGAAATTAAATGTGTTTGTCGTGGATATTATAAACAGGATCAGCAAGTAGAGCATATAATCCAGAGTAAATTTGTTATCTCCTAAATTCTTTGCCAATGAATTGGCAGCGATTTTTTATATTTTTTTAATTATATTTGATAGAAGAAAAATTCATACCTTTAATGCTTCTGTCCACGAGGCTTGCAAAAATTTTTTATCTGGATCTAGAATAACAGAATACATCTTTTTGCCGAATAATATACAAACGCAGTCCATAATCAAAGTAATCAAATAAGGTGGCTTAGCTAATTTTCGGACAGTTGCAATATCAGATGCTGTAATCGTCTGCAAAAAATTCATTAGTTAGTGAACACACTTCATTAAATTATTTATTAATCACTAATTTAATATGTTGAATTACTTATAAATAAGCTTGAATTCCGTTAAAGTATACTCTTATTAGGAATAACTTCAATATCAACGTAATCGATAAAGTATTCATTGTAATATTTTACGATTCAATTATGATTAATATTTAAATATCGAAATAATCGTCAAAGATGCATTGTATGCATATTATTAGCCCATAAACCATAAAACGACTTTTAATCAGTGGTTAACTTATTACTACAATAATGCAAAACAGCTTCTTCTAGAGTTTAAGAATACATAAGATATTAACAACATAATTAATATTGCATTAATTTGGTAGATAAATTATAGAAAAAATTCGGCTACGCGAAATTTGAATTCGAAACAAGATTCTGAAAAATAATGAAAATTATATTCTAATGAGAAGGTGCGGCAGATTTTTGCAGATTTTTTTCAGTTGCCATGACAACGTTTATGTATAATTATGACTATGTATATTCGAAGTGCAAGTGCTGAAAGATTTCGCTCTGCAGAGCATAGCAGAAAGATGCCACTTCAGCGCTCGGTATTTCTGTGTTTGAAGCTTCAACTTTAACTATTATCTTTATTACAACGCCAGATTATAGAAGAGCATCCAATTTTACTTCTAAAACATGAAACGTTAACATAGTGTCACATCAAACGCAGAAAAAACCATCCTTCAGAATCGAGCGTCGAAGTAGCATCTTTCAGCTCGAGCGCGAAATGGCATGTTTCTACTCTACACTGCGGAGCGGCATCTTTCAGCACTGGCACGTCAATATACTCTCTACATGCACACTTGTATATGTCACGATAGGCCTGTATGAGTTTTTACTATAAGAATTTTTTGCTGTTAGGAAAATATTATCATGAACAATTCAATAGGAAAAAAACTATTAGAAATTTCATAATAGGAAAAGAGTTTTAAGAAAAATGATCTACCATTCTAATCAATTGGCTAATTAAAAGATATTCATGTCGAAAAGAAGCTAGAATAAAATTAATCTTTTTCATAGGTATATGCATTACTTTCTTAGAAAAGCACAATTCTTTAAAAAAAAAACGCATTTTTGGAGGTACGATCATGACAATTTTTTTTTACCCAACGCGAACACGGACCCCTGGGTAATATTTGCGGTGGTTCCAAGAACATGTGAAAACGTAGAAACAGTCGAAATATAGATGGTGTTTTTTTATAAAAAAAAGTATCAAAACTCATCTCAAAAAAGTGACAGACTACTGCATTCGATAGGAAATTTCCTCAGATTCCTGATGCTAACATCAGGTTTTTCGAAATATTCAATTTAGCCGGGAAAATTGCTATCAAACGAACCAAGCTAACTATCTCAAAAAACTTGGTACGGAAAAACTGATCTTTGAGGTTTTTTTGGATTTTGCCGTGTGAAAAAAAATTATCGGAAAATCTAACAGCACCTTGTGAAAACTGAAAAAATTTCCTATCGAAACCTCATATTCATTTATATTTTTAGTCGAATTAAAATGTTATTCGTGCAAGTTTCGAGACACGTAAAGCTAAGAACCGCGTGACCACGCCAAAAACGTCTTAACAACAAAAATCAAAGAACATAGTAGCAGAAACTCACTCATAAAACCTATTAGTTTGACTGAAAACACAACTAAATATGAGGTTTCGATAGAAAATTTTTTCAGCTTTCTCATGAAGCAGTCGGATTTAACGATAATTTTTACTTTCACAAGGAAAAATCAAAAATAAACCATAAAGTTCACTATTTTCGTACCCCTAAAGCTCTCCGAAAGTTGGAAAGGGTAGAAAATCGAATTTTCAAGTCGAAAAATCACGTTTTTTTTTAATCGGAAAATGAACAATGATATTGTTAAATTTCTGCAAAAATGACACCGGATTCCGACTGAGCACATCTTAAACTCCTTGAGATGAATTTTCGAGATAAAAGATTAACTTAATCTATGGTTTTGAAGCGATGGAAAATCATGGAAATTAATGTACTTTACTATCATTATTAATGCAAAAGGTAAAAAAAAAATTTTATATTATTAAACATACTGCTACTTCTTTTTCACACATTTTCGACACTCATTTAAAGCGATTTCCATTTGTTCTTAATGTCAGATTACTTCATCAATGAAGTTGTTTCAAAAAAAGAATTGTCCGTCGTTTGCATCAATATTTATAGTAAAGTACGTTAATTTTTGCTCAAATTGGTTTGCTCTTTAAGACCTACACATTAAACCAATTGGGCTTGAGTGTTTATTTTTTGAACAAGTATTTAAGCCTTTAAATGGTCAAAGTACCAATACTTTTCCGTTAGTTGAACTGAACTGTTTTAGCCTGATAACATGATAGGCTATTATAATGTATTTATTAACATTAAATAATATTAAAAACTTTATTATGCTTAAAGATGTTGTTAAGGGGCCCATTGGTTACAACTATGCATTAAGTACTAGGAGACCACATAAAAATTGTCAGGACATTTAGTGACCCGGAGATGAAAGGCTCTACTTGTTAGTAAAAAACATTTTGATATTGTAAATAATGCTACGGAAAGTGGAGCAAATGTACGTTTCAATGTCACGATAAAAATTTTTTTGATTTTCAAGGTTATGTTTATGGCCATTTATGGGTGATACTGTACGCAAGAATACTACAAAAAATGGCTTAAAATGACCTGAAACAAAAAACGAAAGGTGTATTTGAACGTGAAATTTTCCGCTTTTTTCAAATCTGCAATAAAAAATAGGGGTCACCGCACGAAAAATCAATTTTCGTTGGCTGTAGCTTAGAGGTTATGTTCAAGGTCAAATTCAAGGTCTCCATTAGTTTTCTCGTCGAAAAATACGTTGAACATGATGTTTTCGAATTGTTTTGAGAATTGGTAATAATTAAAGGACAATTTAGTATAGTTAAGCTCGAAATCGCGATTCAATTTTTGAACTTCGTTAATAATTATATTCTTAATTTGGCTGTAGATTTGGCTCTGAGGCACCTATTAGCGCGTTGGAGGTCTCAAAAGATAGGTCTTGAGATGATTTTAATCATCAGTAGTATTGCGAAAATATTTCAGTAATTTGTTTATGTTCACACAATAAAAAGCGTGTGAGCATTAGGCGGATAGAAGTAAAGAAAATAGGAAAAAACGTAATATTTCAAATGCCGCTATACAGAGTTAGGATGCAATGTTCCGGTCGTAACCTACCTCCTTTTTTAGCTTTTGGCACACGAAAAAACACCCTGCAGTGTAAAAAAATTGGTGTTTCTCCGAGTGAACCTCAGCTTTTACAAAACTAGAAAAATTGCGATTTTTGCGATTTTTAGCAATATTCAAACGGCTCTACAGCAGTCAATTTTGAAGTACTCGAAACTCTGAAAAAAGCAAATTAAAGATCTTAAAAATACCTTTAATTTCCTGATTTCAAAAGTTTGATTGCTTCAAAATTGACTGCTGTAGAGCCGTTTGAATATTGTTGAAAATCCACAAAATAAGCTATTTACTTGCACGACGGTCGAGACGTGGATTTTGACGAAAATCTCGGGGTCAATTTTTTTTCAAAAAGTACTTTTTGAGACGAAAAAAATGATTCGAACCACGTCGCTGACGAGTCAATACACTTCCTTGTAGAATTTTTCAAAAATCGCCAAAAAACAGCGAAAAAACTACGTTTTTTGACACTCATTTGTCGCTAGGCACCTCCAAGAATTTTTTTTCGGGCTAAAACTTTGGGAAAAGTCTTTTTTTTATGTTATTCAATAACATATATTTTTTCCAGATTTTTTGAAATACCACCGCGCACACTTTTTTAAAAAAGTAGGAGAATGACCCATAAGCATACGACGTTCAGTGATCCAGTGGATAAGATTAGTCCAGGGACAGTGTACATACTTTGTATTGATGCTTAACATGGAATATCATGTGTTTAATGTTTATATGCCACCGGTATGTCATTTTAAGTCAAATAGTTATATTAGTTGTATCTGTAGTAACTTTGAAATTTATGTAGTAGAGCACTTACCCGAAGAGCTAGTTCAGCGTCGCGTAAAGCTGGTTCAGCCGCTTGTAACTTTTTCTCAGCAATAGCTTTTTCTTTAACAATTATTTTCAATAAATGTTCAGCTTCATCTTTTGAAAGTTGTACTTTGGATTTAATCGTTTCAGCTTCCTGTCGTTTCTCATTAACTGACCGTAATATCTATAAATTAATAATATTTATTTAATAAAATTTTTTGCTTATTTTTATGAATTTTCATATTTTTTTATCACTTGAATTCTGTCAATTTATCACCAGTGTTCAAGCAATTACCGAAATTGAGCAAAAGTTGCAATTTCGACTCCAAAAAAACATATTAAAATTCTGGTCCATTCGCTCGAGACGAAAAATTTTATTTTCAAAATTATTGCATAATTAGAAGTGATAACTATGCAAAAAATGTCACATAATTCAAAAGAAATGTCACAAAAATCGAATTTTTTTTCTCAAATGAGATTTCACCCTTCAAATTTAACACTTCGGATGTATTGGCAAAATGGAACACTGGGTTTGTTAAGTTTATTATATAGAGTTTATTTGTATAATAAATATAAAGTGATAATGTATGTATGTTGGAATAGAACGGCTTATCGCTATGGATCCGACCAGCTACGCTTTCGGTTGTACTCTGATCCGACTGGCTGCCCAATGACGGGTCTGTCAACGTGCCCCCATTACCTACTGTGCATCTGCAGAGAGACTCAGTACAAACACTTATTTCGAATTATACGATCAAAAAGATTCAAATTTTTGATAAACATAAATAAAGTCCTCGAATTACGTTTAATACGTATGAATGTATGATCGTTTAGCTAACAGCAAATGTTTCATTTGTCAATATATTGTTAATTGATATAATTTCAAGTTTCTCATACATATTGGTCGAATTATTCAATCGATTTATACTCTGTCTCGATGACAAAGTATGTATCCTTCAGTTTGGAAAAAAGTAGAAATTATAGCTTAAGTTAAAAAAGGTGTCAAAAACAAAAAAAATGTATTCAAAAAATTGATGCTGTCAACAAATTCAATTTGAGGCAAAAAATGAAGAAAATAACATTTTATTCAAAAATTTAAGCGGAGAGAGCAATTTTGTCAATTTGGAAGAAGCTGAGGATTGGAAAATAATATGAATGGAAATGATTTCAGACTGCTAAGCAAAAGATATTTTAAACGTCAAAAAAGGCGCATAATTTGACCAATGTATTTACTTACTCACAATACTTACAAGTTAGTTTTATCCCTTGGGCCTTAAGGTCCATATTAAAAGCGTTTCCTATTTTATTCAAAAATTGTTGTAATTTTTCATTTCAAGATAGATGCACTTAAACAAAAAAATGCAAATGACATAAAAGTTTTAACAATTCTTGAAGAATACTAACATTAAATAAATCTGTAATTCTCTTTCCCTTTATCACTCCATTTCAGGAGTGATACAATGAGAGAAAATCCCTTGTGACGTTCGGATACAGCGATACGGATGGGGTTATAATAGTTATTAATTCGTTACGCGATTCTATCTCTCTATTACAGTAAGTGACCCAGTTTTCATGAAAGTATTCGTAACGAAATTTTACAAGCTCTATACATTCGTGCGCTACTCGTACGCGTGCAAAAAGCCGAATATCGTTGCATTAAATGGGTCAAAATCATTAATTTTTATAAAACCAGACCCAGTAGACTTCATGTTTTTGGGTTCGCTGAATCTGAATCCAGCGTCGGTTTTTCACTATCAGATCGATTAACGGTCATTTGCAGGTCATTTAAAGGTCAAATCATGAAAAAAAAAGGGTTTAAAAATCTGAAACTATACCTACATAGGTTTTCGAAGATTCTGAATTCAAATCTGAAGTCACATGACCTCTATGACCTCACACTCAAGGTCATTTGAAGGTCGAACTTAGAGGTTCAATATAAAAATCCGAAAAAACACATTTATTTTTTGAGGGTCACTAAATCTCAATTAAAGTTTATTTTGACTATATCTGGGCATTATAAGGTCAATTTAAGATCATTTAAAGATCATTTAAGGGTAAATATAGTAAATGCGATAAAGTAACGGAAAAAGATAGTGTATTGGTTTTTGGAGAGGACAAATTCAGATTTTTTATTGAGTGACCCGTAGAAAGTCGAGATCAAGGTTATCTGAAGGTAATGAAAAGAGAGATTAAGTCAATGAAAATTTAATCCAAAAATGTTGCATGCCTTTTTACTTTTTTCTTTTGTAAATCACCTTTTTTTTCAAACGTTTCAAAGTTGCTGTTTGCATTTAGTTTCTATATATTGACTCTCTCTCTCTCTCTACAACGAACAGCAGTAATCAGCGATCATCGCAACATCCCAGCTACCTTGATATCGCTGCTCCATATATTTTATGTCTTGAGAAATCATTCTCCTTGCCCGTCGCTAAAATCTTCACAGTTTTCTGGGAACTTATCAGTATAGTAATGCAGGGAATAAAATTTATGAGACATATAACATTCCATTTTGCCGAAATGTTTCATCATCGTTGAAATTGTATGATCGCTTCTGTGATTACCTTGTAAATTTTTTAAGCTAACCCATACACCATGGTCCATCGAATATTCCTTTTTACAATTTTGCATCGGATTTATGAGAAAACTTGGATTTTAAATAATTGTAGCATTCAACATAAAAATTCGGCTAAATGAAATGTAATATGTCTTATAAACTGTAATCCTTGCATAACTTTACAGATTAGTTCCCAGAAAACTGTGAAGATTTTAGCGACGAGCAAGGATAATGGTTCCGTCGAGACATAAAACACATGGTGCAGCTATATCAAGATAGATAGAATTTGTGATGATGATTGATTACTACATCTAGGCTGATGGCTAGATGTCGAAGAAAGAGAGCCAACATAGAGGAATTAAACGCAAACGGTAACCTTTTCACCGATCGTTTGAAGAAAAAAAGTGCGTTACACAAAAAAAGGTAGAAAGGCATGCCAAATTACGAATACTTCATCAATTTTTGCCCTCTTTTCATTAACTTAACCTTCGAATGACCTTGATCTCAACTTTCTACAGGTCACTCAATAATGAAGCTGAATTAGTCAGCTTCAAAAACCAATACACAATCTTTTTCCGTTACTTTATCGCATTTACTATATTTACCCTTAAAAGACCTTTAAATGACTAGGTATAGTCAAAATGAACTTTGATTAGGATTCAGCGACCCCGAAAATATTAAGTCTACTGGGTCTGGTCTCTAGTATTTAACTTTTTTTTTATTTTGTGTGCCCGTGTAATTTATTGCAATAATATAATGCATGGAAAATAGTGTTCAATATTCAATCTTTCTATTTCATAAACTTAAAAGAAGAAATGAAATGTCTTATACAAGAACACACGATACAATTCAAAAATTTGATTTTCAAATATATTAATTTTTTATACTCACAGTCTCAACTTGAGTATTTTTCACAGCAATATTTTGTTGATTTTGGACCAATACTTTACGTAACTCATCTACTTGAGCAGCAGCATCTACAAGTTTATTTAATCCCTTACTCATTCCTGATGCTGATGCATTAATGTTTTCAAGGTTACGTTTGTACATCAATTTATACGCTTCAACGAAGCATAAAAAGGATTTAGCAGTTACGTAGGATCTTCGATGAAATTTATTATAATACTCTATACATGTATCATTGACTTGAATTTGAACTTCCCCCATTACTTCAATTAATTGGTTTTTAACGTCAGTTGAACACATCACTTTATAGTCATTCAAAAAATGAAAACTAACTGCTCTCAATGCATCTTTAGGCCATGGGGAAAACCAGTCGACTGTGCATCCAGATATTACTCCAGGGAATTTTAGAGTTCGAGAGCGAAAATTTTCACCAACCTGAAAAAAATATTTATTATGGTTTCTCTGCATACTTTTATTTATTATTATACTTTATTTACTAGAAGAAAAAAGTGAGTATTAGTAGATTATGCTTCTTTGAATAAAGTCCCAGTATTTTAATGGAAATCTTGAAAATTTGTGAATAACGCCCTTGCAGTTTTTTCGTAAAATATTCAAGTTTTTTTCATCAAACTAAAAAATATCTAGAATTAAGGAAGTATTCTGGTAGACTGTAGAACAAATATTCTATTTGTGACTTTATCGTGAAGAACCAACGATGCATATGACAATCAGTCGGTTTGGATTGAATAAAGAAATGCTTGAAATGTACAAAAACAACATAGTTTATATGTGGCCGATTCTCTGTGAAGTCGAATGGCCAAAAAAATTTTTTTTCTGCAAATATGAAAAACTTATTGTATTTGATGTCAGATTTGTCCCAAAAAATTTTTAGAAAAATTGGGGCCTTCTATGACATTTTTTCAGAGGCTCAAAGTTGGCCATTTTAGGGTCTTTTTGAAATTCATGAAAAATCACAAATATTCAAATAATTCCTAGATTAAAGTAGAATGATTCAGAGATGTGCGGCCGACAGTATGATAAGGTAGGAAGTCGGGTTAACACTCGAGCGCCCGTTCGAGGTTCAGGGCAAAGGAAGAGCCAAGTTAACCTCGGACGCGCTGCTCGGACCATGTGCACTGACGATCAGACCGCGAGAGAATAAGGACGTGTCAGGGAGTGAAAAGTCGCGTGTCAGAGAGACAGTGTTGGCCTTGGACGTTGATCGTGAAGAAGTTGTGTGTGGCAGCGGTTGCAGTTGAGTCGTGGTTGAAGCTGCGTGTACAACAGAAGTCGTGGTGTCGTGTCGTGGAGAAGCTGTATTGCAGCCTTGGAGTGCAGAGTGGCAAGAGTGGAGTCGTGAAGTGACGAGGCGATTCGCGAGTTGCTCGGAAGGAAGCGAGCCGAGCAAATACACTGTACAGCGACACCCACACGGATTGTCGGAGGCATCTCCGAGACGAACAACCACGAGCTTGGACCGGATACAGACCGTGGGGACGAAACAGCTGGGGAACAGTGGAAGAAGAAGAACGAAGGCCAAGGCATCGCGTCGGAGCGAAGAACTAAGGTTGTAGATTGTATTAGACTTGGTCGGTCACGCACGTGTATGTGTGAGATTGCGTAGTGTGGATGGATGAGTGATAAAATAGAAAGTATTCCGCGTCGTAGCATTGTTGTATGAATGGTCGTGAAAATCGGAGTAATTGTTGTAGCAAGTACCTTGGACATTTTAAGCATACGTGGTTCGAGTCTACGTGTCGCGTTTCAAGCCTGTGCGTGGCCATCTTGCGCAGCGGTACTTCCGCCTTGGACGCTCGTGTGAGAGCAAGCAAGATGGCACGTATTGTCTTCGTTGCGTGTGACCAAATCGCGCGTCTGCTAACGCGATTGGGAATTTGATTGAGACTCGCGTCGGGCTAGCGTTGTAACCCGCGTTATTTGTGTGCAAAAGTACATTTCGGAAAGTCCTTTCGCGACCCTCTATCTGTTATTTTCAGCTTGGACTAACGAAGTTCGCCGCGTACTTGGTGGCGGCTCGACCCCTTCTGAGGTAAGACTCAAGGATAGGCTACCCCGAACCTCTGTAAAGAAATAATAGGACTGCAGGCCAAGCATAGGCTAGTGCCCCAAACCTCGCACGTCTCAATATAGCAGAAATGATTGGATGATAGTGTACATAGGATTGCATGCTGTTCAGAAAGTCATATACTTCACGTCACAAGTGATCCAAGAAATATAGAAAATTGAATGTTTTGTGTAATCGATTGAATTAAAATCTGACATTTATTTGTAAGAAATTAAAAAAGTAAGAATTTACCGGTGAAAAACAAAGAGCAATATGTAAATTGTTTCTAGCTTTGGTAATAAAATAATCGTAGAGATTATCTTTAGTAGGCAATAGATTAGGATCTTCTTTTTTCATTATAGGTATCATCAAATTTAATATATCATCTAATTCATCTTTTGGATATAAATTTGCTATTTCTCCAACACTTAAAATATTATTAATAGACTCTAAAAATTCTTCATTTCGAATATCATTATCCGTTAAAATAAAAGTAACTCCTTTACCGGTAGCTCCAGCTAATCGATAAAGATAACGTAAATCTTCCATTAGATTTTGAATATTGTAATTTCTAAAAAAAAAATCTCATTAAAAATTTCATTAAATTCTTCGTTATGATAAAATATCAATCTGAACCTTGTTAAAATTATTTGAAAAAAACTAAACCCAGCCATAAATGAAGCCAGTCGAGTTAGTGATTGTTTTCCTGAACCTCCAATTCCGACCAACATTGCATTTCCACGAGCAGCACCAAGAATTCTTGAAATTTTCCATAAATGAACAAGAGCATCATTAAAGAGAACCAAATTTAAGGTTATGCCACGAATAAATTCATTGAATTGATTAATAAATGATTCAACTCTTGCGATCACGATGTTAACACTGAAATTATAAATAATATTGTAAATAAAGTATATGCTTTTTTAATATTTACCAATACCCTTGAATAATAATTTAGAATATCAATTTTAACTTGCACATAAAATTTTTTTAATCGTAAATTTAAAATAAATTTGACTTATTGTTGAAAAATCTATGTGTATGAGTAAATCTCATAAAATTTTAATATTTTGCCATTAAATTTTTTTTTTTAAGCACACTCGTGAAAATATTTTTGGGAACTTACAAGTGATTTAGAAACCTGAAAAAAATAGTGTCCATCAAATTTGGGTGAGGGCCTTCGAGGATTTGAAAAAGTACATATTAAAGCTGAAACTGATGAACCATATTTTTAAAACAATATTTGCTCCTACATTTGGTTAAAATATTGATTTTTTGACATTTAAAAAAAACCACATAGCGTAATCTTTTCCAAAATGTCGAAAACTAAAAGTGGCAATATGAATCGTGCCATTTATGTATGCGAAATCTATTCATTTTAAAATCCGTTAAAACGTCGAATGCCATGGATCTGAAAACATTGACTAACTCATTCAAACAAATATTTCGAGCGTTTGAAGGTCTTAACAAGCCAATAGGTTCATGGGACGAGTGGTTTGTCTTCTTCCTGTCAGAGAAATTAGATAAAACAACGCGAATGTACTGGGAAACGTAATTGGGCAACAGAAAACTGTGCCGAAACCAAAAAACAATTAATTGACTTTTTAGAGAACCGCGTGCATGCTCTTGAAACAGTAAATCGGTCTGGAACACACTGGCACGATTGGTGGAACCACAAAGTCATCAGATGTAAAATTAAACTCATGCGTCACTAACGTAAGCAGATCAAATAATACCTGAGAGTATTGTTCTAAAAATCATACAATAAATAAATGCAGTAGCTTTAAAGCTCAGAATCCGGTCAAACGTAAAGATCGTGTTGTAAAAAAAAGATTGTGCTTTCTGTGTTTAAAGCCCAATAATAATTCTCAATCATGTACTTCGGCGTACAAATACAATGATTGCAAAGGAAGACATCACATATAAATGCACGATGCCTTATCAAAAGGTGTCAAGGGCACGAAAATACAGGCAGCTCAACTTGATAATGAACTACAGTCATTCGCTACTACTGTTAAATCTAACCGGGAAATTCAAAGTTTTCCTTCATTTGGCTCGTCAATATTTAAGCATATCGTACTCGTAGCCACTTCGTCGGTGAGACTTGTGACTCAATCCTGCTCGCGCCCTGCTGGATCCTGCGTCCAACTCATCATTTGTTTCTGAACAAGTCGCTCAAAAGTTGGAATTACATCAACTTCGAATAACGGGAAACTTATTTGGCATAAATGAATGCAAAACTGGCAGTTTAAAGGAAGAAGTACATCTTTCGGTATCACCTATGTACACACAAAGGGAGAGGTCCAGAGACTGTTAAATCATCATTTATTTATTTAAAACTTGAATATATTGCGAGTACTTGAATAAACTCAATTACTCGAAAAGACTCGAGTACCCGAAACATCAAAAACTCGAATTTTCCCGACCCGAGACAGACGGACGGACGCTCGTTTTTCACGGGTTTGCCCCTCATGCCAAACGCCGATAAAGATATTTTACATTAAAAAAGTAAAAAGCATAACATTTACAATAGAATTATTTATAATACTATAACTTCTTTAGAATAGCTTTTTATAATAAAAATATTGTATTAAAGGATATTACTTTGTTACTTCTTCATAAACTTTCGGGGCTTCAAATACAAAATCTTCTGGTTCATCGCCAGTTGGTTCAGGTGGATCTCTCATGAAATTTATAAAATAAGATTCTGTTTTAATACAATTACTGAATTCAACACCCAGAAAAGTTTTTGCCGTTTGTAGCAACATATTTTTAAACCATTCTTTGTCACTACCAGTAATAAATCTGTAAGACAATTTAAAGTAATGATAGAATGAAAATGTTTTGAAATCAAAATTATTGTAGAATATGAGTTCATTATATAATATTGCATAATTTACACTAGAATTGTCCGGGGTTTTTGATTAACGTATTAACGCCGGTTGGAAAGAATCTTCTTGACGAATGTCTTTAAAATTTGAAAATTTCCGAACAATTATAAAGTTTATGCTTTTTATTTAAAAGGTATTGCTCTTTCAGAATCCGGTCTAGAATCAAACCCAAAGTTGAAATTAAAAAGTTTTACAAAACTGAACAAAAGAAAATACAAATTAAAAAAAAATGTTTTGACCTAAATTTCAAAGCTGAAAGAGATTTGATTCATTGGTCTAACACATAATTCTTACGTCAATGGGATATATATTTGAAAGTCCTGTAGTTTTAATATCAAAATTCAACGTGGCAGGCATCAGAATGGCGCTTCGTAATAAAAACCGTACACAAGTAAAATTAATTTTTTTATGTGGCATAAGCTGATTTATAATTTACGCGTTAAGTACGAATTTGAAATTAGCGAAAAGTAACTGGCACGGCTCGTCAGACCTCAAGTACGACGAGTAGACGATAATAATTAATGGAGCGGCTTAAGATCGATTGTAGTAGCACGCGAATGATTACTTTATGTTCCAGCGTCAAACTGTGTTTGTGAACTTGCGTGCGAGCGAATCAATGCGGATACACGTCAAGCAACCACTCTGTACCAGTGGATTCAGCGAGCGACTTTGTCATCGACGAGTAAGCAATCGAATGTCAATTGTCATTATTACAAGCGTGCGTGCGGCCCTAACTTGAATTCAATAATTATTCATTGATTTTCACGCGAATAAATCGCTTTATTTTATTTTATTAATTCGTGACTAATTGTTTTAAAAAATTTGGGTAAAATTTAGGAAAATTTCTGACATCGACCAAAGAATTAATAAATTAAAATCGTAAAAGCGATTAAATTTTCTATATCTTTAAAAGTGCTGTGTTCAAAAGGGTGTTAAGAGTATTAGGTAAAAGTTGTACGTTAATTCAAGCAAAATTAACAGATATAAACTAGTACGCTAAGCTCGCATTTTACTTATCACCAATGCTAGAAGATATTGTTCAAAAAACTTTAAGGTTGTATTTCCTCACAAACTATCACAATAACTCTCAGAAACAATTATTATTTTAGCTGTAAGTAAGACTATTTCACCAAATTGTTACAATGACTCCCAAAAGTTCTTAAGCAAGGCTGTTTTTCTTTTCCTTATGTTGCTTCCTCATCAACGTAGGCAATTCACAAACACAAAAAAAAATAACGCAAAAGACGAGAAACAAAAGAATCACACTTCTGGAGTTTTGATGAGTAAACGTTCTGTCGAATGCCGGTTTGAAATTTTCAAATGTCGTTATATCGTCTATCTTTGCCATCAGCCATTTTAGTGCTCCTCCTTTTAGCCGCGATTTGACCAAACTGAGCGCCATATTGTCATTTAGTGCGTGCAACGTTTTCATGTTTTCCAACTCCTTTATCCATACACTCGAGAGTTGTGGTCCCTCGTTACCGTAGAATTCACGAATAAGATTTACGTCTACTTGTCATGTTGGATTTACGTTGATCGGATGGTTGCCTACTGTTTGCTGTTGTTGATTATGTTGCTCTTGAAGCGTATTTGTCAGAGCAAAGAGAGCTTGTGCTAGCTCATATTGAGAATCTGGTTGATTTTGAGACGATGTATTGCTGCCGTCATTATGTGCTGACTCTGCGATCTGCTTCAATTCGTTACGCTCCTTTTCCAAATTTATGTAACGCGCTTGCTCTACGTTTAACTCCTTTTCCAGTCTATTTAGTCTAGACTTGAGCTTCTCATTTTGAGTTTGAATCGCCTTAAATTCTGCTGCTGTTAATGTGCCTTCCAAATTCATTGTACACTCCACCGACGAAAATCAAAACGAACAACATAAAAAAATTTTTCTCACTTTTCGACACGTGACAAACACCAATTTTTTGCCACTGTTCCACACTTGGAGAGTTTTTTTCTTTATTATCCCACTTCTGACTTGTTAGGATAGGGCCAAAGGTAACGACTCGAGAATGAAAAATGAGTAAATAATGAACTTTATTAACAATAACAAGGTAACACCAGGTTTCAAAGCGTACTTGGGCTGGCCTACGGGGGAATCAAGCGCTCGCCTGCGGCTTGTACCCTTGCTCGCGCTCGGAGCCTTACTGGCCCGTCGGTCACAGTCAGCTTCGCTACTGCTGCTGCTGGCCGCTACACACAGTGGCGCGCTACGTTACCGTGCATGCTCGCGACATACGCACGATATAGGCAGGCGGAGGCGCACTCACACACACAACACACACATAATCAAAAGGCCGTGAAAAAAAACATTACATCGAATTAGGATTTAGCGAATCACATCAAAAATATCACGGTGTTCCTAAGAGGGGAGTTTTTCTTCACGGCCTTTCGATGTAATGTGCTCATAAGCACCAGCGATTTATTAACTCAACATTTTTTACCAACCAGATCAAGATCGATTTATTATCAATCTTTTCCATAAACAGCCTTGTTTAACATAGGTTCCGGGTACCATAGGTTATGGGTCTTTGTCACCTACATATGATACATATGAGACATTACATTACATATGATAGATCTTCGAATCATGAACTAGAGAGAAGAATCTTAGACTCGAACATACTCATTATATTTGTTAAATAATTTAACACTAACATAACATTGTATACATAACTAAGCAATGACATTGAGCATAACGAATGAAACTGCAAAAAAAATTTTCAGACACCTAGATCGTGTCCCTTAATTGTATAGAAACGACATAGATGATGTTAGGAGATAAGATAATATTCATTTTTTTGTGCATTAAAATCTTTGAAAGCGTTTCCTGAACAATTGCTTTTCTGAATCAATGTTCATGGTAACTTCAAAACTGCTGGATCGATCGTTCTGAAATTTTACATATTTCTTTAAAATGAATTTAACTCCCTGTTTAAAAAAAAATTGTTGGATTTCCAGTTGGAAAATCTAGCTCTATTTTTGATTGGAAACCCAGCTCAATTTTTTATCTGAAATCTAGCTCGAGTTTTGAAAATACAGCTCGAATTTTAGCCTGAAATGTAGCTCGATTTTCAAAACTCGAACTAGATTTCAGATCGAAAATCGAGCTGAATGTCCAGTTAAAAATCGAGCTAGATTTCCAGTCAAATACAGCTCGATTTCTAGTCAAATCGAGCTCGATTCTCAGTCAAATCCTGGTTGATTTTCCAATTGCAAATCCTGGTTGATTTTCCAATTGCAAATCCAGTGATTTCTTTAAACAGGGTTAGGAACTGATGTCAAGATGTTTTCTTCTTTTTTTTTTAATTTTTTTTTATGAGTAAAAACACAATTTTTTGATTTTTTCCGATTTTTTGATATCAAGTTGACATCAAATTCAAAAATGAAAATAATTCAAAAAACTCGGCGTTACAACCTACTAATCTTTCAAACTTGTAAAAAAAAACTCCCATTCGTATGCTTCAGACAATCTTATTATAAGTTATCTTGTTCACCGTATTTTTTAGGCGTATGCCAGTATTTACTAGATCTCTTGAAAAAGATCTCAAAATCATGCAAAAAAACAAAATTAGCTATAATAAAATCACAATTACCTATCAGCTATGACTCTATTGCACTCGTGTGCCCAAAGTTTTATTATGGTTTCAATGGATGGACATTCTGGATTTTTGATACGTAAAATTCCTTCCCAGATACGTGACAAATCTCTTAAATTGAATATATAGTGAAACTTTGCTGGAGTTGGTAGCATTTTCATTTTAGTTTTTTGCCATATCTCTCTAGTCAATGGTATCAATCGTGGAATGAATTCAACTATAAGCAAAGAAAATCTTTCTTGACAAAAATATCCTTGACCAATAGAACCTGAGGACAAAAAAGATTAACAAGGTTTTCAATAATAATGTTCAAATATGATTGAATGCGATACAGATAGTATTTGCTCATTTGTTCTTAATTTTTTATTCAGAGTATTTGGTTCTTGAATTAAAAATAGTTTTTTTTTCAAACCAGAACTCACGAGCTTTTCGTATGTCACATTTGAAAGTATTTCATTCTGTTAGATACTCAGAAATAGTTTAATAAATTTATATAAATCTATAGACCTACTACACTAAACATTTGACGCATATACTGACTATTGGCCTTGGTTGAATATGTGAGTTAAGCAAACAAACTACTTGTGCGTAAAGTTAAATAATAGTACTTCACGATACAAGTGCCATAAGTAACACTTTTTGGCACGAGTATCGTACAAAATTTTATAGCACTGTGCTAAGTTCACATTTATGCCCCCTTTTCTGAGTCATAAGTCGCACTTTCTGGTACCACAAAGTGAGGTTAGCGCACGAGCGTATGCAAGTGTGATATGAACGCAGCGGTGCCAGAATGAGCGACTTATGCGACAGAAAAGCGCGCCATAAATGTGAACTTATAACACACAGTGCTATAAAATATAGCTGTATCTCAGTGAAAGATCCAAATTTTGTAATTTTGAAAAATCCAATTAAAAAGGATGGAAAAATCCAAATTATAAATCAAATGAAACACTTTTGGCTAGGAAGTACGAAGATTAATCGTAGATTCGCCAGCGATGCGATGAAAAATTGGAGCATATACTTCTGCAAGTCTTGGGTATCTTGCGATACCTAAGAAGTTAGTAAAGCCTGCAGTTATTGGACAATGCCTGGAATGTAAGCATTTCTAAGCTTTATAATGGGGAATGAAGTTAAATGAATAGCTGCCTAGTTCGTGCAGCACAAACTCATGGACATTACTCCCGAGTTACAGAATAAATACTCGCCGAGCAGCATCTCGTTTAAATAAAAAGAATCGAATCAGAAGACTCCAATGCAGTTTAAATAGAAAAAAAATAATTGGTTAACAAAAAGAACTTTACAAAAGATCTCTTACTAGCAGCACTTTAGATAAAAGTGAGCGCAACTTTTAATTTATTTGATATATAAATTAGTTTACTCGGCATTTGTCGGTACTGAGGAATTGTCTTGAGCTTGCAAGCTCGTAAGTCCTCATAGAGGTAATTGCCTGTGTGTCGCTGCTGTACGACGAGTTAGAGTAATGGCAATCGAAGGCCAGGCCTTCCAACCATTCAACTCCAAGAGATGTCTTGGTGTGCCAAAAACTCAAAGAGTTCTCTAACCATACCATCACCGAGTTGCGTGGCGACCTGAAGTGTATACACTCAGGCATTGTCCGCAACACTTTATTGCTCATTGACGCGACTCGATAAAAACTGCACAAATATCTTAAGGTATTAACTCTAATCCTAAAGGCCAAAATGTCTCCCCGCGGGGAACACAAAACTTCAAGACCACGACTCACTCTTCGAACAAAACAACTCACAAAAAAAGTTATCGTTCGATCTGTCGATCAAATCGAGTTCACCATGAAAGCAGGCTGCGGGAACTGCGGTGGCTCGCGTAGACGCCACCTGGTGGCGGAGAAATTAAACACATTTTGAATTCTCATTAAATACTTTTAACAAATTTTAAAAAAATTTTAACAAGCACAATGGATGTTACTTTATGTAATCATTATTTGAGTATTTATTATTTATTATTTACTAAAATCGAAATAATTATATAATTTATCAAGTAGTACACTTACCGAAAATTGTATCCATTGAATTATTCGATGGTAGAGTACAATTAAAAATATTAAACTGTCTCTTTAATCGAGGTGGAATATCATTTCTACCACCTCCTGGATGAATCATAGCAGCAAGAAGTGTTATATCTTCGAGAAATAGAAAATCTCCTGGTTTATCTAATGAATAAAATCCTTTGTATTCCATCATTTGCCTTATAATCTCATTTGTCACTTGGTCACCCCACTCATTTATAATAGGCATATTTATGTCATCAACGAAAATGCTTAATTTTTTTCCATTAGGTGGTCCATAGATGTTTCCAACTCTTTTTTCAACGTAACTTTCAAATACTCGCTTAAAATAAAAAAGGGAAATTAATTTATATTTTTAGTGAGCTGGAGATCTTTAAATAACGAATGTACCTTGGTGGTATTAAGGGCTAACGGGGGGCTTAATTATTTATCATTTTTTAGTTACAGTATTAGGCTGTAAAAGTAAAAAAAATGTTTTTTTCAATAACACAAATGATAACCTTTTTCAATAGCCTATTTGAAAGTATTTTGTCAAGTAAGATACTTAGAAACAATTGAGTACAATAATAATGAGGGTATTGGTCCTCAACGCAAGCTATACTCATATCTAAGCTACCTGTCGTAGAAATCCAAGATCAAGCATTCAGCTAAAGGAGCCTATGTAGTTTCATTTTGTTCGATAGCCAATTGGCCATGGTCGCAACCAAAAGCTAGCCATAAGATGAACTGTAGGTTTGGTTTACATAAGGTAAAGCAGGGCAATACGCCATAGCTAAAGAAAAAATTGGAATAAAAAAGTAATGAATGTATGAAATCAAATCTTAAGCATCGAGGACTGTAACACGTTTATGTATTATGAGAAAAAACAAAATTATAACTTTATATTGTTATTGTAATAGTTACAAAAAATTTAGCAACTTGGTTCAAAAATGGCGTTTTCATGCATGCGGGGAAGACGCCACCCTGATTGGAGCATTATTCCATTAATCTGAATACAATGAAAAAAATGAAATACTAATTCATTTGCGGGATCTCCTAGCGTACTACCACGGCCAAGCTTGCATGATGTATTGTCATTATCTAGATGTCCTTAACAAATCCCACTTAAATATTTCATTAAAAACTAAACGAATATGTGCACATTGAACTTTAAAATTTTGACGCTTGAAAATCGACTGATGATAGCAGTGAAAAATCAGCTATTTTGTGTCGATGTAATCGGATTATCATAACGCAAATTCCAATAGGTCACTTATCTATATTTTCTTTCTTATAACGATAATATAGCAAAATAGCATTTTCCCCGAACTGGTGTTTTCCCCCACTTTACCTTATTTGTAAACTGAATTGAATTCCTAACACATGTCTGTGGGTGTGTTTTTTCTTTTTTTCTACTCCACTCCATTCGGACACTCACCGGTATCCGCCGTTCGGCATTGCTTCGGTGAGGCCGGGGTTAGTTGAGCATTTCTGCTACTTCTGTTAGTCGTTGTTTTCCATACATCCCCTATCCGTCGCGTAGTGATATGCGAGGATTAGCGGTTCAGGGACTCATCTTTTTTTCTTTTTTTTTCTACTTGGTGAACCCCCGATCCTGCGCGATGCCATCGTCGATTGTCGTATCCCCTTCTTCAGAGCCGTCTGCTGCTTGGTCACACATTGCTAGCATCTCCTCCTGAGTTGGACATCTTCTTTAGAACTCGCTGTCTAGTGCCATTTTGTGAGTGTGGTTCTCGCTTCTGCCGCCGATGGCAAGTGCCCAATTTGCTGTGTCGGATACATCTTGTGAGTGTGGTTTCCGCTTCCGGCGCTACGCTGAGAGTCTCCGTGAGTTTTTGATACTCCTCCTTTTATGTTGTCGTCTTGTGAGTGTGGTTCTCGCTTCAGGCGCCATCATGCGCTCCAGCAGAGCCTTGGCTCTCACATCCGGCGCCCTCTTGTGAGTGTGGTTCTCGCTTCCGACTTCATCATGGGAGTGTTGTGCTCCATCTATTGCCAGCTTTGTGAGGCCTCGCCTCGGGCTCCTACTTATGGTTATCCTATTGCTTCCAGCTCGCACAGTGATCGGGGTTTTTTTACCGCTTCGGAGGCTGATGACATAGCCCGGGTCTTCTTTTTGAGTGGTACCCGCTCCACCTTGGGCACGGGCTCGACCACACCAGGCGAAAAAACGANTGTGTGTGTGTGTGTGTGTGTGTGTGTGTGTGTGTGTGTGTGTGTGTGTGTGTGTGTGTGTGTGTGTGTGTGTGTGTGTGTGTGTGTGTGTGTGTGTGTGTGTGTGTGTGTGTGTGTGTGTGTGTGTGTGTGTGTGTGTGTGTGTGTGTGTGTGTGTGTGTGTGTGTGTGTGTGTGTGTGTGTGTGTGTGTGTGCTGGTCTGTGTGTGTGTGTGTGTGTGTGTGTGTGTGTGTGTGTGTGTGTGTGTGTGTAACGTATGTAAAGCATTATCTAGAAAAAAGTACGGTGAATCATGTTGATTTAAATTGCATTTATTGTCGAATGTATCAACGATGAAGCCCGTAAAAATTTTTTTTCGATTTATCATATGATTCAACATTTCCAACTTAATTTAATCATTGACAAATTGAAAATGTACTTAACACATTTTTTCTTATCTTTTTTTATATTTTTTGAGTTTTTCAAAAATGTTCAAAAAAAATTTTTTTTGGTCTTGAGACGATAACAAAATCTGGAGACAAGCCTTTCCCTTAATTCCTTAGAGTAATCTTCGCTTTTATACAATTAGAAGGCGGAAAAAATGTTTTTTTTTGTACTTTTAGCAATGAGTAAAAATCATCTTTGGAGGAAGCTTCTTGCCAATAAATTGGCAGCAGTTTCTTTATTCATGTTTTGCCAAGACAACAGTTGCGAGCATCACGTTGTGCCTTGTCATAGGCAAACCCTACACTAGCGGCAAGAAGCTTTATTTCATAGAGATAGGTTTCAGGCTACTCGAAGATTGGGCTTAAAAGGCAGCAGAGTAAGCCAAAAAAATGGCAAAATGGAAGTTTGCGCTTAAATATAATGTGTGACACTGTGATTGTGCCGAGCAGCTAAAGGCAGAGAAGTATGAGAAGAATTGACAGGCAATAAAAAAGAATAAGTGACGCATATTAACAAACATATTATTTTGCAGGTCAATCGCCAGGGAAAGACGAGCCGCCGCCAAGAGCCAGACCGAATAACGAATTCATATGTCGCGCCGGATATAAAACTGTAAAAAGCCGCCAGAGCGCGCCGCGCCGGACACGCGATGCGTGTGAGTAGGAGGCCGAGCGCGGCATTCACGTGTGGACCACGAGCGAGTGCGGACGAGTAACTTTTTTTTGCGAGATCTTTTCCCTGCCGAGCTAGTTGAGGCACGTGTGAGTGAGACAGAGAGTGAGGAGTGAAAAGTACCTTCGAGTACCGTGTGGAATTGTGTGAGAGAGGCGAGAGTGAGCAAAGCAGTGAGGAGAGAGAGAGAGATTAACAAGTGCAGAAGTGTCGTGTGTGTGGAAAGCCGGGTGCGCAACCGAGACTTTGGTCCAGGACCACCAGCCGCGACATCCACCAGTGTCGACCACCGTCGGGGCCCAAGCCGGACTACAGCCCAGCCGGGAGGTTTTTGCCAGAGCCGGATCATCATCACTAATTGTTTCGGTACGGTAAACATTATTTGCGAGGTGTGCGAGAGAGAGAGTGTATGCGTGTAGAACAAAAGCCGGTTGAGTTGTGCAAATCATTAAATTAAATTTTAACGCAATTATCAAAATAAATAATATAAAATAAATTTCTATTCATTTTTCTTTTCTACCCTGTGTTGCCTTCCTTTTCCCCTTTGTATTTTTCGCGTACGGCCCAGTCAGAGCCCACGCGTTCATCGAGTGGCGGTGGCAGGGCCTCGAAAAGCCACCGTGTCGCAAATGAAGGTGGAAAGCCACCAATACATGACACAGGACCCTATCAGGTGTTGAGCAGAAGGCCTATAGCTGCTGCACCCATATATGCAAAATTATGTAGTTATCTTGATCAAGGAAAATTCCATGGGGGAAATAGCGTTAGATAAACTTGAGCTTGTGAATGGCAAGAGAGAAAAACGGAGTACATGACATTTTCATCGTGCAGAGTAATGAATAAAAATTGTTGCGCTAGATTTGTACGAGAACCATGATTATGAAAGTCGAAAAGATTTTAAGTCAAGACGTAGGGCTGTTACGAATCTTTCATCGAGGACTAACATCAGAGCGTCTTAAAGATTGGACAAAGAGCTTAGATAAATCATCGCTAGGTGGTCGATGTTTAAACAGCTGACACAAAATATTTTGAGAGTATATGAGTGTAGATTGGCCAATTTGGTGGCGAGAACGCAGCTATTACTGCGTATATTTATGTGACGCGCACGTTGGCCACAGAGGATGAGTTTTTAACAGTTACTGTCTGTTGACAGTTAGTAGCGCAGGCGCTCGTACCGAGTCGTTGAGCGTCGCCGTCTGTGTCAGCCAATCAGAGACCATTTAACTATGCTTCACTTTGAGGTCCATCTCTTTTTTATTAGTAGAGAAATAAGTAGTTTTTATAAGTAGATAGTCATATGCATTTAAAGATAGTCATCGAAATAAGACATCGTCACGGGCGGCAAGGTAACACATTCAATTTTTGTCTGATATCAAAAAAACAAATTTTTTTATAGAATCGACATTTGCTGGATCCTGAACTAAAATGACTGAGAAAAGTTAAAAATTAACATAATGGCAGACTTGCAAAAAAAAATTTTTTTTGTACTTTTTTTCGGCTCTAAAAAGTGCTTTAACATTAAAAATAATAATTTTAAAATTATGATTTTAGTTCAAGATCCAAAAAATTTATTTATCTTTAAAATAAAAAAAAAATTCATCTGGACATTCGTAGTAATTTTTGAAATATCTTGCCGACCGTTTCAGAAAACTTGATTTCGAGACAAACTCGTATAAAGTTGTCAATCGCTATTGAGCACCGTGTAAGCGCTTACTTTTAATCCTGTCTTTGACCGACTGAAAATTCAGATTTACGAAATTTAAGCAAGGGATTCTTGAAAGTACAAGCAATTCTAAAATATAAAAGAAATTGTATTAGAAATTATCAATTAAACCTACCTGAACCATATTAGGAGTTGTAGCCGAAGAAAAATTAAACGATTTATTTAAATGATATTCAGGATCATTTTGTAACATATAACTTTTCAACATGACGGTTTTACCAGTGCCTTGTTCACCTGAAATGTATGAAAAGTTTAATTTATTTTCAAGTATAATTAGTAGTTTCTGATCTCAATAAAATTTTATTATTTTGATAAAAAATTTACTTTTTGATTTATATTTTTTTGGTATCTCACTTTCGCTTAGACTTTAAGTAGTTAAGAGATTCATTTATTACTATTGGTAAGTTTTAAGAAGAGTAAAAAGTCGACTTTGTAGGCCTGTAGTTATTATAATTAATATTTTTTTAAATCATATCAATACATCATTCGTCTGTGTGTCGTTTAAATTTTAAAAAATTTTTCTATCCATATACACTCAGTTAGCTTAGTATATGAGGCATTTTATACCAAAGGTCCTAGCGCATCGCCGCATGGCGCTATTAAGCGAAATCCCTCAGTTTCTAACTCACGTAAAAAGTATTGAAATGCACCTAGAAGAAAAAAGTAGCCCATTTTTTCGATGGGAATTTTTCCATTTTCCTTGGGAAAATCGTTGGAAAACCTTTAAAGTCAAATTTCTCGTGGAAATGCATATTTTCTAGCGAGTTGATTTTATGTTTACTGGGTGAAATATAGCGATGAAGGTGTAAAAACGTGACTTTTTGTCCCGCGGAGGAGCCGAAATGGCGCGCAGTACCCCGCGCGGCGCAAAGTCACGGGCAGTTACAAACATTTCTGCAACGCCAACATTTATTCGATGTCACGTTACGCTCTGATATTATTGATCAAATAGAAAAAAACGAATGTCACCGTGGTCGTCAATACAATCATAACATGGTTTTTTCGCTTAGTTAGAATATGGATAAATTACTTACTTTGTCGATAGATTTTTGAAAGTTTTTTTTACTTCAAAAAATCGGGACTGACATTAAGAGAGAATACTATATTAATTATCAACACATCCGCTAGCAAATATTGCTATGTTTTCTAAAAAAAGAGCTCAAGAGTCGATGTATATTAATTTTTGTCATGTAACATAGTAATTTTTAGTACAGTATGTCCTATTTTTTAGATTGGTAAAATTATTTTAAAATAATAATTTTCTTCAGTGACTTCCCGAGATGATTATTTGATTTTTTGAGAGCTCAGAGTATTCAACCTAATTCTGCTTTCTGCGATCGTGGAATTATTCTATTCGTCGGTATTTACAAACAAACATTTGCTAGCCTCTAGCAAACTAACCTAACTAACAGTTGCGTATTAATATTAGCGCAATTCATATTATAACCTCATGCTAGCTATCTATAAATTGTTTGTATATATACTTATCTGTTGACGAAATCGAGAAACTTTGATTACGGTAAACATTTTTACAATGCAAAATAATTTTTGAAATATTTGTCGGTATTAGCGTGACCATCGCTCCGAGCCAAGCCAGCCGAGAGCGAAGGGAGCCGCTGCCGCTGTCGCCGCTACTGTCTGCCCCCTACACTCACTCCTCGTTCTGCGCCCGTCGAGCTAACACGAGTTACTTCTCTTTGAGTTACCTTTGTTCTCTTTTGATTTTGGCTAACTTTGTTCGCGTTCTAACTTATAATAGTTATTGAATCAAACTTAAATTACAATAAACAAATTGTGTGTGGATTGTCGGAAGTAATAATTAGATAGCGTAATTTTTATAAATAAATACTCGTAAGTTAATAAGTGAAGTGTGTGATTATTCACGAGATAATATCCTCTCCCAATTTCCTTCGAGAACAGCAATAAATTCAACAATATTCATCCTCACATTTTCTCATAATCTATAAAAAAATTTGCTACATACCAATTTTTACTTTGAAAGTATGGCAATTTTCAGAATATCTTATAAATATTTTTGAATAACAAAATTGCAAAAATAACTCGATATTATAATAATATTTAGCATGTACAGAGTAGAAAATTCCCATAATCCGACTCTGAGGCACTTGTTTTAGCGAATATAGTAAAATTTGCTTGCGAATGTGTTGATATTTACTAAAGTATTTCTCTCCGTGTAGCTGAATAGGTCGCCAGCTTTTCTACAAGGCCGTAATCGGTTTTGTGAATACATCATTTTTTGTATTTTTTCTGTATAATAGAATCCCATCATTAGTTTTGGCGTATAAAATAATTTTCAGCCATGAAATGGCGTTTTTTCGAATTGATGGAATGTAAAAAATGCGAAATGTGACGTTTTTAAACGAAAAATAGAGAAAAATAGAGAAAAATATGTCTAGTACAATTTGGGGTTGAAAATGACTCTGTAGAGTAGAACTAACGACACCATTCGATTCTACGAGAAAAATCGCAACTAAATATTTGTCAAAATGATTATATGATTGTTTAGTTTAATTGCATATGAACGAAGTATTTTCCGCTATTTTTTGTTTGAAAAATCAAAACAGTGCAATTTTATCTCTAAAATTAATTTTTTAGGCTAAAAGTAACGACGGGACTCGATTCTACAAAAAAAATCCGAACAAATTGTGTATTTTAAACTTTCCTCAGATTTTTTCTGTTCATTTTTTCATGATTAAAAGGTAAATGTTGCGTTTTATTAAAAATCTTTGCTATTTTATTTAAAAATCTTTGAGATTTTCTATATCAAGATAGGAGCACTTAATCAAAAAAATGCACCGATCAAAATTTTTGAAAATTTTCAAAGAATCTGTCTGCATTTTTTCAGAATTTTTCGAATCATCCATTACCCTTTTTCAAAAACCCTAATTTGATGCTTTTCTTGCGAAATTCAGAAAACTCTAACAAGGGGTAATAGACGATTCAAAAAATTCTTAAAAAATTCAGACAGATTCTACAAACAATTTTCATATAGTTATTAATAAAACTTTTGATTGGTGCATTTTTTTGTGTAAGTGCTCCGATCTTGATATAGAAAATCTTAAAGATTTTTAAATAAAAGAGAAACCCCCTTTCAAAATGGGCCGTACGGCCCATTATTATTAGGGTCCTGGAGACCCAAAAAAAATGTTGGTCAAGATCAGTGACCCAAAGGTGAGAAGGTCTCCTTGTTAGTTGAATAAAATCATTTTGTTGATAAGCTACTGTTCGAGTAGCGTTACAATACGCCAGTACTTTTTTGATTTTAATCGACTCTATCGGCTGGGTGAAAGTTTTAACGCATTGATTAAAAAGTTTTATAAACAATGAGAAAATAAATGTATCACAAAAAACTCAACGGGAGTTAGAAGCGAAAGATTTGAAACGTATGCAAATACATCGATGATAAGAAAATTTTAGATTTGACAAAAAATACAAACTTTAGAGAAAAATGTGAAGAGACCTTTTGTGTTTAGAATAGTCTAATTTACCATAAAAACATATTTTCGGATCAAAAAGTATTAATTTCGATAATTTATTCAAAAATATTGTTATACACGAATTGTACTATTTTATGACTCAGCAGAAACATATTTTTGCATTTAGGGAGTCTAAATAAACAAACTTGTATAGTTTTTATCTATTAACTTTTGGTGGCAAACGAAATCATAGCCAGTGTCAGGACTATATCTATAATAGCATAAAATTATTATTACGAGTATTTTCCTTACCAATTAAAAGTGTTGCTTTGTTTTGAGTATCAATCAGACTAATAAGATATAAAGTTCTGGTATTATCAATGTTTGGAACTAAAATTTTGTAATAATCCAAAATTGAGTCTTTTGGATAGTTGAAATCTGGAACTTTTTTTCTCCAATGCACCCACTCTCCCGTTTCCGATACAAAGTATTCAAATATTGTTTCTTCATTCTAAAATGCATTATAATAATGAACAGATTTATTAAGTTACGCATAAAAAATATTTTGATCATTTGTACCTGACATTTTGGCCAAGAATAATTAGATGGGTGGTGCATAAAAAAATGTTGTAAAACTAATCGTTGGTCCAGTTCAAGTACAGCTCCTATACTCCACATCAAAGAAAAAAGAAAGTACTTTTCAATGAGACGATATCCAAGCACATCTGAAATTGAAAGTATATTGAATTATAATTTCATCATAAATGCAAAATTAATTTAATTAATCAAAGTATTTAGATTAAACTATAAAACAAGCAATATCAACACAGTAAAATACTGTTATTCGGCGTATTTTGAAACTGCGGATACTCTGATAACCATTTTTAACTCAAGACTGCGAAAAACACACAGATCCTTAGACCATAGCTAATCGGTAGTTTTTTGAATGTAAAGAAAACTTTTAATCAAATGTTTATGTCTTCTTTTTTAATTTTCTATATAGTCTAGGGGCCAGTGGGTCCACCGTGGCCACGAGTTCTTTGATGGGTGCACCAAAGTTTTTCTTACGTATTTTGGGCTGCTGAAACCGAATTTCTATGGTGCATATCGCTAAAATTGGTCATAAAAAATTTATAAACAAATAATTTTGCAATGACTATAAAATTGAATTTTTGGCTCCAAAAACATTTTTTTTAGCATTTTTGGATCATTTTAAACAAAAAAGTACTCTTGTCATTTTTTCGTAAACTCAATGGTTTACGAGAAAAAAGCGATTCAAATGTGAGAAAAATCCCGGTATTATCTATGTGGCCTTCCAGTGTCGCACCGAGCGGCAGTATTTAGTCGAACCGCTTAATTTTTAACTCGCTCTAAAAGTATCTAAATGCACCTAGAAAAAAAACTAATACACGATTTCGATGGGAAATTACCTCAGCTTTCCGATAGTGAGGTCAGATTTCCAATAAATTTCCATTTTCCTCGAGAAAATTGCCGGAAAACCTTCAAAGTCGAATATCTCAAAAACAGCATTTTTAAGATTTTTCTAAATAGTCTAGATCGAAAGATCAGGAAATTTCCCATCGATATAGATACTTTCTATTGAGAATTTTTATGATTTTAGCGAGATATAGCGAGAGAAATAAGAAAAAACGTGGTTTTTCATGGGTATTGCATAGTTATTTGTTTATAACTTTTTTACAACCAATTTTAACGACATGCACCATGGAAATTCGGTTTTAGCGGCCCAAAATACATAAGAAAAACTTTGGTACACCCATCAAACAAGACGTGGCCACGGTGGACCCACTGGCCCCTAGACTAATACAAAATTCTATTTGCGCGACTTGTCTGTCGGGAACCATTATTGAAATTATGACGATTCAATTTATGTCACACTTCGCTCGAGCCCTCCAAAAAATACTGAATTGGCAACGGAAACTTTTCTGACACCGATGCATCAATAATTTATGTGTTGATGGGTTCATCCGACTCTAACTGTATTTTTGGTAATGGTCCAAATACTTTTCATGGTAAAATTTTTCCGGCTTGTCTGAATCTAATGTCTGCTTTGATTTAAAGCACAAAATAATATAAGCTAAATTTTTGACTGATTTAGTACCTAATTCTAGACAAGTGGCAAACAATTTTGGATCGCTAAAGCATCTTCGAGCCAAGTTACCGGTATTTGTGGTCCCGTGTCTTTGCAAGCACAAGTCAAATTTTACGCCAAAGCGCTTATAAAGGACTCTTAGAATTTTGTACTTTCTTTCTTTGAACTTATCTATAAAAAAAAAATAAATAAATAATTTTGAATGTCAGAGTAGAAAAAAAGGACTCGATTGAGTTGAGCTTTTTCGAGTACTTGCACACACACGCACACACACACACACACACACACCCCACAGCCTTCGTTGGTCTAGTGGATAAAGGCGTTGGGCCATCTATCTGCTAAACCAACGCTGTGCTGAGGGAGCAGGTTCGATCCCCACTGAGGGAAATTTCATTCGTGATTTTTCGCTCGGTGAGGTCGATCCCGAGCCCGAAGTGGTTCGGATTCCACTATAAACTGTAGGTCCACGACTGTAGGCAGCCTCCTGGAGGGTGAAATATCCCCCAATCACCCTGCGGCCCAAGTTGAGAAGAATTCCCGCAAGATGGAGCCCGAAAGCCAGAACTCCTAGTGCTGATGTTGGCCAACGGAGTGCATCATTCAGGAGGAAAAGCGCCGACACAAGGAAGAGCACCGACCCCTCGGCTCCAAGTTGGAATCCTTAGGGATGGAGCCCGATATCAGAACTTCTAGTGCTGGCGCTGACCGACGGAGTTTACACTTATCATGGAGGAAGCCAGAAAAAGCGAGAGGTGCTCGCAAGAAGCGGAGATGCTGGACGGTGTCGGGCGTGGGACCGGGTCCTCTCTTGCAAGGACGGCACTAGTCCAGCTTACGGCGAAGTTCTGACGAACGTACCGAAGAAGAAACATCAGCACAAGGGAGAGCACCGACAAAGACGGCTCCGGAAGGCGGGAATGACGCTGGATGAGGGCTCCGCGGGGCGAGCGGGGGATCACCAACGAGTTGACACGGTTCCTGAACCCCTGATCACCGTGCCTTGACGTGCGTTGGATGGGGGATGCAGGGAAATGACCAAACACATCGATGCAGCAGCACTGCTAAAAGGCACCCACCGAAGTAATGTCTAACGATGGTTCCGGTGGGAATCATGCCGGAGTTCGGAAGGGCCACTGGTGCAAGGGTTTACCCTGCCCACGTCCTCTCCATAAAAAAAAAAAAAAAAAAAAAAAAAAAAAAAAAAAAAAAAAAAAAAAAAACACACACACACCCCTATCGGCCTCCTTGGCTCAGTGGGTATAGTTCTTGCCTGCTGATACAAGGTGTGCCGTAGGGCGTGGGTTCGATCCCCACTAGGCGAATTTTCGAGGTTCGTTTTTTCGCCTGGTGTGGTCGAGCCCGTGCCCGAGGTGGAGCGGGTACCACTCAAAAAAGAAGACCCGGGCCATGTAATCAGCCTTCGAAGCGGTAAAAAACCCCGATCACTGTGCGAGCTGGAAGCGAAAAGGATAACCATAAGTAAGAGCCCGAGGCGAGGACTCACAAGGCTGGCAATAGATGGAGCACAACACTCCCATGATGAAGTCAGAAGCGAGAAACACACTCACAAGAGGGCGCCGGATGCGGGAGCCTAGGCTCGTTGCGGACCGCATGATGGCGCATGAAGCGAGAACCACACTCACAAGATGGCACTAGACAGCGAGTTCTAAAAGAAGATGTCCAACTCAGGAGGAGATGCCAGCAATGTGTGACCACGCAGTAGACGGCTCTGAAGAAGGGGATACGACAATCGAGAGATGGCTTCGCGCAGGATCGGAGGTTCACCAAGTACAAAAAAGATGAGTCCCTGAACCCCTAATCATCGCATATCACGGATGGGGGATGTATGGAAAAACAACGATTAACATAGAAGTAGCAGAAATGCTTAAATAACCCCGGCTTCACCGAAGCAATGCCTAACGGCGGTTACCGGTGAGTGTCCGAATGGGATCGAGTAGAAAAAAAAATATATACTACATACCTTTCATAGACTAACGTACATACCGTCCGGGTGGATCCAGTTCGAGACGGCAGGATAGGTAGAGCAAATGCTCGAAAGCTTTTATTTCTGCATGTAACAAACTGAAGTCAAATAATAAAGAGCTTTCTTTTGGAGTGAAGTCGGTATTAGAATTTCCGAATTAATGCGCAGTTTTTAAACACATCGGACACCTAGTTGTAGCTGGATTGTCAACTAACGAATTTACGCATTTAATATCAAACATTGTTTTAAAAATGTTGTACTTAACGCGCACAACTTTTTTATTTGGTAAGCTAAATTTATAAACGTTCAATTTTTCAATTTCCTCATCTAACCGTTTCATTTCCTTTGTGATTCTCTCACAATCTTCTTTCTCTAGTGACATTCGAAGTGGACGCGTAAAACAAATGTTCTGTGGTGTAGGATTGATCCAACGGTTTTCAAAATATTTCAATTTACACGAAATTTTAATTAGATTGAAGCAGATCACAAACAGAGACATCTGCGTGCTGATTTTTTCCTCTATATCATCAGCTGATTTTTTATGCGGACTCACGTGTCCAGAAGAGCTATCAAACCCTATAGAGGCCACCATTTTCAAATTAGATAACGTGTGTTCGTCTTATTTTTGTGCAAACGAGTCACATGAACGCTCGATTGTTTTATTAAGGGTGCTCTGTAATGAAACAATCACTTCGTTGTCAGAGCTGTGTTGAATTTGTAATAAACAATTTTTTTAGCTGCGTCAATTTTAGTGTAGTTTGGGTAAATGCGAACGTTTCTCTGTACGCAATCACTAAGTAAAGTTTTATATAAGCTTAAACTTTTATTCGTCTTGTTTTTTTATTGGGTATACCGACACACTATTAACGACTGTCTCTACATTCTGACCTTTTTTCGTTTTTGCAATTTTCAGTGCAAGCTCTATTACCTCGATATCGTTATTGCATGAAGCAGCAAATTCTTCTGCTCTTCTGTGCACTGTTTTTGTCGACACATTAACGAGTGGATCGAAAATGATTACTTTTTTTTTTACCACCATTCAACGGAGATTTTTTTTCAAAGGTCTACCCGATTTAGTGCGACGCTTTCGCTTGTTTTTACTACTTCGCGATCGTCCCATTGCAAATTAACTTAATGCGTAATTAATATTATAAAATAACTTTTGTGGTATTTAATTTCTTAAGCACGCACGAATTGTACTAGAACTCCGCACTTTTACGTGTTGACCATGTCCAAATTAATTTGATACAAACCTTTGTTTGTATAGCATAGACCTGGGCAAAACAGACACGCTGCACAAAGCCGATGCCTACTGAATTTTGTAAACAAACTATCGTGGGTCGACTCCAACGTAACTCATCGGTTCTTGTCAGCACACATCAAGAAAAAGTCTATTTTGCATTTGTACATGATCGGTTTTTTGTATTATCCATTTTTCAATCTCGAACTAGTCATTTTTCCGAAATTTAAGCAAATCAAGAAGTTTTCAAACATTTGTAACTCATTATAGAATGACTTCAGCAGAAAAGCGTAAAAGAGCTTTATTGTTGAAAATTGTCCAAATTTATCGACAAACTATAAAGTGATAGTAATACTTAAGAAACTTCATATTATTAAAAGAAACATAAAACTCAAAAAAAATTGTAATAGACTGATATTTTTTATTACCAAGAAAAATTCGAGAGTATTGAAAAACCTAAGAAATACATCGATAAAAACTATTTTCGACTAATTGACGTTGTTTGGGCTTTTTTTTGTGATCATATTATTATAATATTCTTCTTTACTGAAACTTGGATAATTTTAAAAAAAAGCCCTCTTGCTGTTTTCCGTTAAAATCGGTTTATACTGCACTAGGAATTTTTTTTTGAAATACTTGCAATAAGCATAAATTTCGTAATAATGCCCATTTTGGAACTCTGAAAAAGGTTGATAGACGGTCCCAATATTTGTACTAAAATTTTGGGGCACTTTCGACATGTTAAATAATATCTGCGGTCGAAAGGGCTAACGAGATAACTCCATTTTTTTTAAAATCGAGTTTATAACATAAATTACCTATATATTATGTCTACTTTAAGGAACAAGTATCCAAAAGCAGAAAATAATACCTATCGTTAAATATAACATCGTGCTTAACGGGATAAGTCCATTTCGGTGCAAACGATTTCCGGCCAAACGAGTTAAGTCTACCTCCACGATCCCTGTACTGAAATACTGAGTCTACATTAATTTAGTCTACTGGAGTGGATAGTTGCATATCATCTATTTTGAAAGAAATTTGATTTTTACTGTTGTCTTAATCGAACGCACCTAAATTAAAATTTCAACTGCCACGTGTGATTTGCGCAGACCAGTATACATAAGCATAAATGCAGATGAACTCATATTACAGCGTTCTCAAGGCCCGATGATATAAACAACACTAGCCAACGATATATCATATAATTATTCAAGGTTTAAAGTACTAAAATAAATTTTCAAAAAAAGTATAAATAATTTCAGTCATACCTTTGTACTTTTTTAATTCTATGTATGTGGAATTTCACTTCAACTCTCCCAGTACCGCACAGCATGTCATGATTTAGTCAAATCGCTAAATTTATAACTCGCTATATAAGGATCTACAAGAATTCATTTTTAAGATTTTTCTTAATAGTCTAGATCGAAAGATCAGGAAATTTTTCATCGATGTAGGCAACGTCAAGAGAAACATTTTTTGATATTAGTGAGATATCGCAAGAGAAATAAGAAAAAACGTAGCTTTTTCGCGGTTTTTGCATGCCCGACCGTCGCAGTGTGCGTTAAAACCACGTTTTTTCTTATTTCTCTCGAGATATCGCAATAATATCAAAAAATGCCTCTCTGGACATTGCCTACATCGATGAAAAATTTCCTGATTTTTCGATGTAGACTATTAAGAAAAATCTTAAAAATGAAGTTTTTGAGATAATCGTCTCTCAAGTTTTTCTAGCGATTTTCCCGGGTACAACGGAAAATTTCGGGAAATCTGACCTGACCTTCGGAAAGCTAAGGCGATTTTCCATCGAAATGTCGGGTTACTTTTTTCTTGTAGGTGCATTAAGATACTTTTATTATCTTATAGTATAAATTTAGCAATTCGACTAAATAATGACGCGCTGTACGGAACTGGGAGAGTTGACGTGAAATGACACATATAGGGCATTTGGAATTTTTATAAAGTTATACATGAATAATATTTTACAAAGTAGAATTGTAGGAATAGTTTTTATCATGAAATACAGGCAAAACATCGATTTCGAAAACCAGTTCCCACAGAAGTGGACTTATCTGCTAAGAGGGGAAAGGGCTAACGAGATAAGTCCATATTTTCTGCTACGCAACCACACTTTCAATTTAATAGATATACGGGTGAAAAGATACCTCATAATCGGTAAAAATATCATAGGTACAGATCTTTAGTCATCCGCGTCTAGCTAGGCACTCGTGCGCAACTTAAAACGTGTTTTTCTCGAAAACACAAAAAATTGAGTAATCTCGTTAGACCTTTCAATCACAGATATGTTTATCACGTTAGACGGATCAAGAAAACTAGAACTCATAAGGTGGAGCCGGATGATGAAAACCACACTCGTAAGATGACAATAGGTGTTGAGTATCGCACTCGCAAGACGTAGCCGGAAGCAAGAACCACACTCAGAAGATGGGAGCTGAAAGCGAACTGGAGGCCTTGCAAGTAAGCAACAAAAGCGAGAACCACACTCAAAAGATGGCAATTTAAGGTGAAATAGTCTCAGAAGACTCACAGGAAGATAGTGCCGGAAGCGAGAGCTGGATCGCCGGATGGCACTAGTGGAGCTAGTTTTTACCCTTTACTTCAGAGGAAACGCTGAGTAGCAAAATGGTGACTCACAAGAAGACTACTCAACACTAGGCTCGGCCTGGCATCGTGTAGCAGTTGGGGATTGCCACACCAAGGAAGAGCTCATATAGTGCGATGGCCTCTCCTCACGACGTAATACCTAACAGTGGTTCCGCGGGGAAAGATCAAGGGTAGGAGAGGTGAGGAAGGTTTTATTCGGTATTAGTAGTACACAATCAGTACAATACTCAAGTTCGACGTAATCATGTGACACACCGTCGCATGTTTAATCCGTTAATCGATTTTCTTCTTGGAGAAAAAAAAGACATACACATGCATACAGACATTAGTTGAGAATTCAATGTAATTCCCAAATATGTGAACCAAATTGTTCTATGATTTCTGGTTCAAACCGTCGTTTTGACGCACATTACAAAGCTTCCTCTAAGAGGATGCAAAATTACAACAGTACTCTATATTTATGACATTTTTAAATTTTAATTATTGTAGGTAATTTACGAAAATAGAATCGTATAAGAATATACTTACCATTAGATTGGTGATTTTTTAGTAATCCTTCCAGTAAGTTAAGGCACTGTTTAATATACATCGATTCTAACAGTTTCATCTTGGTAATTAACTTAGTTCGCAAAAATTCATATGAATCTTCAAATAATTTATCAAAACATTCTCTAAATATTTGAGCTTGATGCGCTGGCCGCGTTTTGTACCAACTCTGCAAAATTCATTAGTAGATAAATTTCAACAATTTATTAAGAATCAAGAAATCGTGTTTATAAAATCTGTGGTGAATAATTAAAACAACTTAAGTTCACTTTGCGAGTTTTCGAAAATCACGTTTTGAGGTGCGTGTGAGTATCTGAATAGATACGGATAACTCAAAGTATAATATTTTGTTTAGTCGGGAACTCTTCTTTCAAAATAGTCCTGATAGTTATGTTTTCATTAAATGAAAATTAAGAACGAATTTATTATAGCGAGGAAAACCTGTAGGTTCAAAGAACTCACTCTTTCATTTGAACACAAATGCGCACAATTCAAACAAGAATTGACCGAGGGCTCCCCCTACGGAAATTTCAGGGCCACTCTAATTCTTAAAAATTCTTAAAAACTCTTTAAAAGTTTACGTAAGTCTTAAAAATTCTTATAAATGTTCGGATTTTTAAGAGTTAATAAAACTTTATAAGAGTTTTAAATGAAATAAATAGAAATATTCAGACGGGTAAGGCAATCGCTTATTGAATTTTAAAAAATGTTTACAAGTTACAATATTTTTTATAAACAATTAAGAAGAGTTATTAAGAGTTATATAGTGTTGATGAAAGTTTTCAATACTTTTAAAGACTTTTTTGATCGGTATCCAATGGTGAAAATATGAGTCAAGAATAGAGGAAAATTAGAGAAAAACCATGTTTTATTGACACATATGATGCTCAATAATGAAGTCTGTTTGTCTGCCGATGACCAAAATTTATCAGAACTTGTATTTTGGTGTATCGATGAACATATTACAATATTGGCTTAATCGCTGGATACGAACATGTTTATTTTTGGCACTGAGGCTAAATTTTAGAAATTAAGGTCTTTGGAGGTTAAACATATGATTTTTGACATTAAATTTGAATTCCTCATCAAATTTTACATAAAAAATCATGTTTCACTAATTTTTTCATATTTACCCTTGGGGAGCAGAATAAAATATGAAAAATCAAATTACAACTCTGATACAAAGGGGGGGGACAGTTGACGCCATATAGCCGACATATTTATGAAAAAGCTTTATTGTTTTGTATTTTTTTAAATGTTTTGGGAAAAAATCATCTCAAGTTTTTGTTTGTATATCAAAAAGCTGTTTGAGTAATTTAGCAACAAGTTTTTCAGATGATTCGTCATTTAATTTTTTTTCAGCTGACGCAAACTAAAATTTAATATCATTTTATATTAAAGTATCACTTTTAGACCTTTTAAAGAATATTATATAAGGCAGACATACCTCAAAAATTGGTTGCCATTTTAAGACTGATGTACTAAAAAACACCATTCCCATTCGAGAAACTGTTGCTGGAGAGGCATTGTCAACATTGTCACATTCAAAAATCAATTTGACGTTCGGAGCCATTATCATCCGATCACCATTAGCTAATGTTAAAGTTTTATTATCATCTAGAACAGAATTTAGATTTTCTATCCAAATAGCATCGACAGGACCATCCAAAACAATCCACAGGCATTCACTTTTTTTTATTTGCAAGGATTTTCGCCAGATTGTAGAAAATATGCCATCAGTCCAATCATTAGTTACTACGTCTAATTTACCAAACATTTGTGAAGCTGTAATGGCCTGTAATACATATTTACATTTATAATTAAAATTATATAGTTTTATTAAATAAAAAAACAATATGTAACGGCGATAATAAGGCGGAGGTTGAAAGATCAAGTACAAATAAAAGTCAAAATAAACATAGGCTCAGATGTAACAGGGTTCGACGCACCAGTATCGTACAACTTACAAGGAAACCTTCTCACCTTCGGGTCATGGATTTGCTCCAAAATTATTTTGGAGTCTCCTGGTACCCAATACTGAAGCCCCCTGTGCTTAGTTTGATCTCATGGGCCTTAGGGCCCATTTTTCAGAGGATTTTCCACATTATGAAAAAATCTTTGTTATTTTTTATATCGATATAGAAGTACTTTAACGAAAAAATGCGATCAAAAGTTTTAAATTTTTCAAAGAATCTGCTTGAATTTTTCCATAATTTTTGGGACCATCTATCACTTAATTTAAGAGGCCCAAATTTGACGCTTTTTTAATAGATTTTAGGACTTCTCAAAGAGAGTGATAGATGGCCCCGAAAATTCTGAAAAAATTCAAGCAGATTCTTTGAAAAATTTTAAAACTTTTTATCGTCACATTTTTTCATTTAAGTAGTTCTATATCGATATAGAAAATAACAAAGATTTTTTTATAATGTGGAAAACCCTCTAAAAAATGGGCCCTAAGGCCCATGAGATCAAACTAAGCACACGGAGCTTCAGTATTTAGTACCAGGAGACCCCAAAAAAATTTTGGAGCAAATCCATGACCCGAAGGTGAGAAGGTCTCCTTGTTAGTCAAACACACGTTCATATACACAGCGGGACTGGAGCACAAGTAAAGAGGTGCGTATTATTTTATAGTAAAAGTACGAAAATTTCTTTAACATGCGCTCCATCTGTGTGTATTTTGAGTTTACACCTGAGAGACAGACAGAGGTAGATTGATAGATGCTTTATTGGACTTATGGACTACCCTGTGTGCACCTTGGTAATAAATGGGGCGAAATTTCTCAAAACTCCTAGCGCCTCGCGCAACAGCGTTTTTGAGCGGAATTGCTCAATTTCTAACTCGCTCTAAAAGTACCTAAACGAACCTGGAAAAAATAACCAACCAGTGATTTCAATAAGAAATTTTCTCAGCTTTCCAATGGTGACGTCCAATTTCCCGGAATTTTCCATTTTCACCTCAGAAAATGCAAGTTAACTTTCAAACTCGAATATCTCAAAACGCGTCATATTTTTGCGTTTTTTATTGTTTCAATGGAAAGCTGAGATTTTTTAACATAAAAAACAGTTGTTTTCAAAGTGCAATATTCATAATTTCTATGAGAGATACGAGCAAACATAGTTTGCGCTCGGCCGTCTGGCCTGGACGCGCGACTCGATGTAATCACATCTCGCACAAATGACAATGTAATTCAACTGGAAAAATTAATAAAAATATGTTTTGAATGCTTTTTTTCCTTAGCTTTCTCGTGGTGTAGTCAGATTTTTCGATAATTTTCATTTTCACAAGGAAAAATGTACTTGACCGTTTATTTCCTACATTTCCTCGTCTTTTCCGATTTTTTAGCCTTTTTTTCATGATTTGATCTGTAAATGACCTTCAAATGACCTTAATTCAATCTAATTTTGAAAAACCGACATCGAATTCAGATTCAGCGACCCCAAAAACATAAACTCCGCTAGGTCCGGTATAATGTCGCTACGACTTATAGTAAAATAATAACATTATGCATTAGGATGTCGCTCGAAAGATTACTCAAGTCTCTAAAGCGACGCCCTTTAGTATGACCAACATCCTCGAAGTGTGATAATATTACACAAGGCATGAATGATTAATAATAATAATCCAATTAAATAAATTAATTAATAGAATACATAACAACTAATAATATTTAAACCATTGAATCAATAACTAAATCAAATTATAAATACAATATTAATAAAATCTTTCGGTTACTATAAGTTAGAATAAATAATAATATTAATAAATAATTAATTATATGATTGTAAGATAAAACAGTGATTAGTATAGATACTAACTGTTTTATCAAATAAACTCGAATTTGAATGAAAGGCTTGAATACTTGACACAAAGAAGTATAGAGGCGTGTCAAGCTCCCTGACAATCTCCCACGCCAAAGACGAATCGCTGCAGCCTGCAGTTTTGCTGCGGTAGTAAGTAGATCGGGCCTGACCGGTTGTACACGCAAACGGACACGCAAACTCCTGAATGCCTGTAAGTCGTCCCGCCAAATAAGGCACCTGTATCGCCACTACGCCTGATTTTACCTTGATACCAGAGCTAATCAGTAAACCCCAGCTTCCAGTTCTTCTTCGGTCTGAATGTGAGGTATAGTGCATATCTGTCAAATAACTCGACTATCAACGATATGAACGCCTCGACCTTGTAGTCCACGCTCCTCAGGCTGATGATACAGACCCAATCAATAGCAGCAAGATAGGCGTCAAACAGAAGCGGATCGAGACTTTTTAAGTCACGGCAGCTGAAAGCAATCTTGACAGGAGTCGGCACATCGATCAGGAAGGTGGCGAATAGTGCGTCGTGCTTTGATATGCTTGGATAATGCATTTGAGATATGTCCACGGTTGTAGACCTCCAGCGCAGATATAATCGATCGTTGGGTGAACGTTTCCTGGATGACGCGTGGGCTCGAACGGTAAGGGCGAAATGTTGAGTGACGTGAAGAAGTCCTGCAGAATATTAAGCGTGGTGGAATGCACCGGCCAATTAATGTTTAAATCGCCACAGAGAATCATTTAGTCATAAGTCATTCTGCAGTTCAGCAAAGTTTCGTTGACTTCACTCTAAAAATTGGCCTTCGAAGGGCTGTAGAACACATAGATGAGGACTTTCGACGATCCAACCTCAATAAGCAGAAACATGAACTCGGGTCTGTAGTGATAGATCTTAGGTCGCTCCGAATATGCCATGCATCAACACCACTGGCCATTGGGCACATAGAATGCCACTCCACCACAATTTCTGCCAATGCGGTCATGACGTAAGAGGATGCATACAGCAGTATCGAAGGAAGTCGAATGCACGTGCGTATTGAACCAAGACTCGCAGATTGCAAACAAATGCAAACCGTGTTGCAATACAATCAGCTTTGCGTCGTCAAAGTAAGCGTCAAGAGAATGGGCGTTAACGTATCCAACTTTGAGCTGCATGGTCTGTCTATTTTCCATTATTGATGGTATGTATTTTGCGATCAATCCTCTGACGCAGTATGATACATTTATTCTTACCTCTAAAGGAATTCAAGCAGCTTTTAAGCTTTGCCTCGGTGCAGTTCACGCATTTTAGTTTTTTATTAGATGTGCATGCCTCAGTGAGATGTTCACCGGCACAGTAAGAGCAGCGTGCGAGATTGGAACATCCTGCAGCTGTGTCCAAAGCCGGATCACTTTTAGTTCTGAGTAACTTTCAGATGGTCGTCGACACATCAGACAAGCCACTGAATGTTGATTCTCTTACGAGCCGGAAATTGTTCCTGCAGACACTTGAGATGAGTCTCAATTACGAATGAGTGGTATTTCTTTTTGCCAGATGGATAGAGAAATTCTATGTTTAAGTCATCAGAGTTAGCTTCGGGAAAGTTCTGATCAACAATGATTCAAAGAATATTCTCGTTTTTTAGTTCAACCGATAAGTCGTTTATTAACATGCGCAGGTTGAGCAGAGAGTTCAGTTAACCTCGAGGCCGATTTCTTCAAGCTCTTTACATGTTTCGAAAGTTACAGCGAGAAGATCCCCACCCCCATCCTCAAAGACGACGGTGGCTTAGGTCCTAATCGGACGCGATCGATGCTTATCTTGAGCTTCCTTGGGTTTACCGATTTCATAAGCTCGGCTGTAATAGCCACAGAGTCGGCAACTGATCCACAGAATCCTCCTTTGGGCCAATAACCATTTTGTTACATTAAGGGGTACTAAATAGTTTGTTGTGTGGTAGTGTTATTTTGCTTGATGTAGAGCGTGAGTTAGAGGACCAGAGATTACACTCACGTAAGATCGAGGGCTATTGACGGTGATAGACGACGCGTGGTCCTTAACATTAGTTGATGCGTCATAAATATTTTTGCAAGCACTCAAAAGTGCATTCGCTGGCGCTGGCGAAGATAACGCATGCCAATTTCGCGGTATGGTCGCTTATAAAGAGGTTGAAATCGTCACATAACTAATTGATAGCCATGCAAAACTCTCGCTTCCGTTCTGAATTCCGTTTCATTGTAAGCCAGCCCAGAAGTGTAGCACGATGTGTGCTGATAAACATTAAGAAGCATTTCACTTTCTGAAAGAATAAGCCAATGAATATCACAGGGGTGGGTGGCTTGCGGTCATCGTCATATTCATTCAGCGACCAGCGCGTCACAGTAAAGCATACGATTCTTGCGACTCAAGTAGCCTATTTGAACCCGGGGTATGATGTTTCATAATACACTATTTGATACAAAAAAAATTTACACATAAACTATAAAACAGTATACAGCATGTGAAGTGCAGTCAGATTAGATAAAGGGTCATTTACTTGCATACACGTAACTATATTGTTAATGGTTTTACAGTACCTTCGGATTCATGCGAACTTCTTTATGTGGAGTTCCCAGTTCTGTTAATGATTTCATTAAAGTCCACATTGATTGAGATTTTCCAGAACCAGTTGGTCCCAATATCATAATTCCATGACGAACTAATGACGTTTCATATAACTGGAAAATATACATTTTACACATATAGTAAATAATGTTCATTATTTTTTTGACTTATTATCAATTTTAATATCTAAATATATATTTCTTACATAGCAGTTTAGCTCATAAATTTTGAACTCAAATACAATATGACATTAGAAGCAACTTTAACGTTTACTATGGACTGAACCGTATTTAGGACTAAAACAAAAATACTTGATTACAAGCCTCAGTTTGACTCCAGCGCGTTTTTGGTTCATAATTATCGATAAAAGGTTCTGTTTGATAGAATAGTAATTAAATAGTAAATATTTAATCTCTCGAACCTCTTTAATGGAACTAACTGATTTTTTTACACTAAAAATAGATGTTGATAGAAAATATCTAAAACTTGTTTAAAAAAATTAACTTAATTAGTTGAATAAAACTAAGAAATAAAACTATAAAAAATAATGGAGTGTCTTGCACCTCGATGGTCATTAGCACTAGCACCAAATGCAAGTTGTTTTAATTCTAAGACTTAATTACTACTGCTATTATTAAAACAAGATGTATTTTGCTTGAATGTTGGTTGATAATAAACTATTCATCAGTTACGTGGTAGAGCATTAAACGGGATCGGATGATTTACTGCGATAATTTAACAGTGGAAATAATATATTACGTATCTAGGTTAGGAAGTGGGTCATGACAGCCACGCGCAAGCTGCTACCCGAGGCGTGGTCGAGGTAGTAATAAAAGTTTGTAGAATATGCTTTTCCAGTAAGCTGGTCTTAACTGTGTCATATGATCAAATAGATGTGTAAATAAGAGTTTGAGGGTCGCGTCGAATTCAAACCCGAACATATTCGTTCATCAAGTCGATAGATACAGACTACAATTCTCACTCAAATAAAGCCAGTGTTCTCATAGCCAGTGTTCTTATTTTCATAATTTTTGTGAAACGTAAAAAGCTCTTCTACTTATCTCTTGTACTTCGTGTATTCTAATGATTAGTCGTAAATTTTTCTAGTTTTAATATTTCTGAATTTGACATATGAGTAAATCTCGTGAAATTTTAATATTTTGCCATTATAAAAAATTTTTTTTTAAAACTGTCATGAAATTTTTTTTGGGGACTTAAGTGATTCAGAAACCTGAAAATAATAGTGTTTATCAAATTTGGGCGAGGACCATCGAGGATTTGAAAAAGTACACGTTAAAGCTGAACCATATTTTTAAGGCAATATTTGCTCCTAAATTTGGTTAAAATATTGATTTTTTGACATTTAAAAAAAAACCACAAAGCGTCATCTTTTCCAAAATATCAAAAACTAAAATGGGCAATATTAATCGAGCTATTTATAGTAAAACTGTTGATGTGCATCGCAAAATTCGATTAAAATGCTGTTTATATCGTACATAACTTTTTTTACAAGGCACGCACACCAAAAATAGACATTGCAACGGCGCTAAAGGTATTTTCGCGTTGAAACAGAGTTCGCGACGCGCGGACTAGACGAGAGAGCGAAGGGAGAGCAGCGATATGCGAGCTTCCCCTTCTCACTCGGCGCTCTTGCCGCGCGCGCAGCAACGTCGCCGTGCACATGTCCCACTCCGTGAGGAAGCCAGGAGAGAGAGAAGAGCAGAGAGAGCTACCCCCAGTTGTGACCACAGAGAGCGCGGGTATAAAAGCAAGGCCCCGAGTCCTACTGACCTCATTATTATTATTACCATATTACTCTCTTATTGCTACTAGTACATTAGTATTCAATCAGTTACCGAATTACCATATACTCAACTCAGTGCGGTACTTAAAAGAATTCAAGTAACGCGTTCATTTGATTACGCAGCTGTTGCGATTATTCGATACTTTCACTCAATTGTTCTATCGATCTTCGTAACCGCTGTTCGCTGGTTATTACTTCCTCCCGAAGTAGTACTCAGTAACAACAGTTTCGCGTACGCGGGATTTGTGCGACCAAGTGATACTTTAGTGTTTCGGGGTTTATACGTGACGTAATATTCACTGTGAATCGTGTTGCACCCTCTAGGGGGATAACCGGATCTGTCTAGAAGTAAGTTTCCCTTTGGGAGCTCCTAATTTCATATCTCTGCAACACGCGCCGAATCAGGTTTCGCACTTATCAGTCGAATGCCGTTAGCGCAGTGGTAGAAATATCACAAATGCGAGAGAGCCGGACCAGGCACCATACAGTCGTTGGTTGCCGTTAGCACTCACGCAGCAGAGATATCACTCGAGTTTAGGTTCCACTTCAATCGTGCTGGACGCCAAAACTCGAGAGAGTGACCTGACTTCTTTTTATTCCTCCTTAATAATCGTGTGTTTCAACCCGTCAATCATCCGAAACAAGGAAGCGGACAGCAGCGCGTGCCGATCCAGCACACCGACCGACGTACGCACCACGACGCCGACAAAGGTAACGTGCACACACAATCGTGATTTCATTCATTCTTCTCATCACTATATCATCAAGCTTACGACGCCTGATAAAGTCTCGTAACGGAGTAATCAGCGAGTAAGCCGAAGAAGCGCAGGTCAATTCAGGATATTATATTAAATCATTTTGTACTTGTTTAAGACAGTAATTTACGCGATTTCTCGTTTCAATAAACAGACTTTTTCTAAATATAATCTACTGATATTCACAATAATTCATGTGCTTCACCTTTAACTCACGATAATTTATGTAGCTTATGATATAATAATTACAAGGTACTTATTCCTGCCCTCAAGTGACGAACCCTCCGCGATAGAACATCGACATCCCTCTCTCAAGTTAATCATTGAGGCGCGTGCGGAGAACATACGCTAGCGAGTATTCGTCTCAGTCGTTCAGAATCAATTCGTACGTGCGTGTATTACAAACGCGATTTAGAACCCCGCGTTGTCCACGCAAGAGACGCCTCAACATACCACTCGATTCTGCTACTCAAAAACTATTTTTCCCTATAATTTGGTGAAGATTCATGGTGGGGCCTATTGGGATATTGGGATTATATAAGAATATCTTAAAAATACTAAAAATCAAGTGGAATTTTTCTTAAGAGTATAGAAGACGCGGGTAACGACGCACAACAGTCAGTGATATTTTTTTCGAAAGTATAGTTTCTGTGGATTGTTTGGTGATGATTTGGATAAAAAAGCTCAATGGGCCTATCGGGAATCAGAATTTGAAAATTAAAAATAGGATGCGTTGAATTTCAAAACTCATAAAAACGCCATAAAATGCATTTTTTTGTATGAATTCAAGTTTGGATCCAACTGGAAGTTATTCTCAAGAAAAGAAAAACTTGAAAAATTAGCGTAAACAATGCCATGAATGGTAATTTTTCAAGTTTTCACACGAATATTGTGAAGTTGACACAAATATTAAAATATCACGAGATTTACTCATATCCGAGTTTGGGGAGGATCATCAAAAAGCTCTAAGGTGCAATTTCGAAGCAGAAGGCAAATTGATTGCTAGTAAATTGCTGCCGTCGAAGTCAAAAGAAAGATACGAAATAGCGTATGCTGAATTTTTGGATTGGGGCGACAAACTTATACACAAAGGCTCAAAAGATAAATTTAGCAAAATGTTAAATGAGAATGTTTTGGTAGTATACTTTAATGAACTCGCCAAAAAAAAATGCAACTCCCAACCATGTGGTCGAGATAGTCGATGTTGAAAACAATGCTGAATCTTCGCCATAATATTGATATTTCTAAATATGAACAATTAAAGTGCTTTATAAAAAATTTCTCGATGGGATATAAGCTGAAGCAAGCAAAAACTTTGACGGGCTTAGAAGTGAAGAAATTTTTGGACGAAGCAGATGACTTTTACTACCTTGCCACAAAGGTAATTATTATTAATATTGTTCAATTTTTACTTTCTTCATGACTCAGTGTGTATGTTTAATTCAGGTAATAATGAGATTTGGAGTTTGTGGAGCTACACGTTGTTGTAAGTTGATCAATATGATAGCAAAAGATATTTATGATCATGAGAATTATTACAGTGTAGATATACGCAACTCAAAAACTGATTATCCACGGACTTTTAATATTTGCTCTCCATATTATCATATTGTGAAAATATACTTATCATTGAAACCAAGCAACATGAACACCAATCGGGCTCTTATTCAATACACTAAGGGAAAGTTTTATAGACAATGGGAGTACATAAAATTTCCGAAGTGCCAAAAATTATAGCAGCATACCTAAACTTACCCAACGCAGAATTGTATACTGGTCACTCTTTGAGACAGACGAGTGCTATCTTTCTCACATATTCTGGAGCGAATTTAGTTAGAGTCAAGAATCTTGGGGGTTGGAAATTTGACGCTGTAGTGCAAAGATATTGATAATTCAAAAGTGATGAAGCAGTCTAATTTTAAGAGCATTTTAAATGCTATTGGACCTACTTCGGATCGATTGACTTTCACTACAAGGACTAATACTCGATTAGATTTAAATCTTTCTCCTATAAACGAAGATTTTAATATCGATACATTGTCTCCGAAAAAAAAAAATAATGTTAAAACTTTAAAATTCAATAATGTTTTAAGTAAAAACGTCCGGGATGTCAAACTTATTTCAACCGCTGCTAATTCTTTGTCATTATTTACTGAAGGTAACAAATTAAACTCGTATCGTAAGTGGAAAAATATAAATGTAACATATAATTATAGTAGGTATTTCAGTTTTGTCGTGTTGCGTGGTGGTGGTGCAGGGGGCGAAACCCCCACTGGGAGGGGGGGGGGCAGGAAAAGGGCGGAGCCCCTCCACTAGAAAAGTATACTGTTATAGAAAATGATGATATTTAGCTCAAGTAAATTCCTATTTATGATTTACAAATTTTACTCTCTTGATGCGATCAATTGTCAAGATAGTTCTGATTCTCACCTGTCAATCTCTAAAGACTGCCACACCGCCATTGTTTGTCCAGGGTACGCAGTTACAACTAAACCAGAAGCTGACCACATTGGGCTTAAAGCTCACTCCAACTCTGTCCTGGGGGCCGCAAGTG